GCATGCATCGTACATTTCAGAACTTTCAGAACGTTTGAAAGCAAACCATCCCTCTCTCCTTGATGTATTCCCGAGGCTCAACGGATTAGTGTAGTGTCCAAAACATGCGCTGAGGCCCATGTGCTCCACCGAATTGACGAGAAAGCCTTGTATGCCTTGCTTGGTGAGGATGCCCCTGAGCGTGAGAAGACATCATGCCTTTCATGATGGAGAGCCGTCTTCAAGTCAGACCAACAGACCAACGGATCAGCAGAACAAGATTTGTCACTGAACTATTGAGCTGGCTTCACAGCTGAACCCTGCTACCGTGCCTTGTAAGGATACCAACTCTAAGAGCCTATTGGAGTCCATCAGATGGGAAGGCAAATCTTTGCCTTGCGGCCTGCTGGACACCCAACTGCTGCAGCGCCAGGTGGGGCGGTTTGGGGCTACCGGTGAAGCGGAAATCTGACTTTCCATCCTTTGGATCGCTCAACAAACCATAGGTTCAGCGTGGTTCGGTGATTATAATGATTTGTAAATTAGTGCGGCAAAAGATTCGTGAATTGCCAAATCACCAGGTGGTTGAAAGACTGTCTGCTTATCTCACCGAAAAAGAGATGAAGCGCTGCAGCCCGATGCAGCTCTGTTGCACCGCACTCCTCTTGGCCGTAGACAGCCTCATGCAGGATTGCTGGGAAGGTACCGGAACAATTTGAGGGCACCCGCAGCATGCTCAACCATTTGTCTTCACCCTTACATCAGCTCTCAGTACCAGTGCAACCCAGCGACTCGTGCCTTGCAGGATGACCACTCTTCTATTCAAATGGGTAAGTTGGCAGCGAGCAACCAGATTTTACAGCGCTATCGGCAGCAGCTGGCAAGAACCAACGGGACGGTGACCTGCCAGCACAAAAAGGGATAGGATACCCAGCCTTATTCTATGACAGTGATGTGGCCGTTTGCAAAGACGTGTGCACACTTCATCCAATAGACATTGTTGTTACTTCAAAGTGCATTACCCCGTGATCCTGAAAGGAAAATGTGGCCGTAGAGAAACACAAGAAAATCAAGCTGAATGCACCACTTTCTGCAGCTACTGTGGACAATTCTCCTTTGGCGCACTGTAAGCACTTCGCCATGGAATGCACTAGCATGCTATCTTCTAGATTTCCAGATCTGCCAATTTTTGCTTCACTGGCCGTGCCAGCTTTGTCTGATCTTGTCGAGCCTGAAAGTGTGACTAGGTGCTCCTCAGCAAGCATCGCTACAGACAGTTAAGACGTATTGCCTTGGAGGACCGTGCTGAGGGGGTTGCCATCAAACATGTCAGGTTGAAGTCAATTCCTGAAAAAGTGGATTCAGTGTTGGGATATTTTGGGATGCTTCAGGATAATCGATCAAAAGTTGATCTGCAATGTAGGAGGGGCTGGACACCGAGCAGGCGCTGCTATTAGGTGGCCCGGAGCTTCCTGGTCGGATCTACAGCGACGAAGTTTACTTCGCACTTAGCCCCGCAAGGTGCATCACACAGTGCATTTATTCATATGCATTAATTAAGGTAGCCTCAAACTTCGAAATCTTAGGGGAAGACCAAGACCATGGTGAGAAAACGAAGCTGAAAATGAAGTTGAAGACGAAGTTGTTGTTCAGAATGAAGATGTTGGTGTTCTTCTTGTTGTTGATGTTGGTGTTGGTGTTGGTGTTGTTGTTGTGGTGGATGATGATGATGATGATGATGATGATGATGATGCTGAGAAGGATGATGCGATGTGACACGTATGATTAGTCAGGTAGCTTCGCATTTGAGAGGTGATTTGTCAGGTTATTTGGACATGAAGAGAAATCCGCGAAGATTGAGTGCAGGTGAAGATACCAGATGAGTGGACAAGAAGCATGTCACGGGAGTCACGGGTTGAGATGAGTTCAGCAGTTCCCGACATCAGTTCGTGATGATATGCGCACACACACACACACATATATATATATATGTATATATTATATCTCTGTGTGTGTGGGGTACCAGTAGTACCGCACAAGGCGGTGGCGGAAGTTTCAAAAATAGGAAACCTATAGGAAGGGTTGGTTGTTGTGACTTACGGATGGCAGAGCGAATCTGCTGATGGACCGAAAGGTGGTTGGAGTTGTGCTTTTTGAAGTGGTTGCAATGGTTGCAACGGTCACCTCACTCACAACTCCTGGGTGTAGTGTGGTGTAGCGCAGTAGTTGTAGTTGTAGTTGTAGTTGTAGGTGTAGTTGTAGTTGTAGTTGTAGTTGTAGTTGTAGTTGTAGTGGTGTTGATGTTGTTGTAGTTGTAATGTTGTAGTTGTAATCTTGTAGTTGTGGTTGTAGTCGTAGTCGTAGTGTAGTTGAAGTGTAGTTGAAGTTGAAGTTGTAATTGTCTTAATTGTAGTAATTGTAGTAATGGTGTAGCGCAGTAGTTGTAGTTGTGGGTGTAGTTGTGCTTGTAGTGTAGGGGAGTTGTAGTTGTAAGTTGTAGTTGTAATGTAGTGTAATTAGCGTAGTGTAGTTGCAGTTGCAGTTGTAGTTGTGGTGTGGTGTAATTAGTGTAGTGTATTGTAGTGTACTGTAGTTGTACTGTAGCAGGTATAGTGTAGTGTGTTCTAGTGTATTGTAGTGTAAACTGGTGTAGTTGTAGTTGTAGTGTAGTGTCGTGTAAGGCAATGTAGTGGTAGTTGCAGTTGTAATGTAATGTAATGTAATTGGTGTAGTGTAGTGTTGTGTAATGTAGTGTAGTTCTAGTTGCATTTGTATTTGTAGCTGTAATGTGCTCCAGTTTAGTGTAAGGTAGTGTAGCTGTCATTGTAGTTGTAGCTGTGGTGGTGGTGGTGGTCGTCGTCGTAGCAGCAGCAGTAGTAGCAGTAGTAGTAGCAGGAGGAGGAGTAGTATTAGTAGTAGTAGTGGCTGTTGTAGTAGCTGTAGTGTAATTAGTGTAGTGTAGCCCGGTGTAGTGCAGTGTAGTTAGTGTTGTGTAATGTAGCGTAGTATATTTGTACTTCTTGTAGTAGTAGTAGTAGTAGTAGTTGTAGTTGTAGTTGTAGTGTAGTGTAGTGGTACTTGTTGTTGCAGTTGCAGTTGTCTATCTATCTATCTATCTATCTATCTGCAAGCTTGAAAACGAAGCTATTCTGCGAGACTTCCTCAGTTTGTAAACTTGACAACATCAAAAACGCAGCAATTCAGCGAGACGTCCTCAATTTTTGCACTTGACAACGTCAAGAACGAAGCAATTCTGCGAGACTTCCTCATGTTTTTCAGTTGACAACATCAAAAACGAAGCAATTCTGCGAGACGTCCTTCAAAAATGGAAAGGTGAGTGCAGAGCATTCGTTTTGCGCACCGGCCGCTCTAGCGAGCCTACTTTTCGACCCTCTGGAGCCACAAATCAGTGGAAAAACGCAGTGTTTCGCGACTTTCCTACCTTTTCGTGCATCTGCATCTTCTTTCTTCTGACTCTTTCTCTTCTCTGATCTTCTCTCTTCTACTCTTCTCTTCTCTCTGACTCTTCCCATCTCTGCTTTTTCATCTGTCCATATTGTCGGAAACTTGGCTTCTAAACTTCCTTCGATAATGAACTTACATGTAACTTGCCCAAGATGGGCCTGGTGCCACCATCGCAAGGTGCCAAGAGCTGGAATCCTGGCGGCATCGCCATGCGGAACGCCTGGCTCTCGCTGCAAGGGTACGGAGCGCTGTTGCCCATGTCTATGATCTCCGGCATGCTGCCCACCGGAGGGGCGAGGGGACACTACAATTGCGCTTGGGCTTTGAAGATCTTTGAGCTGTTCGTAAAATTGGAAAGGGATGAAAAGAATTCAAAAGTGAACGCTGTTAAAATATATGTTCAAATTGCATTCGGAATTTGGCCGTCATTTGGACTGGACTGACTGGACCATGTGGCCGGAAGCATCAGCAAGGGCACCTTCGCTGGGATTGATTCAGTGAGGAAAGTCTTGGTGCAACCTGGCCATGCACAATTTGTACGCGAGGCTGGATGCATCCAAGACGCAGCTGAGAGAATTTCAGTTCCCGTGTCGATTTGTGCAGATTGGGCATGGTTGGGGATTGTATCAGGTATGTTGCGTGTGCAGTCGTAGCTTCTACGGCACAACGATTCACATTTGGTATTGTTGGATGTTTGGAGTGTGGTGTCCTCGAAGACCCAGATGCGAGCGCATTGTTAGAGGAAGCAAAGCCTCCATTCCTTGCTGTTGATGCACCGGTGTATACCGGTGTATATAATTGCATATAATCATTTCTTGCAGGCTAGCGAGCTTGTCGATGAAGGGTTCATGATATCAATTGATTATGGTGCCGATGCCGATGCTTTGGTATGGCAGCTCGGATGAGTCAAGCGCCGAAAGGCACATGTGATTGGATTTTACCATAAGTTTCATTAAATTTCGTAATTGACATCAATGCTTTTTGGCAGAGGTTCCTTTCCGAATTCAGTTTTTCCGGGCTGAGGCATGCCTTGGTGCGCCCCAATCACGAAGGCATCCACATCATGGATGCACGCCAAGCAACTTCTCAATGTGCCGGATCCTATTTGGCTTGCCCTGGCTTGCAGGCGTGGGATCTAGCTCTCCCGTCTTTGGAACTGAATGAACCAAATGGGTCGGGACATGTCAATTACAACTAACTGCCTGCAGGACATTACAATGACGGTGGATTTTACCGAAGCTGCTGGTGCTGGCAGAGTGGCCGGTTGGAAGACTGCTGCCTATGCGCCTATTTTTCATTTAGAGCCTCTTGAACGAAAGTCGCATGAGATATACCAGAGTTCCGTTCTGTCCCTTCGCCTTTAAGTCCGTTCCGACCGTTCCGCTCAGAGACCCCACTGAACATTGCCACATGTAGGTATTACCCTGGCAGACATCGTGCGTGATGTTGATGGTTACAGTATTTGATAATTGATGGAACATGCATATGAAGATTCGCTTCCTTTTACCCTTTCTGGATGATGTCGTTGTACATGATGATGCCTATGATTTCCGAGGAGCTCTTTCTTCTATACCACGCAAGTCCGAGAACACAACCCACAGCCCCACCAAGGTTTGCATATGACCAATGGCTTCCTCGGCCTGTGGCCAGCCTCTTGGAGCGGGCCGGTGGTCCACGGACCGTTGGCCTACATGCTTGGTATCGTCACTCCAATGAAGATGCCTGGTCATCCTTCAAGGCACGAGGGTCACAAGGGTCAAAAGGAGGGAGACCTTAGCAGTGGAAGGCCAGGCTTGTGGTGTCATCCTGACTCATTCCCCATGGAGTTTTGATGAGTTTTGTGGGTAATGCATCATATGCATCATACGCATAGCTGTGAGACAGTGGCCAGGTCTTAGTGCTGCACCGGGGTTCGTTGGGCAGCAATTGGACCTTGGGAGCCCCAGACCTCAGCTGGACATTGCAGGTGCGTCTCATCATCTCTGCTCAGGACAAGATGTGCTTCAAGATGTGCCAAGATCAGCTTCGGTTGGACCATTGGACATGGTTGGACCCTGGTAGGATTTGATCATTTTCATTAGTTTAATGAGCACCGACCAAAATTGATGGCCCAGCTCTACAGGCCCCTCCGCGCTTTGCTGAGGCACTGGAGCTGGGGGGGTGGAGACCCTGCACCGTAGACCATTGCTGATAGGGAGGGTAATCGCAACCAAATGCTATCTAAAATGCTGGAGAATTTACGCAGAAATCTAGTACTGTCAGTATAGATTCGGGAACTCCCGAGTTGGTAATCTGACTTGCTGGCTTGTTCCTGCGGCACAGGCACCATTCCCATGTTGGAAGACTGTTTCTGGGACGCATGTGTAAAATCTTTGAAAGGCACCGTCGCAGAGCTTGGAGGTTGTGGCATGTTGCGGCTCGGACTCAGGATATGACAAAGCCAGCCATGGCAGCTCTCATTAGCCACAAGGCCCGATCTACAGCGCCAGAGGCACTTGAGAAATCCTTTCGTGAGTGGCTAGGAGATCTAAGGGTGCTGCAGGAGGCTGGACCATCGGGGCTGGATGGAGAGAATTGGGGCTGTGACACACTTTAGTTATCACAAGATATCACAAGCTTCCGGCTCTTGCCATCCGAGTCGCTCAGGCAGTGGATCAGCAATACAGCTGGCAGCGCCAGTCCTACAGAGACCTACATTTGGCACAGATTCTCACCGACCTATTCCTGCTTCTTGACATCTTGACATTCCTGACATTTCTTGACTCTTGACAAAGCTTGACGATTTTCCTTTGCCATGGCCACATGTGGCCACCCTGGTAGTGCACTGTCTATCCTGTAATGGTCTGCCACTGTCACATACTGCCACCAAGGTTCTTTGCCCGTGGTCAAGTGCTGTCAGATCAAGGGGTCAAAGATTGTGTGATGCCAGCGGCCCATGTAGGAAGGGCATGGTTAGAGGAGGTGAGGATGTTGGCCACTTCACGGCGTTTGCCTGAGATGCAGGGGCACCCAGGGCACCCAGTCGAGATCCTTACACATCTTTATACCGTTCAGAATGTGCATGGACATGCGTAGATGGGATAGATGTTCTGAAAGGTTCGGAACTCAGTGTTGAGAAATGCCCATGAATCTCCTGCGCTTGCACGCTCTTGTTCACCAGGCATGGTGATGTGATGTTCAATCGGGTCTTCGGTGCACTGGCGCAATATGTGCATGGCAACGCTACCAATCCGAAGGCAGAGCCCTACGAGTGCATTGTGCCTGCCATGATCCACAGCTTCTGCCGGCAAGCAGTAGCATAAAGCAGCCCCGCACGGCACCTGGACTGCTGGCCGGTGTCGTGTGGGTCGTCTGGGACCTGAGCTCTGTGAAGTATGATCCAGGAATCTGGGCCCTTCAACTGTTGAGATCCAGTGCAGGAAAGGATGAACCTTCGGAGTTTTCGAATCCAAGACATCAAGAGGTTGGAGGTCTGGAAAGTGACGCTGGCATTCCAAGATGGGCAAGAGCTGTCTGGAGCAAGATCCAATGCCAACCAGCTATCACCAGCTGCTGGGAAATTCTGTAGGTCCTGTCGTCATACATGGTTATCCTGCGAGCCCGCCAAAAGCAGGCTTTTCATAGCGACTTGCGCCTTCGCGAATGATGTGACTGAAAAAACGCCGCCGCCGTCCGGATTCTACGGGTTTGTGCCAAACAAGGGCGAAGAGTTTGCAAGCCAGGAGCATCTTCACTGCATGCAACTTCAACTGCTCGTTGCTCTGCAAGCACCTATGAAATTCCATGAAATTCCGGAAGACTACTTTCTTAAGCACAACTATGTAAGTTCGAGACCAAAGCATGTGGAACATTTTGATGGCGGTTTTCTGGTCTGTTCAATTCTTCTACAACGCAGATGTAGTATGATACAGTATGATGTAGTGAGCTGCTCTTCGATCGGCCAGAGCAACACCTCCACATTGCACATGGGAAGGGCTCAACGGCTCAACGGCTCAACGGCTCAACTTGACAGTTTCCCAAGGTATGTCGGACTCTTGCGACAAAGTTCCATGAAGGACGGCATTGAGATTGAAGCGCAGCGCTCGCGCTTGGAGATCCTAAAGATGATGCACAACATGAAGTCTCTTGAAATGACAACCGATGCCAGAGGCTTCAATTTTTGTATGATTTGTTAGTAACGTTACATCATGCTTGAAAGACGAAACGAGAAAAACGCCCCGACTCTCTGACTGTAGCAAGCGCCAGGGTAAGAGCGTATTGGTTCAGCCCGGCTTAATCATTTGAGAAGATCAGTCGGCGACTTCTCCTCAGCCTTCTTACGTCTTCTTACGTCTTCTTACGTCTTCTTACGTCTTCTTACTGCAAAGCCGAGGTTGTGGCAAGGTGGTCATGTACTCTCGCTTTCCTTGTCGCACTTCGCCAATGATTTTGATGCATCGGTGCGCTGCCTTGTTTCTTTTTGGCTGGAGGCCGGACAGAAGCACAAACTACGACACGACGAAGCTATCTTAATGTATCTATGAAAAGTGGAAGCCATGCATCTGCAGATTTAGATAGATTTAGTAGACTGTAGACAGTCAGTAGACAGTCAGTTTGAAGAGATAATCTTCAATGCGCCTTCACTGCGCTCGGCATTGCTTGTTGCCTGCAGGGTCTCCGGCCCATGGTCTTGGGTACCACTATGAAGGTGCGCACCGCACCAACCCTGCATTTGGAAGTCTTACCATGGGCTACCCCTCAAGTGCAAAATGGCGGGTAATTGGCTGGTACTCGCATAGCGATGTTCGCAAGATGTAGCAAGTCAATCTTCTTTGAAGAGCGTGGCAACATGTGGCAACAATGCTCAGTTTCAAGAACTCTGTTTTCGTGAGCTAGGTAGCGAACCTCCCTCTCGCCTCTACGTGGATAGCTGAAAATTGCAAGAGAAGAAGCCGGTTTCAAAATGTGAAATTGGCCCATAGCCGAAAATGAAAGCCGGTTTCAAAATGTGAAATTGGCTCATAGCCTGCGTTACTGTCCCCTCTCTCCCTCCATCCATCCATCCATCCATCCACCCATCCATCCATCCATCCATCCATCCATGCATCTATTTCGTCATTCTGTCATTCTGTCTATTGGCTTTTGCGGGTAGCTATCTATTATATTCTATTATTACTGTAGACTTTTTGTCCCTACAGCTTGAAGATATAAAAATAGCGGGTTGGCGGCATTGTGTCTTGTTCGGATGGTCGTGGCACCTGCATGCACCTGCTAGGCGTTGCTGCGAGAGGCTCGTTTGGCCGGGCAGACTGCCAAGAATAAGTACCTGCTGCGGCCAGAGAGGGTGCGAAAAGCCAAGGCAACATATTGAATTAGAGATGACATGGGAGGTGCTGTGCAACCAATCCAGCGAGGAAGTTTGGTGCTTACTAATGCGTCAGTGTACTGTGCAATATTGTGCAATACTGTGCATCAACATTGGATGCCTTTCTGGCCAAAAGAACAATCAGGGCAACAGCACAAGCAAAACAAGAGCAGAGGTAAAGTTATATACCCTACAAGGGCCTGAACATACGCTTTGCTGCCTGGTGTGGAGTTTGGGCATGCAAGGGCCTTTGCTATACAATAGGTGTGGAAGGGCGCAGACTTAGCAACCAATCGGATAATAAGTTTTTGTAGTCGACGTGGTTGCTGTATCGCAGGCCGGTGACGTTGAGAGATGTTCATGATGGATGTAGAAATATGGAGAAGTAAGATGAAGTAAGGTCATCTACACAGAAACAACCCAGATAGCATTCGGTATTGCGCCCAGAGTTCTGTTGTGACAGATATGGATGATCAGGAGCACATGCGTTTGCTTTTGCAGCGTGTGACTTGGATGCAAGTGGGCATATTTGTGTAATTAAGGAACGCGGAGCTCTGGCAGACAATATCTGATGATAATGCGACTAATACTTCAATCTTGCTTCAGCTGGAATATGGCCACTGCAGTTGGCTCGCTGCCAAGCAGAAGCCTGAGATTCACGCAACACAACTCCTTTTTTCTGGCATGTAACGCGCTATGCCTGGTTTTGCCCACCACATTTATCTTTGCAAGTTTCAGAACGCCCAGTTTTGAGGAAGACTATCGGTATCTTATGCAAGCAGATGAGCTCTACGAACAGTTGATGGCGCAAGGCAAGGAGCCTGGGAAAGTACACATGCCGCAAACATTGGCAACAAGCGGATTGATGCAGATTGCATATTGCAGACCGATTCCTGTTCTTAAGTCTTTCGGCATTGAGCTTGTGTCAAGGCCAACGCCGGGCTAGACGCCTTGGCTGTCCAGATTGGAAAAAGGAAGCGGTGGATTTGGTGGCTGGGGTGACTGCTGCGGGCTAACATATGCCGACCATGTTTAGCCAGTTGAATATCAGGTGGAATATACAAACCGTTGCAATCACTTGGGGTATTTGGAGTTGTGTTCACCTCCTGATCTCGATGCGGGTCAAATCAGCACCTTTTTGAAGACTATATAGACACACACACACATATATATATAATATTATATATATATAATATTATATATAGAGACACTATCTATCATTATTACTATTATCATTATTATGATTTATCATGTAGCTCTGGCCATCCTGGGTCACTGCCATTGCGTTTGGAGCACTGAGGCTTTGAAAGCGGCGCCCCTGGCTATTTGGTTTGGCTCAGGGGATTGGGCCGTAAGAGTGCCGTATTCGTTCAGTGCTGCCTCCATTTGGCGCACTAAAATCCCACTGGGACTGAGTAGGAACGAACCCTTCTGTGCTGAAAAGACGTTCATTTTGGTGGATAAACTTCTTTGGAACCAGACAACTCAAACTTGGCTATCAACCTTCAATTTCTTGATCGTGCCAGATGCCTTTGGTTCCTATGGACGCACTGCTTCTGGGCCGCTTGGAACGCATAGCCAGCTGCCCACAGAAGTTAGCACACGGCTGATGGGTGCCACGAGCGGAAACGGCATGCTTTGTCAGGTGCATCCCTGATGTGTTTACAGTATATATATATATAATATTATACAATTTTAATATGTTAATTAATTTTACGCACACACACAAACATATTTATTCTATATATATACATACACTGAGGCTGTCGAGATGTGAGTATCTTTGGCTTTGAAGCGTTGAAACACATTGAAACGGCTTTCTTGGCTCGCCCTTGGGTCACTTGTAGGGAAATAAGGAAAACACAAGAAAAGAGCAGTAAGAAAAGACAATCTGAGATTGATCTAACCGCCCCATGTCCAGCATGACTTGAGAAGTCAACGTATGGAAGTGCACATGAAGCTTACGACCCATGACAAAGGAGAGCTGCAATATGGTGTCATGTTTGCCATGAGCCATGGGTGCTATGTGGTGCTATGGATGCTTTGAAATCATTGATCCGTGACAAATTACGCGGTAGCCCAGCTGTCGCACAGCTGCTGGAAGAGAGGCCGGAGCTTTCAGAGAATCCTGGCGCGCTCCTACAAGCTCTTGAGGAGCGAGGGGTGGTTGAAGAGATCTATGGATATTTAGATAGTAGTTTGCAGAAGCCCCAGGATCCTAAGTCCTGTCACCAGGCTACCCCAGTGGAAGAAGTGGCACCACCATCGCAGCAACCTGTGGAGAATGGCATGGGATGGCAGCTGGGCCTTCGTTTGCTGGAGGGTCAAGCTTTCTTAGACTACTTGGATGATGCAGATGCGGCAGGTCGGGAACTTGCTTGGCATATCGCCTTTGAATCCCAACGTTTCAAGAGCCGCCAGGTGCCTGCTGTTGTCGCGCCACGCTTTGATGAGACGATTCATATGAAGCTGCCATTGGTTGGTTCCCGGAATGGGCTCTTGCAACACTTGCCGCCAGTTCATTTGGTGCTGGTGTGTTATGGAGGCAGTGGCAGTGGTGAGGAACCTCCTTGGGACACAGGCTCTGGCACATTGATCTGCAGTCACTACCTCGAGTGGCGGCATTGTCTGAGCACCTCGGGGCCCTTGAAGATGACTGTGGAGCTTCAAGGCGTTGGGAGGCGGCACAAACTTTCCATAGGGGTCTTACATGCCGAGCTGGAACTGAAGCCAGTAGGCGCTGAGCCTTTGCCGCAGCTAGCGGTGGCAGCACAGATTAGGGCAGAGGAGCAGCAGCGTGCTGAGGTAATGCGGAGATGTTTCGAGGAGTTGGACCGATGGTGGTCAGAGCATCACATGCTCTACCCTTCTCGATCCATTCGGATCTTCGCACAAACTGAGAGCTGTTTGTTCTTGCCGGTGACAAGCTTTGTGGCACCGCTTCATGCAGGAAGGCACTTGGATGGGCCTGGCCATGCCTTACGTTTCGTGTCCCTGATGGCCTTAGAACAGGTGACTGGTGAAGCCTCCTCAGCAGAGCCGCGTTGGCACAGCTTTCTGGCCATGTGGGCAAAAGGCCGATGCACTGCTGAAGAACGAGCTTTGCTGCTTTGTTCCTTGTTACTCGGATATTCCCTGGATGCGTGGTGCTGCCTGGGCACGGATGACAAAGGACAAGCTCACGCCTGGGTCGTAGTTCGAGATCGAGGTGATGCATCTTACCCCTCTCAGGTGACGTTTTGGGATCCTCAAACGGGATCTCGCCTGCGGGCAGATGACCCGGCCTTTCTAAAGTCGCTTTGTTCCATGGACACTATCTTCAACCACCGCCGCATTCTGGTGTGTCACAACGAAGAACCATCACAAGTCTCATTCGATTTCAGTGATCACCGAAGCTGGCTTTGGGCCCCAGTTGATGAGGAGATGTTGGATGTCCTGCGCTTATATCCTTGTAGAAAGTGTCCAGGCTTCGCAGATCTCCTGCTTCACAGATGGAGCCCCTCCTGGAACGTCGAAACCCTCGAGGAGGCCATTGAGGACCGCCTGCTTGCTGCCATTCGAACCCATCGTGAAGCTTTGGGTAACATCACCATGGTAGACCGCCACTTAGGGCAGCTGCTGCATGTCGCATTGGTCAATCTTGAATATGAACGTCGAGGAATGCAATCCCAATCGTCTGTCTTTGAGAACCTGGCCACAAGAGTCTGTGCTCCTGGCGAAGTACTACGTGCCACACCTGTGCAGTTCAACCACTTGCGCGTCTCATTGTTTTGGCCCGCTTTGAGTCAGAGAAGTACTGTGCAGGAGATCTTGGCAAAACCACAGGCTTCGTTTGCGGTACGCTGCCGCGTGGTGCTTCAGCCCGAGACAACTGTTGCAACCTGGGTGCTGCTCGCAGCTAAGGGACGAATCTGAGTCGACCAGGGAGTCGACCAGGTACATGTCATGTTACATGGATGTTGCCAGATGTTGGCAGAGGGAAGTGATGCAGAAACAGCATCGAGATCTGGTGCTGCAGCTGACGGGGCGGTGTGCAGCAAGGGGAAAATGGATAATGGAAGGACACAGCATGGTAGTGCTGGCTGCTGATGCTTGGAACATTTTGGAACATTAAAATAAGTACATAGATGATTTGAAGTGTATATAAAACGATTCTAAATCTCTTGGATAATCTGAATCATCTCAATTTGTTGGTGCATCGGTGTAGCTGAGGTGGATCGTTGGGCTTGACAGCTGCTGCTGCAAGCTTGCTGCCGGTCTGGATGGACAGTTCCAAGCAGTGACCAGCAGTGACCAGCACACGCCACCAAGCCACGGATCTCCCATGGTCTTCCATGATCTTTCGATTGCCAAGGTCGCAGGCTTCGATGGGCATCAGATTGCGTCCGGCCACCGAGAGGATAGAGAAGATTGGAGGCATATTGGAGGCATATTACGTCGGTGCCTACCCTTACCATCGCTCACCCCTGTGCATAGTTACACATTTTCATACCTTTTCAATGTTATTGCCATGCAAAAATGCACATTGGGGTTGGACAGTTGGAAGTGCTGCGCATGATTTCACAGAGGAACCGGGAAATGTCAGACCTTGAACCTAGACTCCTGGAGAAATCCAGCAGTATTTGCAGACATCCGCAGTTAGCGCACGACAGTAGATGCATGATGTACATGGCCAGAAAATGCCAGAATTGCACAGCCTGAGGCGAGCGGCCTTTGGCGTGCAAAGTGCCAACTTTCTAGAGTTCATGAGCTCCTTGCTTGGCAAACTGTTCCTGTTTGTGCGGCTCCACGTAGAATTGCTACTTTTCTGTGCTCTGTGTGTATTGAATAAATTAATATTGTAAATACATACATAGTATGATATGTATATATTCATGCGTTGAGCTTGGCAGGCTTTGGGGGTGCTTGTGTCATCTTTAAGCTATCCAATGAATGCCATCATTTTGGCTCAAGGTTGGAGTTGGCCCAAAAAGGCATTCATTATTTTGTTTTTCCAAGGGCTGACCTTGGTGAAGTGAGGGCTTAGTTCAAGGGGCGACCTTGGCTAAGTAGGTGAGGTTCCCAAGGGGTGACCTTGACCTTCTCCTTGGGATCGATGTGCCCATGGCTAGTCAGGCATAGATCCTTGATGCGGTGGCTTTCATCGAGTTCAAGGAGCATGTGGCGAGGCTACCCAATGGAGGGGCTCCAATTGCAGCCTACAGGTGTTGGATGCGTGGTGCTGGCGTTTCCGTTGTGCTTCACAAACTGGTTGGGGGGCCGGCACTTTCTTGGGGCCAAACAGGATGAGAAACAATGTGATTGAATAGATTGTTGGCAAATTTCTGTGCAAAAAAAGGTTGCTTTACCCTTGAGGGCAGTTGGCAGTTGATGATTCCTGGGTCAACGTGTAGATTGCGACACCCGCCCCCGGTAAGCAGATTATAGGAATCTGCTTACTGCAGCTGGGTCATCTAGAAACTAGATGTGGCATGTGGCTGGTCAAATTGGCATATTCCAAAAAGATATGGGTCTGAGTGGGTCTCAGTTATGCGTCGCAAACTGGTTGGGGGGCCGACACTTTCTTGGGGCCAAACAAGACGAGAAACCAAGGAATTGAATAGATTGTTGGCAAATTTCTGTGCGAAAAAGGCTGCTTTACCCTTGAGGGCAGTTGGAAGTTGATGAATCCTGGGTCAACATGTACATTACGACGCTCATCCCCAGTAAGCAGATTCCAGGAATCTGCTTACTGCATCTAGGTCATCCAGATGTGGCTGGTCAGGTTTGGGATTATTGATCCAAATGGTTTATTAGCAGGTCAGCAAGTCAAGCGGGCACAAATGATGAAAGGAAAAGATGGCAGAACCGCTTCTGGCTGATCTATCTCTTGCTACTTTTTAAACCAGAAAAAGTTAGTTTGAGGCGGGCACAAAGGGCCCAGGACTGGTGGCCTCCCACAATCTGATTGAATACCGCTCCCACTCTGTATCCATTTTTCGATTTCCAAACTGTGTGTGTGTGTCTGTGTGCGTGTGTGAAAGTAGGGGTATATGTGTCCCAAAATAACAAGATTTACACGGAAAATGATCATTCAGCAGCAAATTTTGAGCTGGGGCACCTTATTTTTGTACAAGACCCACAGCACAGGTACAGTAGAGTAGAGTTGATCTCAAGTCAAGATGATGCGGGGGGAAATTTCTGCCTTCTACCGAGCCCCTTCCCCACAAAAAGTAGGGGCCACGCAGTAAGCAGGAACCCTCCCTGTGTTTTGACCAGGGCAGTAAGCAGCCCGGGGCTCAGAGTGGGACTTTGTATGAACCCCTAAAATACCTGCTTACTACTTACTACTTTGCTTTGGCTAGTTCGTGCTTACTGGGCCCAGGTGGGGGTGATCCCACTTGGTGGTGCCCGACGCTTGCCATGCATGTGGCTGGTTTTTTTTTGCAAATTTCAGCTGCCAAGCAAGGGTGGTCCTATTTCTGGAAGCTTAAGTTTTTGCAGATCTCGAGACCGCTGCTTCGGTCTTCCCAGGTAAGCTGGATTTCCAAGTAGAGTGTTGCTACAAGGTCCGCGATTGTCGGGGCTGCGGGACCGTGCCCCAGCGGATCTGGACATCTGCTGTCCTAAGCAGGTTGGGCCCCAAGCAGGAGGTAATCTCCGTTGGCGTTCTAGGGCATGCCATCATTTTGGCTCAAGTTGGGAGTTGACCCAAAAAGGCGTTCATTATCTTATTTTCCCCAACCCTCCCCCCTAAGAGTCGGCCTCCCGTGGGGTCGCCCGCCTGGGTTAGGGAGCCTGCTTTGCAGGCGAGTCTGCAACCTCTCTATGGGGATACCTTTCCTGGGTGACCAGGGAGGTGTGTTTGTTCCACTCTATGTGTGGGTGATTCCTGTGGATACAGGTTCCAACTTGGGGTGACCAGGTTCGCCGCCGGCCAGCGGCGATACTGCCCTGGGGTTGTGCACGTGTCACTTCTGTGACATATCCGAGGCAAACCGGAGGAGAGCCTTTGGTGAAAGGAGATAACTGCTTTGGCAGAGAATTTGACAAAGGAGTGGAATCCGAAGCTGCCGGAATCATGTGCGTAGCTTTGAGATGCAAATATATATAAATAAATAAATATATATATTTGTAGAGAGATATTAATTATGATATCAGAAGCCAGGTGGTTTGCCATTATCGTTGCATTGCATTTATATGGGCAGCATCAGCTCAGGTCTAACCGCTCTCTGCTTGGAGGCTTGTGTGTTGCTTCAGAATTGCATGGCAATCGCATGTGGCATCATGAATTCACAAATAAATTGCGTACACCACACCTGCCAAAAAATCGACCCTGACGGGATCAATGTGAAGATGGCGGCCACAGGTGGGCCGAGACGATCTGAGAGGCACCTTTGCAAGTGAGATTATTTTGGCAACGGACTCAGTGTCAAGGACCAGCACGGTCCCAACTCGGTGCCACTGGGCCATTTCAAGAGTACCTTGGAGGGTACTTCGGAAGTACTTGGAGGGTTTTGAATTTTCTGTCTATTTTTCGATGACCTAGTAGCTTTGCAGTGTATAGTGTATAGTATGTTTTAGTCACGAAGGTTTGATCTGTCCCATCTCGCTGAGCAGCTGTGCTTTGGGTCGTGCTGAGATCTTCATGATCCAGTTGCTATTTGGCCGGCGTGCTGATGAGGTCCGTTGAAGGGGACGGCAACCTTTACAGACTATTCAAATCTGCATCTGTCCATCCATCTATCTACCCACCCATATATATATATATATGTATATATATATATATGTATATATATATATATGTATATATATATGTATATATACACAGTCTATCTACCTATCTACCTATCTATCTATCTACCTATCTACCTGCCTATCTACCTATCTACCTATCTACCTATCTACCTATCTACCTATCTATCCATCCGTCCATCCATCGATCGATCTATCTATCGATCAATCTATCTATCTTTCCATCTAGCTATCTATCTATTCCAATCTATTCTAATCGATTTTGATGTATTCCGATCTATTCTGATCCGTTCCAATCTGCTATATACTCTGTTCCAATCGATGCTAATTATGATGCGTTCCAATCGATTGTGATTCGTTCGAATCTGTTCTAATCTCTTCTGGTCTGTTTTGATTTTTTCTGGTCTGTTCTAATCCTAATCTGTTCTGATCATTTCTGATTTGTTCTGTTCAAATCTGTTGTGGTCTATTCTCGTCTATTCCGATCTATTGATCTATTCGAATCTATTCCGTTCTGATCTATTCCAATCTATTCTAACCTTTCTGTTCTAAATCAATTTGATTCTAATCTATAGATTCTATTCTTGTCTCATCTGTTTTATTCTATTGATTTCAATCGATCTATTTTCATCATGTTCAATCTATCTATCATTCATTCCCAGAAGCTATTTTTAATCAATTTGGTCTAACCCATCTATTTTAATATGCTCGGCGTATCTATCTATTATACCTATATCTATCTACCTATATCATTATAGTTATAATCCAATCTAGCCTAATCAGAGTCTAGCGCAGCCAGGTGATGCCACCGCAGGTGCTTTGTGGGCAGGGACATGGGACGCCCCAGGATGCCCTGGGTTCTCACCTCGATAAAATGCTCTTCACTTAATTGGTAGCAAAAAACCAGCTCTGTATTTCAACTTGCTTGCGGGCCACCTGAAGGACAATGTCACTGCTGTTGGGCTTGAGCGACACTCACCAGCATGCAGTGATATCTTGGGTCGATTCTGTTGATGCCAGCCCCCTCTGCAACGTACGGTGATGGCACCGGTGGTTTTCCTTAGCATTTCAGATTCAGATTCGTTGCCTAGTACCCTGGATGATCCTGAATGGGTTTCCCAAGCCAGCAGCCTCCAAGGACAGATTGCTGCCAGTGTGCTGCTTGCCACCAGCGCAAGGGGCTTATGCGGTCTTCAAAATTTCAAATTGCCCAGATTCCGTTGAAGTAGTTTGAAGTGCGATAGTAATAGTTTTTTGAAGTTTTGAAATAATTTGAAGTTCGTGGTGGCAGTGATCCGATGCTGGAAACCAACCCTTGCTGGCAACATTGGCTTTTTCTCTGAGCCCCTTTTGGGATGCCATATGCCACTGCCATCAATTTTTGGAAACCTAGCCATCCCTTCGCAATTCTTCTGCTATGTGAGGTCACCGTGCTGCTCCCAGCTGAGGCAGGGTAACTCATTGATGACTCTGTGTTTGTGTTGCCGTTCAGCGCACGTTCACGCGCATTCTGCTCTGAACTTTGTGAGGATATCACGGCTATCCGTAAAATAAACACATCAGCTGATAAGGAAAACGGTGGAGTTTTCTGCTTTATCTATGATTGTTTGAGGCTTGGGAAGCTCTGAAAATAGCTTTGACGGATGTTAGCAGACCATAGTGAACCCATTCGAATCCTGAGGGTGCTTAGATCACAGCCTTCAGAGACTCGAATACCATCAAAAAGTCTACCCAGACTGACTCAAACCATCAGACTAATCACAGTGCCAATGCAGACATGAAAGTGGTGCTTGGCCTGAGACATGGACGGGAACAAATACGGCCTTTGCATTGCTTTGCTTCACAGTAGCATGTGGGTTGGAGGAGGCCGCTAGCCAGTTTGGGTCAAAACTATAGGCCCGAGCACTCCAGCCTCAGCAGCAAAAAAAAAACAAAATCCAGGTGTGGGATGCTGCGGAATGGTGTGGAACTGATGTGCAGATGGGATGAGTTAAGCCGCGCATCGACTGTCGATCATCGACTGCACGGCTGTTTCCAGACATGATTGTCCTTTGGTGTCCTTTGTTACCTTTTTGCTCAAGACCAAGCTTTGAGTGATGCCAATCCCCACAGGCATGACATGCTCCATGACATGCAGACAGTCAGTGCGGCAATTTTGCTGATTTTATCATAAAGCTGCTGATCGGCCAGCTTTGCTTCCGTGCCAAGGCGAGACCATTGTAATAAGTGCCAAAATAAACGTCCGCCAAGCTTTCAGCGATTCTTGAGCAAAGGGCAGCATCATAAATACCATATCCATGATTGGTAGGCCGGATCAACGAGTGGCCGATGAACCTTTTCGGACTTGCTAGCATCCCAAGAGGTTGCATGTAGTTTTTTCCCGGTTCTTCTTCCCTGGCCTGGCCTCCTTGGTACATGGCATTTGGATCACTTGCCACGAAACGGTGTTTGGCTGGCTCCCCAGATTTTTGCATCGTGTTGGTGTGAAGCATCTTCAGACCCACTTCAAGAAGATACAACAGGACACGGCATGCAATCACATTCGATCACCATATGCGCTCCTCAGCATCCGTGTTTGGACGCTGGCTGCGTACGTAGCTGCAGCTTATAGTGTCAAGATGTGTCAAGAACATGTCCAAAGAGGTAGGAAAGAACAGTGAGCAGCATCTCCCTTCCAGCCCCCCCAGCTTACCTCCAATCACCAGGCTGTCGCAGCTTCACTTTTGGCAGCGGTGAGCTCAGTGAATTTCATGTTGTGGAGGATGGGTAACAAGGCGAAGGAATGGAGAGCGACGGTTGCTGCAAACCAATGCCTGTGAGTGTCAGTGACATTGGGCGGCTAGTGAGATCTAGTGAGTTCTATCTATATAGTTAGTTCTACCGCGCATAGTGAATGTAGCGAGCTGGGCTGTTACTTCTCTGTCAGTGGTATTGCCCGGTCCCCTCGAGAGGTGCTCTTGCCAAGGACAAGGAGCTTGGGGGAGTTGCATGTGTGTGGGTTGGAGTCCATACATCATGCTTGGGCTTACGCTTGTTTTGCTCTCGTAGTGGCACTGGCGACTTCGCATGATAAGCACCAGCAGGGTAACCAGACGTAGGTGCCTCGTGTTTGGGATCTTTGCTGCATGGTGGCCAGCTGCCCTGAAAGTAACTTTCCTTCACCTGCATCTTGCATCTCCGTTGGGTATTTTCCACCCCTCAGCCTTTAGTGATAGAGTCGCGCCGTGCCGTGACGGTCCTGTCATTTTAGTCTTTGTTTTTGTCCCTGGTAGCCCTGCAGGATGCCAAGGGCTAAAGTGAGATCAAGTTGAGTTCAAACTGGGAGAGACAAAGCCATTCTTTTTCTTCATTGCATTTTTTAAAGCATTCCTTCTCAGTATCCATTTGCTCCTCTGTCGGTCTGTTTGCCCACCCGCCGTTCCACCCAGACAGCAAGCCAACCATCCATCCAGCATCTTTCCCTTTCATTCCGTGTGTTTTATTCCCTGCTCGATTTTCGTGAACAGCGTATGGTTGTGACATGTTGTGACCATCTTACCTAATTGACATGTCCTCAGGCAAGTGGTGTCTCAGTTTTGGCAAGTGCAAATAAGAGTGGTCTGGGTGAGTAATGTTCACAGTGTTCACACGCGCAAAGGCACCCACAGTGATGTCGTGCACGAGCGCGTTTTGCTAGTAGGCTGATCAATCCACTTGTCCAGCCATTGCACTTGGCATCATGTCCTTGCCATCCTCGACGATGGCTCAAGCTACAGCCCGCACGTGGCAACAAAAGGGCAGCACTTGGTCACTTGTGTTTGCACGTTTTTGGTTGCCAATTTCATATTGGTAGCGCAGCTTTGGCTCTGGGGGCATACCCTTTGGGTTAGGACCTCAAACACCTGTGGTAACCCCACTGCTTTTCATATCTGTGCCAGCCGTGGCAGCCTTTGCGCAATTAATGGCCATACTGGGGGTCCTGGGCCACGTTCAGCACTACGAATGAGGAACCTACATCGACTGGAGGCAAAGCTGGTGTGCTGGCGATCCAGCTCGCCTTAGCGAGTACTCTTTCAGAGAGAAGAAGTCCATGGCGGGGGATGAGATGAAGAAGCTTGGGCCTCTTGCTCTACAGATAGTTGATGGACTACGCGGAGCAGCACTTCAAGTGGTGAGGGCCCTTCCGGTGGACGAGCTTGCCAACAAGGAGAAAGGCGTGGAGTTTCTGTTGAAGAGCTTGACCAGATCACACCAAGCAGGTGCACAGAATGTCGGCATTCTCAGCCGACAGCGTGGAGAACCGATCGCCAGCTATGTCTTGATGAGACGTATGGAGACGTGCATGGTACAGGATGATGCTAGACTTGCAGTTGCCCGAGGGGATCTTGGCGGAGCAGTTGCTGATGAATGCAGACTGCTGATTCGCAAGGCGATCAAGGTCGACATGGTTTGGGACAAAGTTTGTGAAGAGCTGGTGGCCCAGCACAGCAGAATCCACGAGAAGGAGAAGGGCAACAGTTTTGGTAAGGGCTACAAGTCCTCAGCTTTCAGGGGCTATGGCAAGGGAAGCCCTTCGAAAGGAGTGACGCTCCTACTACTATGTTCAGGAGGACTACGGCCAGCAGGAGTGATGGGAGAGAGCTTCACAATCTCTTGGAGGCTATGGGCACATCACCGAGGACCACATTGTGTATCATCACATGGAGACTGTCGAGCTCTATGCGGATGAGTATGACCCGGTTCAGCTGGCCTTCCAGGCGATGGTGGATGAAGGTTTGGATGAGGAAGACCCAGAAGCGATTGAACATGCAGCTGACATTTTGCAGGCTGAGCCAGAGGCAGGCCACTATGGCTTCTGGAGTAAGGGACATGAACGACAGTTCCAGGTCCATGGAAGCCTCAGCTTGGAGGAGAAACGTCAGCACATCCAAGCGCTCAAGTCAAAGTCTTCTTGCCGACAATGTGGACAAGTTGGACATTGGGCCAATGACCCAATCTGCCCAAAAGGGTCGCGAGAAGGAAAAGGCAAAGGCTCTTCAGCGTCGACTACCAGTACGGCCTCTACCGCGGGGAACAGTTCCCACAAGAGCAAGGGATCTGAGCCCAAACAACGCACCGTCTACTTTGCCATCAATGAGTATAACGAGAAGCCCACTGCGGACCTCTGCGGATACATGGTGACTGTCATCGTTGCAGAAGATGAGAAGACGGCTGATGAGATTTTGGATTCCATGATCGCCCAGGCACAAGTTCAACAGGCTCATCGAGATCAAGCTCAACGAGTTCCTGCGATGCTACCTGCTGGACAAGATCTACGTGCTCGCATGGTGTACATCCTGGACAAGTGACAAGCCTGGCAAGTGATGGCGCCTCACACTGTGCATGGAGAACACCCCATGGGCTCCACAGATGATGCAACGATTGCTGGACGACCACGCTGACATGATACGCAACAAAGAGACTCCATTCTACTCGACATGGGGATGCTCAACAGAGCGAATGGCCTACTTGGACCACTACTTGGAGGTTGTCAACGACCACACCAATCCTGAGTGGCAAGATGCCTATCAAGAAAGATAGAACGAAAGATTGCCTGGTCACCCACTCTTTTCTGAAGCTGACCGGATCAATCTGGTGCGATGGGATGCCAAAGCCCGACAAGGCCTACCTCGTCTTCCTGACAAGGCAATGCACCCGATTCCTGAAGATGAGATGGACAGAGATCCCTTGAGGATGAGCATGAGCGCTCACAGCGACTTCAAGCTCAATACGGCATTGGACCTGATCAGACGCCTGGGAGTTTGAGAACTCCGTCGGCTCCGACCCCTTCAGATTGCGTCCATGCCAGGACAACTACACATGGATCCAATGACCGCAAGCGCATCACCAAGTGCAAGGACTGTGGCCTGCTCTTGCATGAGGAGTTCCTCACGCCAACAGAGAAGATGAAGACGGCTTCGCCTAAAGAATGTGCTCATGAAGACCGAGACTACAGAGGAACGACTGGAACTATCTGGAAGTGGAAATGCAAGACATGCGGGCACAGGGTGACAATTATCTTGGAGAGACGGCCAGAGCGGCCAGTGCAAGATCTGAAGGAGCGGTTGCGCCTACGCCAACTACACCAATGAGGACACCACATGTGACGCCAAGCCCCACTATGGCGACAGCTCGAGAAGACCACGAGGTGGACAATCTCTACCAACGCAGTTGGACAGAATAAACGACAGAAGTAGGCGCGGTGCAGTGGTGAATGATCGTCGACGACCGGCAGCACAACCAGAACGATCTCGCAGTGACAGTGCAGCGAGAGCTTCAACACCATTGCCGGCGACGCCAACTTCTGTGGCACCTTCACCATCGACACCTGGTGAAGTTCAAGATGTCAGGACTTTGGATGGCCAAATTCTGCAATCTGGCGCCTATGCTGGGCGCACCTATGCAGACGTCTACTTCAATGAGATGAACTGCCGGAAGTCCATGGTTGGGAAGTTGATGGAAGTTGAAGAATGGCTCATTGAGCAATCAGCACACCATCAACTTTGCCAAGTACTCTGCTCGACGGCATGAGCAAGAACATGCAGAGCCGAGAGCCTATACATGGTGACCGAGACGACTGGACCTGTCGACGATGATTGTGTCATGGCAGTCTTGGATACAGGCTGCAACAACACCTACCATGGTGACAGCTGCTTAAGTGCATGGAGAAGACAGGACGGCGGAGGTTGCTGATAGGAACTTCCGAGGAGTTGGTGGACGAGTGATAGTGTCATGCAAGCGGGAGATACCAATCCACCTGAAGACTCTCAATGATGAGATGGTTCCTGGAACTATCACCTCGGTGGAGCTTGCAGACACCGACGCTCCCTTGCCATCCCTTGCTGCTGAGCGCTGGTGCACAGCAGAAAGTGGGTCTGGTGATCGGCATGGGGAACCACACCATCTACAGCCGCACGCTGGACAAGGAGTTGGAGCTGATTATGCACAATGGTTTGCCTTCCGTCGCACTTCATCCTGGAGAACCTGGTCTGGGCAACATCGTGCTGAACGCCATCGAGGAGCAGCACGACATCCAGGACATCTTGCAGAATGACCACGTCGTTGAGGATGACGACACTGTCAAGTATGTGGACACGGTTTCAGAGGAGGAGAACAAAAAAGTGAACAAAGGTGGCAGTGACTACATGCCTATCAGTGAGGGCAAGGTCGAGATCATGACGCGCAGGCAGCGCAAACATCTCCAAGAGTCCCTGGACGAAGTGGAGAAGGAGGATTGTGCTATGTGGTCTACTTTGTCACCGAACTACAAGCGACCGAGAAGGATGTTGCCGCAAGGATGCAAGTCCTTCCTGATGGAGATCTTCGCTGGTGTGGCTACCCTCAGTTGCATTGCTGTTGTCAAGTTGGGGTTGAAAATGTCGGCGGCCATCGATGTAGCCTATGACGACAGGTACAACCTCTTGAAGAAGTCCAACCGGGACTACCTGGAGAAGTTGGTTGAGGATGAAGATCCTTTTCTACTTTCTCTTGCGCCTGTTTGTGGACGCTGGAGCAGCTGGCAATATGTCAACATGTCCAAGGACGAGGACACCAGGGAGAAGATCATCCAGCAGCGCAAAGAATGGTATCCAGTTTTGCAGTGTGTGGCCAAGATCATCAGATCACGACTGGCCAAAGGTCGTGAAGTTTTGGCTGAAAACCCATGGCCATCGCTACTTTGGCGATTGCGCTGTGTGGAGGACCTCACTGCAGAACCGGTCTACAAAGCTTCTGGAGCTGGTGAGGATTGATCAGTGCATGTGTGGCCTCATGGATGAAGCATCAGGCCTACCAATTCAGAAGGCCACCGGACTGCTGCTTTCATCACGTCAGATGAAAGAACTTCTTCAACTGCGTTGTGTTGGAGTTCATCAACATCAACGACTAGAAGGAGGATCAAGGACAAAGAAAGCAGAGCAGTGGCCGGGGAGTCCATGCTTCTCCATCATCATGGGCGCCTCATGATGGGCGCCGTAGAGGAGATGAAAAGTCAAGTGGTGCAGCTAGCTTTTGCCACCGAAGCCGCACAAGAAGAGCAAGAAGAGATGGGCCCTTTGGATGGTGTTCATGGACCTGAAGATGTCGAAGAGATGCTGGCGAAGCGACGCCGAATTAACTTGGAAGAGTTGGACCGAGAAGAGGACTATGAGGAAAAGAATGTCGACAACACTGAGGAGGTCGTGGCGTACAAAGAGAAGGTGAGGAGAGACATGGAGAGACAATTGGCCGAAGATCAGCCAGGATCAGAGAGTGGCACTCAGGAGATTGCGTGCGATGATGGGCCATTGCTTGCCATTGCTCTACAGAAGCTCTCATTCGCATGTTGCGGGCTTCAGGCTGTGACCGACAAGTCATACAAGCAGCCCGATACTTCAGATGCCCCAGCCGTGATGAGATCAAGAATCAAGAGCGACCACGAGTGGTCAAGCCCATGAAGGAGCCCCACCAGATGCAGTTCAACAAGGAGGTGTCCATTGATGTGTTTGAACTGCATGATGCAATGGATGCTCGACATACGGTGCTGAGCATGGTGGATGTGGCGACGCTCTGCCAGATAGCAGTGCGACCGGGAGGCGGTGGAACTCCATCATCCAAGCTATGCGTCGAAGCTATGAACCAGTCATGGTTCACCCGTTTTGGAGCACCTGGTGCAGTGGTGACGGACCAAGGAGCTCATAACTCTGGAAAAGTCCGAGGGCTACTTCTGGCACATGGCGTGGACATCAGAAGAATTGGTGCTCAAGCACCACACCAGCTGGGCATCGGTGAACGCCGCGGTGGTTTGTTGGAAGCCATCATGAAGAAGGCGACCCACAACCGACAATTTGCCGGTGCCGAAGCGTTGTCAGCCCTATGTGCAGAAGCATCGCGTGTGAAAAATTTGACCATGAACTTGGGAGGTTTGGGCCCGGCCCAATGGGTTTTAGGACGGACACACACACACACACACCAACGGACTGGAGCAGCTTGGCGAGCCATGATGGCGAAAGGCAATTGGGTCTACACCAGAACTTGGTGGACATGGAGGAGGAGAAGACCCCACAAGAATCCTTCATGATTCAGAAGAGAAGTCTTCATGCAGTTGGACAGCTGCACAAAGCTGCCCCTATCAGGGGACCATACCGAGTAGGCAATATGGTCAATTTTGAGAGAAAAGGGAAATCGTATGGACATGTATGGGCCTGCACGAGTCTTGGCCTATGAAGGAAGAGCCCCACTATGGTTGGTGCATGGCGGTGTGAGCACTCTGGTCGCTGAGACATCGTGCAGGCCATCTTCAACTGAAGAGATCTTCAAGAACAACGTCTTGGAGCAACGCCCCATTCAAAGAGACGGTATCAGCTGATATCCTCAGATGAGGATGATGACAACCCAATGGAGCAAGTCCTTCTCCCGCGACGCTGATGAAGCGAGGCATCTACGGCCAAGGTATGATGGACAACCTCTCTACGTGGATGTGGCCGATGCCCCTACGATGCTGCCATTGGATGCAACAGCTGATGATGACCCAGTACCACCTGGAATGGCTGCTACCCCAGGAGGCGATGCTGATGGACAAGCTGATCATGGAGCACCACAACTACTTCCTGATCTACCGGAACCAGTTCCAGATCCAGATTTTGAAGTTTTGACTCCGCCTGGACTGGATGAAGATGACGTGGTGCCAAGCCCATCGCGGATCAGCGACCTGAGCGGCCAACTGGAGATCGAGGTGAGCCCGGAGACAACCATGTCTGAAGAGACCTCGGATCCTCAAGCAGATCTGCCTCCTGGACTACCTCAGCAACCTGCCCTACCTGTTCAACCTCAACAACGCCAGCAGGAACTTTGAATGAAGCCCTTCGTAATCCTGGACGCCTTTGTAGCAACTCGACAGGACAAGAAGATCACCGAGAAGGTCAAGCAGCATGCGAAGCGCAATCAGAAGACTGGAGCAGGAAGGGAGGTGATCTACAAGACCTACACCAATGAGAGGTGGATTTCAGAAGCTGAACTGCAAAAGATGAAGAACAACCACCCCGAGCTGAAGGTCATTCCTACGCGTTGGGTCGAAGTGGACAAAGCTGAAGTTGGACAAGAACCAGTGATGAAGTCCCGCATCGTGCTGAGAGGAGATCTAGAAGATGCCAGCCGCATGAGAACGGACCCCCCAACTTGCAGTCAGTTGATGCTGTCAACTGTGTTGACACTGTCAGCATGCCGAGATGTTGACCTGTGGGCTGGAGACATTTCAGCTGCCTACAAGGTTCAACGCTGGTCCTGAGGATGCTGATGCCAAAAGGTCGCCCGAGGAGGAGGGCCAAGGCGAGGACTATGTCATCTCCACAGCCGTCTATGGCACCAAAGATGGACCTCGAGGTTGGTACAAGAACCTCCACACTGCGGTAGTGAAAGTTGGGCTACGACCTGTACCGCATGAACAAGCAGCGTTCGTGCTCAACGACGAGACTGGTGTAATCGCTGGATTGGCCATAGTGCACATCGATGACATCCTATGGACTGGTGGAAGGGTCATGGAAGAGAAGATGCAGGAGGTCATCGAGCTCTACAAGGTCGGCAAGGTGGAGAAGAATGACTTCAAGTACTGTGGCCGCCAGATCCTCAAGGACTCCAAGGGCGCGCATGTGACTTGCCCAAGCTTCACAGATCGAGTTCAACCGATCTACATGGGCACAGCTGAAAGGAAGAACAAGCAATGTGCAGCCACTGATGGCTACAAGCTGCAGCTGCGATCAGTGATTGGTTCACTGGCCTGGTTGGCAAGGGTTTGTCGCCCTGACCTTGCCTATCCCGTGAACTACCTGCAGGCGCGTGTCGGCCTATGGAGATGTGGCATTTGCAAACAAGGTGATCGCCATCGCTCGTGCCTCCAAAGAATGTTGGATTGCACCACCCGCTCAAGGCTTTCGACTTTGACAAGGCGGCGGCCGTTGGTCTCCAAGATGCAAGTTTTGCAAATGATGCTGAGGTGAATGATTCTGGAAAGGCCTCAGGATCCAGGAGCTAAAGTGGAAGACTCCTATGCGTGAGTGGTCCTGAAACTCTCGTCAGGGACCTTTGCTGTTGCTTGACTGGCACAGCACAACGGTCAAGAGAGTCTGCCGCAGCGCACTCCAACCCGAGACCCTAGCACTTTTGGCTGGAATGGAATTGAATGTGAACATCTGAGGATGGTGCTACATGGGCTTCGACAAGATCACCATCGATACGACAAGTCGTGGCAAGTGGAAGCTGTGGACTACACCCATGTGGACCTCTTCACAGACTGCCGAAGCTGGGAGGAGTATGTCAACCAGCCGGGTCTCCACTCGACCAGTGACAAAAGATTGGCAATCGACCTGACCGGGATCCACCAACAGATCTGGAGAAAGCTGCAAGAGGAGACAAGTGATCCACTGATCGCTGACCGTTTGCCAGAGGGAGCAACAACCAAGCTTCACTGGCTTTGCACAACGAAGATGGCCGCGGACTGCTCGACAAAGGCCACGCGTCCCGGTACCTTGGTGGATTGATTTTATTCCAGAAAAAGAATGGGTGTGAAAGTGAGTATCAAGCCATGCCTGTAGACTGATCAATCCATTTGTCCAGCCATTGCACTTAGCATCTTTCCCTTGCCATCCTCGACGATGGCTCAAGCTACAGCTCGCATGCGGCAACAAAAGAGCAGCACCTGGTCACTTGTGTTTGCACGTTTTTGGTTGCCAGTTTTATACATAAAAATAAACATTGGCTTTGCTGAACATTGCCCCGGCAAGTTTGGATTGGCTGCTACCACGCGAAAAATTGAGGCTGTGCACTCAGCAGGGGATGGGGTGTGGGAGCAGCAGGATCATACGCATAGTCCCCTAGTCACCCAATCCATCGCCCTCCATATGTATCCGAGGATTGAAGTGGTCTTGGCAGCTTCGGAATTCTGGTTTCTTTTTGGTTGACATCAATATAGACTGTATGTGTATGTATATATACATATATATACACATATGTATATATACATATATATACACATATGTATATGTATATATATATATATATATGTATAATACAGAAGTATATATCTAGCTAGCTATATATATATGAATGTATGTGTGTCTTTTTCATTGTAATGCAATAAAAGTAATGATAGCAACAATAATTGGTTAATAACACCAATAAGAATACCAACGGGAATGATAATGAAATAATGAGAATAATAATTGTAAAGATAATAATAGTAATCGTTATAGTAACCATCAATAACAATAATAACAACATCAATAAGAAAGAATAACAAACCAACAAAAATCAAACAAAAAAAATCTAACAAACAAAAACAAACAAACAACAACAAACAAAGACAACCAAAAGCAAACAAAAACAAACGAAGAAACACACACAAAAACAAACAAAAACAAACGCGAAAACACAAACAAAACAACAAAAACAACAAAAAACACAAGCGAAGAAACACAAACAAAGAAAAAAAACACAAACGCAGAAATACAAACAAAGAAACAAGGAAACACAAACAAAAAACACAAACAAAAACAAAAACAATCAAACAAACAGAAACAATCAAACAAACAAACAAACAAGCAAACAAGCAAGCAAACAAACAAACAACTAAACAAACAAACAAATGAATGAATAAATAATAAATAGATAAATAAATAAATAGATACACGCACTCACACACACACATGTATATATATATATAATAAAATTTGCGCCGAATAATTGTGTCACATAGCAGAAACAGGGAAAAATCAACACATCCAGTTTTGATTCAACACATCCTCGGGTTTGAACCGAACTTCGATGGGTTGCTGCACCTCAGGCTTGAGACCAGCTGAGAACATAACGAAAAATGACGACATGACTCAAGCAGAACCCATTGGCCCATCCCTCTTTTTCCAATGGTCGGCCACTCATGACTGTTTTCACTGTTCTCCAAACATTTCCATTGAAATCGCAACCAGAATCACCTTCACAAAGTCAGCATACCTACTCACAACACCCTACCTGTAGCGTTGCATAGTTTGACTTCAGCCTTGCACTTGAATTCCATCTGAGTGTGCTTCTCGTGACCGATTTTGGTTTGGACGGTTCTGACCGCCCAGAGTTTTTGATCAAGGAGCCATTGTGTAGTCTTTGTGAAGCGATTGCGATTTTGCGTGCCACAGACAGATTGCAACTTTTGAGTTTGATGCGGTCGCCCATGCATTAAGCTTCAAAACTGACACGTTGGTCATGCAATTCGAAGCAAGTATATACTGGGCCATGGTGAGTGATGGAGGGATGGAGGTCACCTTCATTTGTTCACTGTGACCGCCCTATGTCGCCCCATGCCCCTGCCATAGTTGGCCCGCAGGATTCGCACCTTCTGTCGTCGCGCGATGGACTCTGCCTACCTGAAAGAGATCGGGTTGGATTTGCGAACAGCACCCATGATCACAGTTTCCAGGAGAGCTTGGAGGGTTGTTAGTCCATGTTAGTCCTTCATGTCAATGTGAAAAGTTGAAAATGTGGGCTTCGCAAAAGACAAGTTTAGTTTTAAAGCATGGAGCAGACAGGAAGAGTCTCCTCTTTTGGAGTCCACTATGCGATTGTAGAGCCTTGACATCCCTCCCCGAAAATTTTGCGCAGAACTGGTGTTCCTGCAAAGGATGGTAGTGAGGTAAGCACCGGGAAGCAAAGAATGGGTATACAGCTGCCTTGCCAGGGGCACGAGCCAACCCTACTCCAGCGCCGCAGCACCTGTCGCTCCAGCTTCACCGGTCATGCGGCTACAGATGGTAGTCTTTTTTGGCCTGATGACCTGGAACGTGGAAGAAAAGATGTGAACATGGACAAGTAATAAATGCAAGAATCACACGAAATCATAGCAAGACCCAACAAGGAGGATAAACATGGCCAGGTAGCAATCGATAAGGGCATGGTGGTGGTGATGGTGATGTTGATGATCAGGATGACCACTGTGAGTGGTGGTCATGGCGGCAGTCTCTGCTACCACTTTATGGATCTTTATGGCAGTGTTGGCTGATAGTGATGGCGCTAATGACGCTGGCCATCACACAACTTTTCAATGGGGGGTTTAGCAGGAGCTCTGTTCTTTCCCACGAGTTCAACACACATCGGTAACCAGTCCCCTCACATTGGCAGCTTGGCATCGCTGATTCCCATGTCCTATGGTTCTGAGGCAAAGAGCCCGAAGGGCTCGGTGAATGGAACCGCCGCAAGCAGTTTTGGCAAAGACTTGCTGGGCCAAGGCTTCGACAGGCGAACCTGCTTTCAAGCATTGAATCACTTAAAGCTTTATAGAATGGCCTTTACGCAAATTATTGCAGAATATTGCAGATCCTTATGGTCAGAATTCAAAAAAGTAGCACTGTGAATTGAACTTGGATTGCACTGAAACCTCCAGTGAATGTCGAGTAGGGATACGCCTGCCTGCACTGTACACAGCCAAACGTTTGAGTACGTACATAGATGGCTGAAAAGTGCTGAATATCAATTCGAGCTTCAGCCAGATGTTTTGAAGGGCGGTGATCCGTGGAAACCATCCTCCTTGGTTGGTGCCAAATGCAGCTCGGCTTGTATTACGTCGATTTTCATTGATTCCTGAACCAACTACGACTTTTCTTGCTGGAACAATCTGAGAAACTAACACGTCATGACACGTCTGAGGCTGGACACGATAGCGGCCTGCAGGCAGAGTGTGTTTGAATTTTGAGCGCAGCTTCAGACCGTGTTTCGAGCCACCGTGTTGATTTGACGATGCACAGACTCGCAGTCTGAATACACGAGGAAAAACATAGAACTAACAAGTAAATGTGCAATGCCAAGTTCGTATTGATAACCCCCTTCCCCCCGTCCAAGTCACCTTCCCCCCTAGAAGGCAAGAGTCACCCCCATTATTGCGCACGGATTGGAGCATGCATGCGGGCAGCAGCGCAGCCCACATGTCCAAGAAGTCTCTGCTCTAAACATGCCAAGGGCGTGAGAAACCCTGGCAATTGGTGATGGGCCGATTGCCCACAAAAGCTTGAAGTGTCTGCAAAGTAGACAACTCCAAATCTTTCGGCCATCCCAACCAGATAGCCCTTTGAACAGGGTAGATTTTAACCTGTATTAGGTCTATCTGACCAACTGTCCAGCTGATGCGAGTGCAATCCTCAAAACATTTGAACAGCTTCCTGAAATAGGAGAAATCCCGAGCAAAAGAAACCAAACTATACTTATCGGCACCCCCTCCTCTGACACTGAGGGGCCCACCACCACAAAAAACCCGAAAAGCAACAAAAATCTCCAACAAGCTAACCAATCTCATTTCAGCTGCACTCCCATCGACTCTGATGAGCCATTGACAGAATTGTGCCAAAATGGTATCTGCCTCTGCTCCCAAACTGCTCTGAAACAAACCAGTCTCCAGCCATGCTGATAACTGTACAGAAACTTCGGCTGTGTTTGGGCTGGTAACAAAATCAAAATGTGAAACCTCGAACCCTTGATCATCTTCATATGATTCACTTGTCTCGCCTGTACAATCGTATGCTGCCACTGCAAGGTGAAAGCTAGTCATCAGCTTCACCCGTTGCTTCCAGTCTTTTCGATACTGCAAGAATCTGTTCCACACTCGAGTGAAAAATTTTGGTCTTGTCACGTTTGCTAAATCTGCTTGTGTATCTGCCGCCGCATTCCACTTCTGCGTCCATTCTTCCAGAGGGCTAATGCACTCCGCTAAGGGCAAATGGCTAACAACCTTGTGTGGGACAATCTCGGCTCTCACCACTGTCAAGATGGTCTCAATCTCCTTCCACAGGTCTGAATGGTCATACTTTGACGCTGTTCCAGTTCCACGCAAGAGATCCCTAAGGCAATCGAGCACTGATTGCGAGTCCACCCAAAGATGAAGAACCCCTTCATGTTGTTGCACCCAACCCAAAGCGCTCAGAATAGCAGTTGTCTCCGCCCTAAAAATGGTTTGATGGATACCTGACAGATAACCGCAAGAAACGGTGCCGTGATCGGCCCACACTACTGACCAAGCTGCCAGTGGAGCGCCTGGATCTTCACGAGCGGCACATGTGCCATCTGTAAACAAATGCCAGGTGCCTCCCGTTGGCTGCATCTCATACGTTGTGACCAAGCTTGGTAATGCTTGGAAAGCTTCCCAAAGCAATTCCTGCCAAGGATTGGCGGGAACAAGGCCATACAATTGAAAACAGACTGGAAGATCTTGCCACTCTGCAAAAAGGTCTTGATGTTGAGCACGTATGTGATCATATTTACTGCAGACTGTATAACGATGTTCTCTACTGTCCAGAACCCCACAACTGAGACAAAGTGTAGATTTGCTTGCATCGTATTTTCCGCAGTACTGATTCGTGAAAAAACTGCCATCTCGGATGATGTTCAGTTGTTCCACCTGAGATGACTGGAAACTCTTGTCATAGTACGTTGTCAAAGCATGATCAAAACCATTCAAGTCTTGATAACCCTCTCGTTGTTGAACTTGTCTTGCAATTGCACCTCGGAAGCAGTGGGCAAGGACCTGTTCAAGCATCTCATCTGAGCAAGCAGTCAAGTCCAAATGGCCTCGCTGGGAAAACCAAATGCATGCCGATTCATCGATGTGCAGACCAATATTCTGCAGAACGTCCAACAACTTGCCAAAAGGCCCATAAGAGTCTTCATGCTGTGCTTCACAAAATTTTTTCCAGAAATCTGCAATCACGGGGTTACTGTTGTATTGTTTGCGGAAGGTCTGCACCACACGCCAGAGTTGAAACCACGCTGGGTCAGAAAAGGTATGGATGAGCCCAAAACGCACCAAAGGAGATGCTCCTCCTCTTTTCCAGTTAACTGCTTGCATGGCTCCAGAACGCATAGTCGTGAAATGACTGATCCCCACTGTCACAGCTTCGCAACCATGTAAAGCCCGGGGCCACAGCACCTGACGCAAGTTGAGCAGCTTGGCTTGCGTTGGAAGCTTGGCATTCCTGAGCTTGCCATAGTATGGCTTGACACTGGCTATCCGGTCCGTAAGGACACGGTTTCTCAGCTGTCGACAGTATGTGACCTGTCCTCCAAGATCCCTGGCTCCCAAACTTACATTATACCCCAAAGTTTTAAGTTCCTTTCGACCTGACTGGCTAGTGGACCACGCACACAAGGCAGAAAAATCCAAGTCCAAGTCCAAAAGGGAACAGAAGGACAAAAGGGTTTGCACGGCCCCATGAACAATCGCAGAAGAGACGCCGAGGAACTCAAGGTTGTCAACATAACTCAAACAGACAGGATGTGGCGAGGCCACGGATTGCCACCAGTGCCATGCAGTGTCAATGGCTGCCATTGCGGCACATGATAAAGGACAGCCTTCAGGAAATCCAGTGCAGGCTTGGACAGCTGAGCTTGTATCTCCATTGACAACGAAGAACCTAGTGAACTGTTGAAGGTGGTCAGACCAGACACTGATGAACCAAGTCGGCACACCCATCAAACGCAGAAACTCAAACGCAGGGCAGCGAGGAAGGGCATTATAAGCTTTGACAATGTCCGCAACAGCGCCGAACAAAGGCATGGATTGCTGCATGGCCAATTCCAAGCAAACCCCTACCAGGTACCAAACATCGGCCGATTGACGACCCTTGACAAAACCACATTGAAATCTTGCCGCTCGGGCAGACAACTTGGCAAGGATCTGGCCTGATCGAATGCCCGCAAAGATCCGGTAAAACAAGCTGGTAACCGTGATGGGGCGAAATCCATCAACCGTGCAGCTGGACGCACGTTTCTGCAAGCAATGGATCAGGCCTACGCACCACTGGGTTGGCCAAGGAGCGCCGGACTCAATGGCTGCATAAAAGTCAATGACAGCCCCAACTTGGGATTCGTTCAGGTGCTTCAGATCCTGCAAGGACCATCCGCAGGGCCCGGTGGCTGCATTCGTTTTGAAAGAGCTGATAGCACGCTTGAAATCCTGAGCAGTTATCGGAGGCAAGTCAAAAGGTTCGAACTGCAAATGGAGACGAGCAAAGTCCACGATGTTCTGCCAGTGGCTGACCGGAACATCTTGATGCTTATTCCAACGGGGAGACCACAGGTCAAGCAGGCGGTTATGTATGGTGGCAGTGTCATGGACCGCAACATGGCAAGTCAGGATCTGATTTTCGGCCAACAAGTAATCAGATTCAACCTGGTAACCCTCGGGATGGGGCTTAACCACAGCTGGCTGATCTTGCAAAGTCCAATGCGTCACATTCTCCGTCGGAAAAGGCTCCGGCACCTGCACAACACATTCCTGTGGATTCACAAGGGAAATAGCCTGTGGGAACTTATCCTCCAAACAGTCCAAGGTGTCTTTGGCAGGTTTCCTAGACACAGCAAAAAGGCCCTTGGTTGATGACGTCATCTTGGATTGACAGCTCAAACGTCGTTTCTGTAGTTGCCAGCTTTCAAAACGGCGATAGTTGTGATAGAAGTCATCATACAAAAGGCCAGCTATGACTTCATCTGGTGGGTACGCCGGGATTGTGTCAGGCGTACCCTGCAGCTTGACTGGTCGTGATGGCCACCAGGTCACAAAGCCATGTTCAAATCCTGCCGCATGGAGAATGCTGTTCCAGAGTGCTGCACGAGCCAGAAAGGTAGCACCTGCATTGTCTGACCTAACCGCATGCATATACGACTGCATCCGACGCAACTGTTTAAACCAGCGAGCAACGGCTCGATTCAAGAAACCACAGACCTGCTGAACTTCACCTGGCCGGCTATGCTTGGGAACTGCATAGTTGCACTTTCGTGGTTTTGGCTGAGTCATCTTACCACGGCCAAAGAAACTACGATCTGCCTGCGCTGTTGGATGGCTCATACTTGCAGATGCTGCTTGCTCAAAACGGCTACTCCATTCCCGGAAGGCACTCGTGGAATCCAACAAACGAAGGTCAAACGAATCAGAGGGCTCAGACGGATGTAGGCAACCCACAGGCCACACACCGACAGGGAACACAGAACCAACATCCTGATTAGAAGTCCATCGTTCTTGGGATATATGATTCCAAGGAATATGTCCAGGAAGGTGCCATTGCATTGAGTCTCTTGGCAAAGATGGCAAACGGAGCCCAGCAAGCAAAACATCATGATCAGGATAAAGCTGCCAAACACTGACGTTGGAGATCAATGGGATTAGTTCCGGAGAAATCCAGATTTGGTCAGGAGCTGTGGCTCCTTTGCAAGTTGGTCGTGGTGTGATAGAATGGAGCCCATGCATTAAGTCCTGGAGTTCCACCCATCCTTGCGATTGCCACAACTGCATTTGCCTCAAACTACCAGCTGAAGTGTTGAAATCGCCACAGATGATCCTAGCACCGGCACGCCCAAACACAAGTGCTTCTGTAACTGGTTCCAACAAAGATTCTGCCAATTCAGTGGCCTGTGGGAACGAGGGGCCTTTGGCAGGACAATAAACAGTAGCAGAAGTAATCTGCAAGTTTCCGATATGGGCCACAGTGAGCATGACTCGGCCGCTATGGTACTCACCGTCAGGCCAGAAAGACGGCACCTGACGAAGATGGCAATCAGCGAAATTGAGGACCCCAGTCCAAGCACCAGCATAGTGAGATCCCGACCTCAAAGGGGCTGGGGCTCCCATACAACACCGAATGTTGCGACTCTGACGCATTGACAATGCTCGCAAATGGCTATGCACCATACTTTGTTGTGAAGAGGATGCATGAGTCTCGGCCAAATGGAACCAGCCAAGCGGAAAACGATCCAACGTGTACAGTTTGTTATTGATTCCAGAGGGGTTCCCAGTACCAATGACAAAGTCAGGCTTTTCTGGTAATGCCCATGTTGGCTCATCAACGACAAACGGCCCTGGAACGGTGGCCTCCCCGACACGGCAAAACGCAAGAAAGAAGACACAGAAAGTCCAAAGACGAGAGAAAAATCCAAAGGACAGAGTTCGACGTATGGGCACCCTTCGAAATCCAGAGAAGGGCCCCTGCTGACCTAGTCAAGCCGTGCGGGCTTTCTTGGCCATGAGCGATTCAATCTGCTCTGTCTGCTTGGCAAAGTATGATTCCAAAGTCTTAGAAAGACCGTCTTGGAGCGATGACACGTCTGACGATACCTTGGTGATGGCCTGACCTTGGACTACCAGAGCCTGAGTGCATGCTGAGACGTCTGTTGCAACTTGATTGATGGCCTGGCCTTGTTCACCAATTCGGTGATGGCATTGCTCGACAGCTTGATGCAGCTGATGACAGTCCTGCTGCAATCCGGTGACTTTGGTGCCACCTTCTGTCACCCAGTGCTCAAGTCTGGTCTGGTGCTCGATGATCGACTGGATTTGTTGCTCTACATGTTGAACTCGACAGCTGGTGTCGGTGTCTTGCAACTCCTGGGCGATAGTGGTCTTGATATGGTCTTGAAGACGTTGTTCAACATCATCAAACTTCTGCTGCACATGTTGTGATGGTGGTGCCGGGGCTTTAACGGATACCGCTTGATACCCGCCCCAAGGATCTCGACCAGAAGTCCAGGGGTCGACAGGCTGTGCTGAGGACGCAGCTGGGCGAGTAGTGCCAATGTGCTGCTTGGTTTTGGCAGTGGCGATCAGATGTTGAGCTGGCGCTGATTGTACCTGATCTTTCACCTTGGCAACACTAATCCAACCATGTTTGGCCTGGATAAACTGACTGGGTGGTGGGGTCTCAGCTCCCACAGTCCATGCTCGCCCTTGGGAGCCTTTGCAGGGCTGCAATGGCTTGGCTTTCCAGTTGACTGTTTGCAAAGTGTCGGAAAGAGACTGGCGATGTGTACCGACAGGGAGTGGCTCAAGGCGGTACACTTCTTTGATTGCACAATGCACAAAGGGAACCTGGGGCCTCAATTCGTTGTGTACTTCTTCCTGGTATTTGGCTTGGCACCTAACTCCATATTTTGTTCCAATGCGACAGGCGGCAAGGCAATGGTCATGGGTTTTGACCTTGTGCATGATGTCTGGCATGGTCGCTTGTGGAATCCACACAACTGAAAAGGCTGGATCGGCACCCGGTGAATCCTGGCAACGTGGCTCAAAAAAGACACCGTCTGTCCCGGAAGCACTATGGAGGCTGACAAAAGATGACTCCGGCACACGAAAGTAAACCGACATGACTTCGGCATTGGCAGGTGTGGCTTTGGCGCCATCTGTTTTCATCCATCTGAAGGCCCAAACATCTACCAAACCTGATTCGACCCCGGTTTCTTCTATCGATGGATGGTAGGCTCCACACAAGGAGTCACAGTCAGGGTTTCTGCACAGTTTCAAGATGGGAAAGGACTGAACCAACGATCTGACAGGATGAGCAACAAACTCAGACCAATCATGCGACAAAGTCCAAAGGTCCTTAAAAACATGAAGCCGAAAAACAACTGTCGGGAAAACTGCCAATTCTGGAGCCTCTTGGCTGATCTTCCGATACACTGCTTGATCGCCTAACTGAACAGAGATGACATCGAGAATGATGGGCTCATTTGTTCCACGGTAGATGGCTGGGACTCGCAAAGCATGTGTTGGCAAACCCTGTGGAGCGGCTTCCGGCATGGATCCAACAACCAAAATTGACAAACCCTCGGCAGAAATTGATTTTCCTTCGGCCAAAAAAGGCTGCACGTCTTGATATGTGCCAAAAGCTATGCCCCTTGCGTTCTTCTGGACCTCAGTGATTCCGATTTGTGCCAGTGCTGTGCCGTCGTTGGTCGTGAAAACTCCAGCTGGAAGCATCAAGCTCGCAGGATCGAGCTGGGCTGGCAAGGCAGGTTTCTTGGCTTCTTTGCTACGTCGGCCTTTCTTGCTGTCTGATTCGATTCCAAACTGTTGATGCGACCGATCACGAATATGGATCTGAAGTTCTTCATGTGTGACCCACATGAAAGGTTTGGGTCTGGAGTTGCCCAATTGTTTCAGCGACATCCATGTGTTCTTGGCTCCAAGGGCCCTCGTGATCGCAGGGATTCCAAACACCTTGATGGCAGCTAACGCACGGTTTTTGACTTCATCGGGTGGCACTCCATGCGCTGGCAGGATCTGCTCAAGTGATTTGATCACTGCGTTCTCTTCAGCTCCAAAACCACTTGGGCCATGGACATGTGTCATGCTTCCACAAATGGCAAGGCTTTCGTGCAGCAGTTCGAATTGATCTGCCTGATCCTCAGTCAAAAGTCCAAGCAGAAAACCAAAGTGCGCAAGAGCTATGGTGCCACATGAATCGATTCTTGTTTGTGGGAATTTCCATGTGGTATGCACTGACACTCGAGTGACCTGCCACGCTGTCTTCAAACTTTCAATGACGGGATTGAGCTGCTGAATGCTGGTGCAAGCAAGTCCATCATAATGCATGATCTCCAGCCTGTCCTGTATGAGTGAACAGCTAAGAAAAGTCCAATGGCGGTCGACCAGCACAAACATGAAAACAGGTGCACAGTTGACCTGAAGTAGCTGAGTTTGGCAAATGACCTGCAGAGCACTCTCCTGCCCAACACTGACAACCTTGATCTGTTCTGCCCGAAAGTCCAAAGGGCGATTGACGATCCAAGCTTTGGCAAAGTCAAAAAGGAATTTGGCAGTAAGTCCAATGCCAGCGACGGGGGATGCCTCAGGCGTCAAGGGCTTTGGAAGTTGATCTTGGGTTGCTTCATAAACCAGTGTGGGAGAGCAGGTTCCCCTGCAATCTCCGCCAAAGTCAAATGGCCGACTTTGTCGATTCTGTTGCAAGACCTTCGCAACATGACTGGGCAAGTCCAAATCAAAGTCCAAAAGTGCGAAGATGCGTTCTAGGGTACCTGGTAAACCAAACTCAATGCCTCGTGCTAGGTGAACATCCGTTCGCACCTGTCTGTTTCCAGCGACATGAGCACGAAAAGCCAAATGTGCTGCCGACACAGAAACTTGGCACTCAGGTTCAAAGAAAGTCACAACGGACTCATGTGGAGACATGACAATTCGCAAGAGATTCCAACCCCACTGTTCCAAAACAATGGCATACAAGCGAGTGGTAGGGACAGATACCCAAGCTTTCAGCGAATCTTCAACCGAACTGGGCCAGAGTTCCACGACGGCAGACGCAAAAGACGGAAGCCAAACCGCCAGAGGTAGAAATCCAGACCCCGCCCAAGATACCAACAAGTTGGACCTCACAAGTTGATCGACATGCCACAAACCAGTGCCTCCCCAGGATTCGGTGCAGCGAAAACCAAAAGTACCTGGCATGTTGTCGGCTCCAAGTCCATCGAGCCTCAAGGACAATTCAAATTCCACATCCTCCGGATCTGACTGCACAGTAAGCACTTGCCAGGGGGAAATGATACTCTTGAGTTGCTGTGGCTCCTGAAAGACATCGACGACCGCACGGAACCCTTGAATCCCTACCCAATTCAAAAGCATCTCAATTGTGAAGCTGGATGGAACCACATACATCTTGCGGATGCCTAAGTATTCCAGGCAAACAGGCACTGGTAGGACTGGAAAACCAACAGCTGAGACAAGAATATCCACTTGATACCTGCGCTCTTGGACAAAAGCCCATGTTGGGAGTTCCAAATCTTGGCACAAAAGACGGATGCTTCTGGTGTCAAACTGCAAGGTCGCTTCAGCTTGGATCAAATCACCTATGGTTTGCTTGGTATGGAAAGCTACCTGGACACTACCATGAGGAAAATCCAAAGTTGCATTGCCTACTCCTGGTCGTGGACTTGGCCAAGTGATGTCACGGTGCACAATGATAGCACGCATGTACTCACATATGCATTCACTGGGTGTCTTTGTCATCATGTTCAAACCCTGGTACACATGTGCTAAAGTCCAAAGCACCTGAATGGGAGACACAGAATTGCCGAACAAACACAGCTGGGCTCTGCAATCCGACAAAATCTCTTGGAGCGGAGGAAATCCAAGCAAGAACTGCAGTTCTCTCGGATGGATGTGTCTTGAGGCATGTGGCCATAAGCCTGACAATACTTCGATTCCACGCAGGCCTTTGGCTTTCAGTGTGCTTGGGCTGAAACCCTGACTACGGCAGCCACATGGGCATTTGTACAAAGCTGAACCCCAGGAATGCAAAGCAGTTGGCAACGGCTGAGTCAAGTCCACTCGACGATCTGGATTACCATAGGTGGGATCTTTATACACCTGTCGTTCCAAGTCTGTCCATTCCAACTGGCTTTCATCTCGATCACTCCATGTTGGCCACAAGTTGAAGGGAATCACATCCCCGACAGTTGGCAATGGATTCAAACATGGCATGGGATGCAGCTGGAACTCGGGAATGTTTGGAAGCAACACAGCGAACCACCTTGATCGTTTGGCAGGCCACACATGTTGGAGGTGTAAGACCCTTTGGTAGATTGTGAAATTCATCAACTTTGCAAATTCCACCAAAATTTCTTGTGTGCTTGCGTCACTAAGTGCTTCTGGGACGCACTCCAAACACACCCCTGAAACTTGAAGCCAGTACGCGGCCTTCAGCAAACCAGGCAACACTCGGCTGCGGTCGTCAAACTGCCTTTTTTGAAATCCCTGCCGGGAAAGTGGTTGGCATGGGAAGCCACCCACCAGGAGCGGTTGAACTCCCGCTTTGGCTTGCTGAATGTGCATCTGGAAGATCGTGTCATGTGAACAGATATCTCCATGGATCGAAAAGGCCTCGTGATTCAACTGAAAGGCAGACGTGGCCAAGGGACAAACATCGACAGCAGCAATCACATGACCTGGAACACCACAAGCATTATGCAGAAAATCCAAGCCAGTTGCAAATCCACCCAATCCACAACAAACATCATGGAAGAAGCCAAGGTCCGTAGGAACTGGAGGCCTATGCTTTTGGGGGGGAAAGCCAGGGATAGAAGACAAAATCCAAGCACCATGAAATTTCGCTCCGGTTCTTCTGACATTGTACAGAGTCATCACACCTTCCTCAATCTCACCCACATTTGGGAAAGCGATGGGAATACCGGAATGAATCTCGGTCCCAATCAAATGATCTTCCATACTTCGGCCAAAATTGGCCAGAACAACTGCATTCGTACCCACAGGATACTTGGAAATGGGAATTAGATCCATGGCTTACAAACCACCCTCGAACGTTCCGCTGTCACGGTAAGACCCCTGGGAGGAATTCGAGCCCAAACTAGTCACCCCCATTAAAAGCGCATAAAAAAAACTAGGGCCTGTCATACATAAAAAACAACCAACCTGCAGGCCAATGGGTTGAGATTTCTCTTTTCAGTGGCAGCCTCCCTTCCAATGGCCGGAGATTTGAGATTGGGCATGGGACATCCCTTCAAAACATTACTTTTCAACTGCTAAAAAACAACTGAGACCATTAACACCCGTTATATATATATATATCCTGACTACCGCAAAATTAGGATTTCTGAGCAGGGTGTTGTTTCATAGGGGCGGGTCGCTCACGTTTATTATATAATAGGGAGGGGCCAACCCAAAGTAGTATTGCCAAACATTTTTTGGAATGTCGGTGTTGATTAAGTCGGGCTGTTTATTAATATGAACTTACTTGTAACATTAAGAAACACTCAGAAGCACTGCGCTGGCACTCACCACGCTCTGCAAGGGTTGTTTCAATTGCTTATTTTGCTTGTTGTTGATTCCGCTTCCGCCAGGTTATCAATAGTTTGACCGGCGAAAAGGAGCCGTTCAAACCTCTAGAAGTGCCTTGGTGCAAGCAGAGGTCTCGAAATCCATCAAACAGTTTCTGATAGTTGCCAAGCTTGTCGTGGCTCCTGGCTGCATGGCTCTGTCGCTGACTCTGTGCTCCCAAGGGCAAGAAGGTAATTTGGTACACCTGCGGTCCCACAGTCTATGACGTCGCACACATGGGCCACGCTCGAGCGTACTTGACCTTCGACATTCTGCGACTTGGTTGTGCGATGCTCTCCCACTGTTGGCATGGCTGATTTTGACACTTTGACTTACGATGCTTCTGACTAGATAGACCAGTTGTATCCAGTCGTGAAGCCAGGCGAAGAATCATGATGAACTACCTGAATTTTGATGTGAAGTATCAGATGCCAAGCTGCACCTGCTGTCTCTGCTGTGTGTGAATTGGGGTTCTAGGACTTCTCCATATATTTCCCGTCTTAGAGTGCGGCCATGCTTCTATTATTGACGATTTCCAGACTGCAGCCTTGGAGAACTTCATCCATGGAAGGATCAACATTACTGACATTGACGACAAGATCATCTTGCGAGCAAGGCAGAACAAGCTGTTCAGCCTCTTCAGCGAGGCACTGCCACTCTACATGCAGTGTAAATGTCTGGTCAGCAGTCCAAAGGTTGCGACATACCCAGCCACCTCGGGATTCCAAGGATTTCTCAAGCACCAGCTGCTGCAATTCTTTGATTTGCACAACGGACCACTGCGACACCTGCAGGAAGCTGCCAGCCTGTCCTTGCCTGACCTTAGCAAACATGTGAACGAGGCAAGTTTCAAGCTGTGCTGTATACTGTATACTGTATCCCTCATTGATATCACTTATGGCATTGCAGGTGACTTGATCTGGCTTCATGTAACTTCTATCCTCGCCGCAAGTGTCAGGCACTGACAAAGAAAGCGGCAAAGTTGAAGGCAAAAGCGCCAGAAAAGCCAAAGGATGGAAATTCAAGAGCTCAACAGGCCATGGGGACCATGGGGCATCAGGTACGCTCAGGTTAATGCTGGCTACATGGAGGGGCCTGTGATGATATGCATGTCCTGACTTCTCACATTTGAACTCTTGTCCCAGGAGTACGAGACTTTGGTTGATGAGCACAACCTGAAATTGAAGCAACACTCCGAGTTGACGGAAAACGTCCAGGAATGGATCATTGGGAGGGCAGGAGGTGGCAGGGATCAGGGATTGCAGTGATTGCAGCCCCTGGCGCAGGAGGCCATCAAAAGTGGTAGCAAAGAACGCATCCTCAGCGCAGCTAGAGAAGTGCTGATGGAATCCTGGTACAGAATGGCACTGCTGAATTTTCCCCAACAGCGCGTCCACACTGAGGGGTTCTCACAGTAGGACCTAAGGCCGGGGTTAGATCAGGGTGCTCCATCTGGGGGGCGGCATTTTTCTTGTAAATTCTCGCATAAACGTGTCTTCGTGAGATGTCCATGTGCATTTCGACTGCGCAGGCTCGCGCAAAGTGAGCGTCCCGTTTTGCTCGTTTCAGGTCTTTTACTAACACGCCGTGCTCGTTTTTTGAGCTAAAACCCAACGAAAATTGCGAAGGATTCAAAATTCAAACATCTACCCCCCAAAAAGATCCAAAAAGGGATTATGTTTATGTCACTTCCACACATACACTCTCAGATGTCTACACGTTGGCAGGTGTGGGTCAAAATTAGCGGTGGTTTCAATGTCATTTTGCGTGGTAGGCGCGGTCTTTGGTGAATTTACAGGACATGTTGAAAGGGTCGAAAGTCTCGTTTTGTGAAACTGTCGTCGTGACCGTTGCGGTTGACTTCAGCATGTTGTACAAATATGCATGGTCAAACCCGTGGACGATACCAGAATTCATGTTTTCTGCAGGCAGCAGCCGCAGGTCCCTTCATGATGATCTTGTAGGATTCTCTTGGGGGTGCTGGGATGAAGATCTTGGCCAAGGTCTTTGCAAGTCTTGAGGAGGTCTTGTAGAGATCCTGGTGAAATTCTTCAACAGGTCCTTGCATGATCTTGTGCAGCTCCTTGTGAGAAGATCTTGTAAAAAAATACCCTTGAAATCCTCCCCAAGAGGTCCTTGCATTAAGATCTTCACGATGCTCTGCGTTGGTGCTTGTGTGAAAGTTCTTCTGGTATGCTCATACTTGTAGGAAGTTCTTGGATAATGTTGTGAAATCCTCTCTGTAGAAGGTCCTTCTGTGACGATCATTTGAAATTATCTTAGGTGTCCTGGTATGAGGTTCTGGTAACAGGTCCCGATGAGTAGACATAGCGTTTCTTGGTACATTTACTTCCCCCCCCACAGTGTTTGGTTGTTATTGAGGTGTAATTTGATTGTTTTTTGATGCATGTTCTTGGGTTTGCCATGGCTGCGTATGCTACATCAACATACGTCAACAACCCTTCCATTGCTGACGGCCTGGGTCCGGAACATGAGATGCAGTGGCTGCCTTCTTTGTACTTTCGTTTTTTTTTAAAAACGTTGCATCAAGATGCATCAAGTATTCGTTGATCCTTCAGGAGCATCCCAGACCCCGAAACGCGCCAGTACAAGTGTGTGATTGTGCATGTGCGATATATACTATTGATATTACCTGATGAAATTATATCATCGAATGCACATTTCTCCTGAAAACATACTAGAAAAATGCAAACAAATCATCAGCACCCAGGATGCTCTGGACAAGGAACGAGGCCACACCATCACAGATCATTCCATTTTTGACGATCATGGAAGGCGCTTTGAGAAGGAGCTGCCACACGCCCTGCACGGTTGATTGAGCTACACATGCGACAGCTATAAGATGCACAACATGCCACATGTATGCGACATCTATGCAATACAATGTGCACCATCCAACATGAATGCAGTTGCATTGTGGCAACTCTTTGTGAGGAGTACTTTGAGGACATGAAAGCTCTTGGTATCCTCGAGCCTGATGTTGTGACTCTTGGTTCGTCACAACTTGGATATATAATTCGAACCATTTCGAACCCATAATGGGTGCCATTTAGATCCATCTAGACTCAAACCACTTTGACTTTTGGACTTGGATATTTCTTGTTTGAAACCACTTGTATACTGGTGCGATCGTGTGGAACACGCATTAAGGGGCTGCATGGCTGCATGTTGGTTCCAGCACTGGACATTGTTGACCCAAGATTAATGTTATTCCAAACCGGTGTCAACAGTGGGACGAATTGAATGGGTACCGTACCTGAGGACACGAATCACTGAGTACATGGATGGAAGAGTTCAAAAGTTTATTGAGAAACTGGAGGAGATGGGCGTTGCGTACGAATCTTCAGGGAGTGCGGCTCTGCTGAAGCCCCTGCTAGGGTCACCTGTGGGCCAGTAGAGAGGGTTGAAGGTTGTGGAGCCACTTGGCAGCCGAGATCATCTGAGGTGTATTTTGACATCGCCGCATTTCAGAAATTAGGCTACTCGGCGATACATTGTCCTATGTCCCACTTTCAGCTGCGGCAATACAATCGCCACCGATCCGCATGCTCTGGTTGCTCCCCTCTTCTCTGCCCTCACTGAACTTAGAGGATGGACACAGTCATACGCCATGCACACCATTAGGATAATATGGAGCATATATGCGTTGATTTGCAGCCCCCCAGTCCATTTCACATTCTTTTTGAGTTGAGCCTGTCTCATCACAGTCTAGGTGGAGTTTCCGGTGGCCTTGGTCAGGCTGTTGGTTTCACGTCAATCTTTTGGAACCCGTAGTCGCCGTAGTCAGATCACATGCTTTCCGTGTTCTGCAGCTTTCTCTTGAAGAGCCAAGGCTATCACTACAGGCGTGGCCGTGCGACTGCTCTTGCTACTGACATCCTCTTTCTTTAGTGTGCTACTAGTAAAGGGTGGTTAGGGTCGATCCAAAACCGATTCAGAAAGTAACCGCGATTCAGAAACTATCACGATTCGGAAACTCTGATTCGGAAACTATTTCCACCGATTTAGAAACTATCGGGTTTCAGAAACTACGATTCAGAAACTATCGGGTTTCAGGAACTACCGCTCATCAGAAACTATCGCGATTCAGAAACTACGATTCAGAAACTATCGGGTTTCAGGAACTACCGCTCATCAGAAACTATCGCGATTCAGAAACTATCGGGTTTCAGGAACTATCGCTCATCAGAAACTATCGCGATTCAGAAACTATCACGGTTCAGAAACTATCACGATTCAGAAACTGTCGTGCTTCAGAAACTATCACGATTCAGAAACTATATATCGCGATCCAGAAACTACGATTCAGAAATTATTTCGCGATTCAGAAACTATCGCGCTTCGGAAACTATCGCGTTTCAGAAACTATCACGATTTAGAAACTTTCGCGGTTCAGAAAACATCGCGATTCAGAAAACATCGCGATTCAGAAACTATCGCGATTCAGAAACTATCACGATTCAGAAACTATCACGATTCAGAAACTATCGAGCTTCAGAAACTTATTTTTCGCTCTGCCATCCCTGATTCACAACAACCAATCTCTCCTATAGCTTTCCTATTTTTGAAACTTCCGCCACCGCCTTGTGCGGTACTACTGGTATCAAAATTCCCGCCCCCATGGAACTTCAAATTGACTTGGACTTTCCACGAGGATAAGATGATCGAAGGAAGTTTAGAAGTTCAAACTTCCGACAATATGGACAGATGAAAAGCAGAGATGGAAAGGGTCAGAGAGAAGAGAAAGAGTCAGAAGAAAGAAGATGCAGATGCGCGAAAAGGTAGGAAAGTCGCGAAACACTGTGTTTTTTCAATGGTTTGTGGCTTCAGAGGGTCGAAAAGTAGGCTCGCTAAAGCGGCGGGTGCGGAGCCATCTGGCCAGACGAGAGATGAAAAATTGCACGCCCTTGTGGCGCGAAGCACATTTCCAAGTCAAAATGCACAAAGCACCATTGACCACTTTTGGAAGTTGAGATGTCGGAAAAGTGCATGCCGTTGTGGCGCGAAGCACATTTCCAAGTCAAAATGCACAAAACACACCATTGTCGGACCACTTTTGGAAGTTGCGATGTCGAAAATGTGCACGCCGTTGTGGCGCGAAGCACATTTTCAAGTCAAAATGTACAAAGCCCACCATGCTCGGACCACTTTTGGAAGTTGCGATATCGAAAAAGTGCACGCTGTTGTGGCGCGAAGCACCTTTCGAAGTCAAAATGTACAAAACACCACATGTTCGCGCCACTTTTGGAGGTTCAGATGTTGAAAAAGTGCACACCGTTGTGGCGCGAAGCACATTTCGAAGACAACATGTTAAAAGCACCAGGGGTTCGGACCACTTTTGGAAGTTGAGATGTCGAAAAAGTGCACGCCGTTGGCGCGAAGCACATTTCGAAGTCAAACTGTTAAAAACACCAGGGTTTCGGACCACTTTTGGAGGTTCAGATGTCGCTTCGCTTCGCTTCGCTTCACTACACTACACTACACTCCACTACACTACATTACACTACACTACACTCCACAACACTACAACTACAACTACACAACTACACAACTACACTCCACCACACTAAATTACACTACACTACATTATTTATACTACACCCCACTACACTCCACAACACTACACTACACTACATTCACTACCTTCCACTACACTTCACTAAATTACACTACACTCCACTACACTACAACTACAACTACAACTACACAACTACACAACTACACTCCACTACACTCCACTACACTAAATTACACTACACTACAGTACACTGCACTACACTACACTCCACTACATCACACTACATTACACTACACTACACTACCTTCTACTACACTTCACTAAATCCCGCTTCGCTTCGCTTCGCTTCACTACACTACACTACACTCCACTACACTACATTACACTACACTACACTCCACAACACTACAACTACAACTACACAACTACACAACTACACTCCACCACACTAAATTACACTACACTACATTATTTATACTACACCCCACTACACTCCACAACACTACACTACACTACATTCACTACCTTCCACTACACTTCACTAAATTACACTACACTCCACTACACTACAACTACAACTACAACTACACAACTACACAACTACACTCCACTACACTCCACTACACTAAATTACACTACACTACAGTACACTGCACTACACTACACTCCACTACATCACACTACATTACACTACACTACACTACCTTCTACTACACTTCACTAAATCCCAGCTACACTACACTACATTACACTACACTCCACTACACTACAACTACAACTACACTACACTACACTCCACTGCACTAAGTTACACTACACTCCACTACACTACAACTACAACTGCACAACTACACTCCACTACACTCCACTGCACTAAGTTACACTACACTACACTACAGTACGCTACACTACACTCCACTACATCACACTACATTACACTACACTACCTTCCACTACACTTCACTAAATTGCACTCCACTGCACTAAGTTACACTACACTACACTACAGTACACTACACTACACTCCACTACATCACACTACATTAGACTACACTACCTTCCACTACACTTCACTAAATTGCACTCCACTGCGCTAAGTTACACTACACTACACTACTTTACACTGCACTACACTCCACTACACTACACTATATTACACTACACGACACTACCTTCCACTACACTACACTACATTACACTACACTACACTCCACTACACTACATTACACTTACACTACCTTCCACTACACTTCACTACATTACACTACACTCCACTACACTACAACTACAACTACGACTACACAACTACACTCCACTACACTGCACTACACTAAATTACACTACACTACACTACATCACACTACACTACACTACATTCCACTACACTCCACTGCACTACATCACACTACACTACATTACACTGAATGACACTGCACCACAGATAGACAGGTAGACAGGTAGACAGATAGACAGACAGACAGACAGACAGATAGATAGATAGAGAGATAGATAGACAGACAGACAGACAGATAGATAGATCGATAGATAGATAGATAGATCGATAGATAGATAGTTAATTAGATGAAAGACAGAGATAGATAGATCGGTAGATAGATAGATACATAGAAGATAGATAGGTAATTATAGATGAAAGAGAGAGAGAGATAGATAGATCGATAGAAAGATAGATACATAGAAGATAGATAGGTAGGTAGGTAGATAGTCAAAGAAAGAGAGAGAAAGAGAGGAGACCTCAAGCACCTTTCGGTCCATCAGTGGATTCGCTCTGCCATCCCTGATTCACAACAACCAATCTCTCCTATAGCGTTCCTATTTTTGAAACTTCCGCCACCGCCTTGTGCGGTACTACTGGTATCAAAATTCCCGCCCCCATGGAATTTCAAATTGACTTGGACAGTCTACAAGGATAAGATGATATCAAAATTCCCACCCACATGGAACTTCAAATTGACTCGGACTGTCCACAAGGGTCAGGCGATATGTTGTTTTATCACCTGGTGCATCAAGCGGCTCTGATCTTGAAGGTTGTTTGCATACGTATCCGGCACTCAACCCTGCAGTTGTTTTGCTGGTGCTGGCTTCGAAGTTGCAACCATATAACATATAGGGGAGGGGACTGCACATGAATATTCTGATTCAAAAGCAACATGTTGAACAGTTGTATTCCAACCCCCTTTCATCACGAATTTCGCATTTCCAACTCCCTGTTCCTGTGCTTCCCCGGGTTTTAGTACCCGACTCCCGGTTTCCAACTCCCTATGGATAGTTTCCGTTTCCGAATCTTAGTTTCCGGATCCGCGTTTTTTTGGTTTCCGAATCTTAGTTTCCTAATCCGCGTTTCTTAGTTTCCGAATCCGCGTGTCTGTTAATTTCCGAATCCGCGGTTTTAGTTTCCGAATTTTAGTTTCCGAATCCGCGCTTTTAGTTTCCGAATCGGCGTGCCCGTTAGTTTCCGAATCTGCGGTTTCAGTTTCCGAATCCGCGTTTTTAGTTTCCGAATCCGCGCTTGACCGGTTAGGGTCAGGCAAGATAAGATGAGATGCTGGCATCATCAGTGTATGCGAGACAACTTGGAAAAAATCTCTGGTGCACTGGCAAGACTGTCCACCTGTACTTCTAACTTCACCTTTCCTTGCGGGCGGAAGGAAGTTGGTGCCAGACCTCCATGCCACTGCGAAGGACTTTGTGCTCATGCCCGGTTCAACAGTTGGAAGGTCAAGGTGAGGCAAGGTGGAAAAGTATTTTTTTTATTGTTCGCCAAATATAACTAACGGGTAGGACCATTTTGGGCTCATTCTGGAACCAGTTTTGGGAGACCTGTTTGAAACATTTTTTACTATTATAATGTTAAATCCTTTTTGGTGTTCCCAGAATAGCCCAAATCATTATAATTCAATGATTTACCACCCTTCAACGTAATATAATCATTTGCCAGCATTGAACGCAATATATAAAAAGTGTTAAAGGAACATCCTTTAAAATATAATGTTTGTGATCCTCTGATCCTTCGCAAGCCAGATGGAAGGCGTTCTGCAAACAATCACAGAATGTCAAATGTGAACAGGATCATTGGATGCGTAACATTCCGCACTTCTCACTACTCTGCACTTTGCTGGATATTCATCGGGATCACACACTCAAAGCTGCTTAAAGCAAGTGCAGGAAATGGAAGAAGGTGAAGGGGCTTTGGCTGCGGATGATGAGAAGCGAAGTCCGAACGACTTCGCACTCTGGAAGACCCTTATCAGGTATTAGTTTACTGCAGGCATTGAAAATGTCTCAGATGGTCTCAGTGACTTGAGGACCCAATTAGAGTTTTACCTTTGTTTAATATGTGCATTTGCGACGTTTTGGGAGCCAGCATGCCATGTCCAGACCCAGTGCCATGCCAGAGTCTCTCTCAGGAAGTCCAAGCCTGGTGAGCCAGCTTGGCCAAGCAAATGGGGACCAGGTAGACCAGGCCTTGAGCTCAGCGCCTGCAACAGGTACATTGTCTGGTGCGTCATGCGGATTCATGTGGTAGGATGTGGTGGGTAGTAATGAACCCAGGAGCTTTCTGCGGTGAGTCGAAACAGACATGTCATTTGAATGGGTTGGCCACCGCCAGGCTGGCACATTGAGTGCTCAGTGATGGCAACCGACAAGAATGGCGCATACCTTGATATTCATGCTGGAGGTGGCACTTAAAAATCATGCAGCAGCTTGCTAATGCGACTGCTTGCTCATGCGGTCGCTTGCTGTAGGGGAAGGGTTGACACAAACCCGGGCCAGAGCTTAATCTCAGATATTCGGGGACTTTTCGTGCAACGCTGTGAGCCCTTGGCAGGTGAAGATCTCAAATTCCCGTTGCTTTGGCGGAAATTCATTCTGATCATGCCGCGCACAGTCCGGCTGGACGGATCAGATTCGCCATGCAGCATTGCACACCTTGCAAGTTGTGTGAGTTATGTTACCTTTCGTCGTGACTTTTCCTTGACCTTGGAGCTCTGGGCCGCTTTTTTTTTTGCAACTTTTCCAGGTTCAACATTTACTGTAAGAGATGAGCCGTGCGGTCAATTCTTGGATCATATGAAAGTTGCTTCCCATGCACCCCGTGTCACTGTTTTCTTTTCAATGCTTCATTGGCCAAGGCATCATGACAACGAGATGGCTCAATCAGCGACTTGGGTGGGCACATCTTGACAGGGAACTAGGAGCTGGGTGACCGGGTGAGGATTTGCTGCGTGTGTTCTGGACATTGTCACCAACTTTTCCTTTGCACCACCCACAGCACCTGCTACGCTTAGGAAGCTTATCTCCAGCGTTCACAGTGGGTGAACTACTTTTGGCATGCTGGGCATTTGCACATTGAAGGCCGGTGGTTTGTCTGGTGTGAAAGAAACCAGCTGAACAAGTATTTCTAGAAATAGGAAGAAATGGGCGTGAATTAGGTGTAATGCACGGGTGGTACATGGCTGCTCTTCCGCAAGGTATCGATGTCTCCATGCAAACATGCAAACACTTAGCTGGCTTATTATGGCTTATTGTTCCGGACGTTCAGGTCTCAAGATGTCGAAGTCGCTGAAGAATTTCATCACGTGGGCCCCCTGAGTGTCACGTTGCACCACGATGACATTATCACTGTCCAGCTGTTGTTAGCCAAGGATCCGGCAGGCTCTCGCGGTGCACAGCGCGAGACAACTGCGTTTGATGCTCTTGATGCAGGCAGGGATACTGATTGGGCCTGCTGCATTCATGTTTTTCAGTTGTTTCTCCCTTTTGAAAACACCTTGCTTAAAGGGGATTCAAGAAACTGTTCGCGAGACTCAGTTGCGTGTTTCTCTCCGATTTTGCCTTTGTAGCAATGTTCTTTCATGTGGATCTGAACTTACAGTGACTTACAGATGGACTGTCAGGCATGGGACAAAGGCATGAACTACTCGGATCAGGCATGCCGGGAAGCTGAAGAACAAGGGCAACAAGGGGTTCACACGCCACCCGAAGACCCCCAAAAAGATCCAAGGAGCCATGACCCAAACCTGGACCGAATCAAGATTAAGCATCTCTTGTTGCATGCCTAGGCCATCGACATGGCCAAGGCAGAAGAGCGAAGGGCAAGGGAGCTCAGTCGACCTGCACGTTCCCAATGTTTGGCGCACGAAACGCTTGCAGATATCCAAACATCAAAACATACGTTACATACTCCAGCATACTCTCCTCTGATTTGAATGCATTTTCTCAAACCAAAATATGAACAACTCCATCTCCGTGATAAGCACCCCGTACATGGTCCCAATTATGTGTAGATTCCCTACTAAAGCATGGTTTCGGATGGTTTCGCAATACTGGGCATACAGCACAGGGCAGAAGCTGAAGGAATTCGCAGTGTGGGCAATGCTCATGTCAGACTGCAAAGGCAAGCTGTACCGCAAATATGTAGGAGGTAAGGGGAGATGGCAGCATGAGATGTGTGGCACATCAGGATGTGATGTCTCACAACTCATTGCATCCATCTAATCACATATGGCTCCCGTGTACTGATATAGCACAAAGCGTATAGTGAGGAGTTCGTCGCACAAACTAGCCAACTATGGCACAAAACTGGGTTCCACAATGGTTTGAGTAGTCAGTCGTTGCTGTCGGGTGACCGTGTTTGGAAGGAAAACTCATCATGTTATACGCAAAATGCCAAGTTGCTTCTCCTTCAGACCATGTGAGTAAAGACATCCCACAACCAGGTACAGTATTCAACCGTTGCTTGAGCCATGAGCGCTTGTTGCTTGCTGAATGGCTGCCTCACCGTCAGAACCATCAGCTCTCAGCCGTCCGCAGCGCAGATGCAAAAAGATGAAACATGGGTTAAACCCATTTGCTGGTGGCTTTGCGGAATAATCGCAACACAATCACACAGAATGCGCATAATAGATCATAGTATATATATATATTTATGCACATATACATACATACATACATACATACATACATACACATGTGCATGTGCGTATACAGATAAATTTACATTGTACAGATACACATACATATACATTTACTTACACATACATACATACATACATGCATGCATACATACATACAAACATACATCAATACATACATACATACATCCATACATACATGCATACATGCATACATGCATGAATGCATGAATGCATACATGCATACATGCATACATGCATACATGCACACACACATACACATACATACATACCTACCTACCTACATACACACATACATACATACATACATACATACATACATGCATACACACAGACATACGTACATACATACATACATACATCAATACATACATGCATACACACAGACATACGTACATACATACATACATACATACATACACACATATACACATACATAAGATACACACACAGACACACACACAGACACACACACAGACTTACACACAGACATACACACAGACATGCATACATACATACATACATACATCAATACATACATACATCAATACATACATACATCAATACATACATCCATACATCCATACATCCATACAACATACATACATACATACATACATACATACATACATACATACATACATACATACATTAATACATACATACATACATACATACATACATACACACGCACATACCTACATACATACATACATACACACACATACACACACATACACACACATACATACATACATACACACATACATACATACATTAATACATCAATACATACATACATACATACATACATACACACATACATACATCAATACATACAATGATACATACATACATGCATGCATGCATGCATGCATACATACATACATACAGACACACAGACACACACATACATACATACATACATACATACATACAATTACATACATACAGACGTACATACATACATACATACATGAATACATACATACAGACAGACATACATACATACATCAATACATCAATACATCAATGCATACATACATACATACATACATGAATGCATACATACATACATACATGCATGCATGCATGCATGCATACACATACACATACACATATACATATACATATACATATACATATGCATATACATATACATATGCATATACATATACATATATGTTCTGTGTACATATACATATACACATACATTTTTACATACATACATACATACATCAATACATACATACATACATGCAGACAGACAGACAGAGAGACATACATACATACACACACACATACATACATACATACATGCATGCATACATGAATACATACATACATACATACCTACCTACCTACCTACGTACGTACGCACGTACATACATACATACATACATACATACACACATACGCACATACATCAATACATACATACATACATACATACATACATACAAACATACATACATACAAACATACATACATACATACATACATACATATATACATTCATACACCAATACATCAATACATCAATACATCAATACATCAATACATCAATACATACATACATACATGCATACATACATACATGCATACATACATACATACATACATACATACATCAATACATCAATACATACATACATGCATACATACATACATGCGTGCATGCATGCATACCTACATACATACATATAGATGTACATATACATATAAATATACATATAAATATACATACATACATACATACACATACATACACATACATACATACATACATTCACTCATACATACGTACATACATACATACAGACACACATACATACATGCATGCATGCATACAGACACACATACGTACATGCATGCATGCATACAGACACACATACGTACATGCATGCATGCATGCATGCATACATACATTTCATACATTCATACATATACACATACACATACACATATACATACACATATACATATACATATACATATAAATAAATAAATAAATAAATTCAATAAATATATATATATATATAACATGGGCTTATACATACACATGTTCGTGTGTTTTTATTGCGATGCTATTTGGGACGAAGATCCTACCCGACCAAGATACTTTTTTTTTGCCGAGGGATGGCCGGTTAAAACATGGGCCGAGTAGCTTCAGCACCCGTTTTTCCTAAGGGTAGCATCTGCGAGCCTGGGAGAAATCGTCCCATTGCCACAGAAGTCTAGAGATACGCTGCTGCAGGAGGGGCTCATTGATTGATGAATAAAGTGCCATGAGATGCCATGAGTAAGCGGATTGTTCCTGCATAGTTTTGAAGGGGATTAACCGTTTTTTCTTTTGGTGGGTTCTGAACAGAATTGCAGGACGGGGTATAAAATTATGGCCATAATATTCATAGTAACAACACATATTGGCTGACTCATATATATATATATATATGTATATATTTATATGCTGGAGAATTGAAACTTAGAAACTATATATTATAAATTTGCTGTTTGTACCTCATTCTATGTTCCACTGTATGTGTTCCTGGTGAAATTTTAGAAAAAATCACCTCATTCTAAGTTTCGGTGCCCTACTATACACACACTAGATTGGAATGGATCATTGTAGTGATCCGGCAGGAACTGAATCCTGTAACATGCAGATTAGATGGGAAGCAAATTAATCAACGACGTATCCTGCGAATAATGGAAGTTCTTCTGAGTGATCACCATGTCCTGAATCGTCATCAAAAAGAATAGAATAGGCGGCGACCGTGTAAACATGAAAATAATGATGAAGCTGGGGTACTTGGCTTAGCCCCTTGCCATCACAGTGAAAAGTCGCAGGTACGCCAGACTGATCAGGTCTGGTATCACCACCAATTGCAAGTGTCTTCATTGGCAGTAGACTTGCAATGGTGCTACTGCCCCCTGCATTATTTAAGAAGGGAGAAGAGGGGAAGAAAAAAGAAAAAGAAGGAAGTTTTACATCTATCCAGATGTTACACACACACACACACCCGGCAGAGCCGGGGAAACCCTGAAAGGCAAGAGGAAGAAAAAAGCGGACACACGACGGGCCGACGGCCAAAAACAGCGCAGGGGGGGGAGGGGAACAGACGGACCTCCGGAACCAACCTACACGGCGAAACGGACCTGACAAAAACAGAGCACACACCTAAACCCAACGACGCACTACGGAGAAGCCAGCAGGAGGGTTATTAGGGACCAATGGGGGCTAGTTGGTGGAAAAAAGGAAACAACAAAATAGTCAAACAGGACTCAGTTCCTAAAAAACCTAAAGGTCGTGCGTTATTCCCTTGCCGGGACCGTGGTCAAGTCTTGCCCCAATTGGCATAAACGGCTTTCAAGTTCCAGCGAATTAGGTGCACAATATGTTTGACCTCACCAGAAAACCAAAAAGAAAAAACACCACACCTGCAAGTCGTGTGCCTGCCTGGTTCTTGTGTCATGAAATGATGCAATGTGACTGCAAAAGTTGCTGCGAAAAAAGAGGTTTCTGAAGTTCGGCACGGCTTCACTCTGATAGACAGGCATTTCGGCGAGGAACCCTGGGACCAAAGGACCAGCGGGACATTACAGAAATGGTGCAGAACAGTAAGGCCAGCAGTTTCACTATACTTAATCGAATTACCACATCAAAATGTGTGAATTCGGCATTCAGGTCAGTCGACATTCACCCCAAATAGGGTTGCCTCACTTGGCCCTATGGCACCATGTCGGAGTCACCATAGGAATCACACTAGATTGGAATGGATCATTGTAGTGATCCGGCAGGAACTGAATCCTGTAACATGCAGATTAGATGGGAAGCAAATTAATCAACGACGTATCCTGCGAATAATGGAAGTTCTTCTGAGTGATCACCATGTCCTGATCGTCATCAAAAAGAATAGAATAGGCGGCGACCGTGTAAACATGAAAATAATGATGATGCTGGGGTACTTGGCTTAGCCCCTTGCCATCACAGTGAAAAGTCGCAGGTACGCCAGACTGATCAGGTCTGGTATCACCACCAATTGCAAGTGTCTTCGTTGGCAGTAGACTTGCAATGGTGCTACTGCCCCCTGTAGCGAAGGGTTCTCGTTTTACTTTGGGGGTCTGGGGTTGGGACGTGTTCGCTCGACGCCGCTTGCATCCGTCCATAACCGTCCGCAACCGTTCGCGACGAGTTCGCTATGGCCGTGCCTCTGGCGGGCGTTGCAAAAGTGGTCACTTTTGGATGTTTCAAACTTCGAGCAGCGTCATTTCGTGCCGCAGGCGTGGCACTTAACGTGACATCCCAACATGTTTCATAGCGCGTCGAAAGTCGTTCTGTATGACAGGCGCTATACTTTAGCGTCGTTTTCAGAAGATGACTTGCGTTGCTCGTGGCAGGCGCGGCACTTTGGAGACTACTTCAGATGTGTCGTATTGCGTGTTTTTTCGGAATCGCATTGGCAGGGCTGTGTCAAGTGACAAGTGCTTACAACCTGCAAATTCCATGGCAGGCGTGGTGAAATTAGGAAAATTCGTTGGAAAATGTCGATGTTGAAGCTTACAAACTGAGAAAATTTGAGGAAGTCTTGTACAAATGCTCGTTTTGAGCTTCCAGCCTGTCTCGTCTTGATTCTGTGGTTTTCTTGTGGCATCGCTGTGCCTATGTGGGAAGCTGCAAAACCTACAGTATCATTTTGGAAGGTTTCAAAAGAGGTTCTTAATGTGTTCTAATGTTGTTTTGCGTGGCAGGCGCGGCACTTCGTGACATTCTGACGCGTTGCATAAGGTGTCTAAAGTCGTTCTGTGTGGGGGGGCAGGCGGAACACTTTAGACGTGTCCATCTTCTTTCGCGTGGCAGGTGCAGCGCTTTGGACGTGTGGTGTCTGTGGTGTTGCCTGTTTTTGCGAAAAGTGGTGAGAACGTGTAAATTGCGTGGCAGGTGCGGGATATCGTGAGGGTACAGATCCGTCGTGTGTGGAATGTCATTTTGCGTGCCAGGCGCAATATTTGGATGTATTTGGGACACTCTGCCCTTTAGACTTTATACTCCAAACTCTACTCTTTACACTTTACACTCCACGCTCTACACTTTACACTTCACACCCTACACTTTGCAGTTTGCACTCCGGACTTTTTCTTTACACCTTACACTCTGCACCCTACGCTTTGCACTCTACACTCTGCACTCTGCACTCTACACTTTACACTGCACTCCGCACTCTACACTTTACACTCTACACTTTACACTTTGCGCTGCGCACTCTACACTTTACACTCTACACTTTACACTTTACGCTGCGCACTCTACACTTTACACTCCACACTTTGCACTTTACACTTCACACTTGACACCCTGCACTCTACACTTTACACTCTGCACACTACTCTTTACACCCGTACACTCCGCAATAACCTTGACACTCCGCACTCTACACTTTACACTCCGCACTCTACACTTTACACTCCACACTTTACGCTTTGCATTCCACACTTTTACATTTCACACTTCACACTGGGCTCTCCACACTCTACACTTTGCACTTTGCGCTTCGCACTTTACGCTTGGCACTCCGCACTCTACACACTTTCTTCTTTAGACTTTGCGATTGACACTTGACACTCCAGACTCCACACTCTACACCTTACATTCTACTTTACACTCCACACTCTACACTTTGCATTCCACACTCTACACTCCACACTGCACTTTCCACTCCACACTCCGGACTTGACAGTTGACAATTGACACTTGGCACTTGACACTCCACACTTTACACTTTACGCTCTACACTTCACACTTCACACTCTACACTTTACTTTCCACTCAACACTCGACACTTTACACTTTAATCTCTACACTCCACACTCGACACTTCACACTCCACACTCCACACTGCACTTTCCACTCCACACTCCGGACTTGACAATTGACAATTGACACTTGGCACTTGACACTCCACACTTTACACTTTACGCTCTACAATTCACACTTGACACTCTACACTTTACTTTCCTCTGCGCGCTCCACACTTTACAATTGACAATTGACACTTGGCACTTGACACTCCGCACTTTACACTTTACACTCTACACTTCACACTTGACACTCTATACTTTACTTTCCACTCCACACTCCACACTTCAAACTTTACACTTTACACTCCATGCTTTACACTCCACACTCGACACTTCACACTCCACAATCCCCACTTCATACCCTAGACACTACATTCCCCGCTCAACACTCCACTGTCTTTACACACCACACTCTGCACTCCCCGCTCCACAGTCTACACTGGTACGGTAACAGGGGAAGAATGCACATGAATTTACACAACTTTTGAAACAACTTGTTTCACAAGAGTGTTTTACGTGACTGCATTCGGGTTCGTTGGTTGCTCTTGTTTTTTTTGCACGACTAGACCCTTTTTTCGGGATATGATCATCAAAGCCGTTGCTGATATGCCATGAAATGATCCAGAAAGTACAGGCGTCGAATCGTCAACCAACTCACCGTTAGCTTTAGCGGGGCCCCCAACCACACTGCAGATCCAACAACTCCAGACAAATCACATACAATCTCTCTAAGCAAATGATCGCTCGTGAAGATATTTCTCAGTTCATTTCGATTGAACCAGGTTCGGTTTTGGACTTTGTCCAAAAATCTGGATACATGATGCCATTGTCATTCCTTTTTGACTCAATTTGTAGCCTCAGTAGCATTTGTTTCACATTCATTGCGATGGATTCACATGGTTATGGTCCTTCCAGTGCGCTTCCCGTTGCTGGGGAGGATGGGGAGATGCCAATGTCGGATGAGGACATTGGTGATGAATTGCAGAAATTGTGGGACAATATGAACTTGGATCATGTCAAGGCTGTTGAAGTCGAGTCTCCCACGACTATTTCTTTCGAGGTGTATTTGATCCCAGAAGCGCGCATCCATTCTGTGTCCGTCAGCGAACCAGACCCAGGCTCCGAGATCCCCCAAACAGACGAGTTCAGAGACTTGGAGGTCTCCACCATGGCTGGAAACATCATCAAAATCCAAGTCGCTCCGGACTCTAGCGTGGCCATGGTGAAGGATGCTTTGCAAAAACCTTTGGGCATACCTGCGCTGCTGCAGCGGATAGTCCTTTCAGACAAAGAATTGGAGGATTCGGAACAACTTCCTCCAGAGGTCACTGTGTTGACTGTTTTGCGCCGCGAACCACCTCCCATCACTAGGGAAGAGTTCTTGGAAAGCCTGGCCTTTTGTGTTCATGATTGGAACGGCACCCTGGTGTCCAAATGGCATCGATTTGATAGCTATTCCAGCTTTCCAGTGACGAAAGACGAGAGGTTTGAATGGTTCCGCAACTTCCAAAAAATGAAGCACACCGCCTTCACGGTCGAACACTTTCTGACGTCCCTGAACGTATGGTTCCACGAAAGCAGCAGTGATGATGAACAGGAAGTAGTTCACCCTGAAAGTTTTTTGACAGATGTGCGGAAGTTGCAAGGCTTTCTGGAGCAGCATTGTCACTCTCCATCCCTGTTCCAGGTCTATGAAGAGACTTACCTTCACAACGACGATCAGGAGTTCGTGTTGTTCATTGCAGGCCGTCTGAAAGAGGCATCTGACACTCTGATGGTGGCAGCTGTTCACCTGAATTGTTGGATCTGAGATAACTTTCCAGGCCAAAGAGCCGACCAAGCGACAAAAAAAGCCAATACCCATCAATAATTACCCGTCCTTACCCCAATGCCACATATGCCACTGCAATGATTTTTTTCTTTGGGCTCTGACAAAATCCTGGGGGATCCTGGGGGCATCCCAGGAAACCTATGCCTGGCCGGAGCCATTGGGCAGTGCAGCGGCGCCATTCCTTTGACCCCTGGGCTCACCTGGATCCGCAGGGATTTGCCGCGGCCGGAAGTTGATCAAGTGGGCAACAGAGCAGATTTAAGTCTAGTGACATCTAGTGATCTAGTGACTATCCAGTATATATATATAATTATGAATTTTATAACACATTGTGCAACTAGAATGGTAAATGGCTTGCGGATGGTTGTGGATGGCTGTAGTGAGAGAGATATATATATATATTCGGAGCCAGTCCCATGCTAGGCACACCCGCACACTGCAGGAGGATGCCAGCGAATCAGATGATCGGTTCCAAGCCGTTCTGGAGTTGGAAGTGGTGCAGTGGCGGCGGCACTCAAAACGTGTCCAGCACTCAGCTTCCATTCATCTTCCCTACGCCACTCATGTCGTGTTACTATGTTAATATTATATAATATCATGTCAATGCCTGTCATACCCAATTTGCAGAAGTACCCGGACAGCACGATCACATTGGGGGCCAGTCTCATGGACACCAGTGGCCTCACAGACATCATGCACATGCACCTTACAAAGCTCTTGACAGCAATCGGATTTGCGTGTCAGAACCTGAGGTCTATGTCACAAATGATGAAAGAAAGGCAGCCTTGAAGGCCGTGCATGTTAGATGCTGGAGAAGAGGTGCGGAGGATCATGCTGAGCTCAGGCGGGGCAGGGTGTCCACGAATTCATACGAATTCATTGTCATGACCCCTGCTTTTTACCTCGCTATATTATTCAAGACCCAGGGGGAATGAACCCTGCCCCACATCCAAGCACAATGGGAAGGTCCTTATGATCAATGGCCCCATCTCTGGAGGCAGGCATATTTCCCGTCCTCCTTCATGCCGAATGGCGGCCGGCTTTGGTTCGTCACAGGCACCTTTGACCTTTGCGCTAGCTCTGGCATGTTGTGCTTCAACATAAACTTGGAATCAATACCCTCAATACCCCCAAAAACTCAAAACACCAGCATTTCTTGAATGCCCGTGTTCCGCACATCCGCAAGTCTCTGTACTAAGCGACATCACCTTCTCCCGTCCTTCAATGCGACAGGAAGCGAACCAGAGTGGTTGGAAAAGGAGAAGGGGGAGCTTGCGGATGGGACTGCTGCACAGGCACCCAAGGGCCCCAAGAAAAGGAAAAGCATTCAAAAAGCACCAAAAAAGGATCCTGAAGACTCACAGCGGCAAGGAAGGGCCCCACCCCCTTGGTGTCAGATGGTGGCAGAAGGTCTCCACGAAATTAGACACATTCACGCAAGGAGCAGTTCAGGTGTGAGGACGGGGGCAATGTGTGAACGAGCTCTCTTCAGAACATAAACTCAAGCCTGCAACAACAGTACTGGAGCAACAGGGTCAAGTCTGACAAGTGCGGGACCCAGGAATTGTCATAATTAGAGCAGTTCATAGGGTCATAGGGTCCCCATTTTCAGCCAAGGACGAAGCAGACCGTGAAGAATCCAATGCTGCCAAGAAGGCACAAAATGCGTTGCTGATTGATGCGGCGTATGCTCACGCTTGTATGTCTCATGTTCCAGTTGATGAGGTCTGTGCAAGCTTAAGCAATGGGATGTGCCCAGTTGTTATGTTTGAACACCCAAGCAGTCCAGTGGACGTAGTCACACCCCCTCACTCACGTGTAATTATGGAGTTCAGAGCGTTTGTTTGAAGGTAATCTTATGACGCTATGGACATCAAGCGTTGAGATTTTTTTTGTCATTGGCTGATGTCATTTATCGGTGAGCATGAGCAAGAAGCATTCTGCTCGTGTCTCAAAGGATGCATGGTTACCTGCAGTGCCATTTTTTAATGCCACTGATATATCGTGCGATTGTGTCTAGAATGTCTAGAATCATCAGGACAGTCCATTTTGTTCCATTATGTGCTCTGGACTCTAGACTTGCAGCGTTGGCATCTGGGCCAAAGGTCTCCTGTTCAGCGAACGATCCAAAGATCGGAAGGACAATCTGGGGACAGATGGAAACGGCCATGCCGGCTGGTGAGCTTCGCGACAAGCCCCATGGCAAAGGACATTGCCTGCCCACATCCTCGACTGAACATGCCAGACAATCTAAAATCGTCTAAAATCTAAAACAATCCCAAACAAACATAAACAAACGGCAGTTTGATTAAACTGGCGAACTTTATCATTCTCATTCTTTACTTATTCTGTATACCGCCGGAGTCCACAAAATAAAATCACAGACACTGACGATCTATGGATGAAGAGGCATGTTGCAAGTCAGGCTGTGGAAATACCTCTGGAGTCTTGGTGGCATTTCGGGCGAAATCCGACGAATGGGATCTGCTGTCAGCGTTCTTGCATGTGGTTTTTGCCTGCAATGGAAATCTCACTTGTCTATCTGGACTTTTCTTTCTTGGTGCTGACGGATGTACTGTAATTGAGAACCACCATGAACCACCCCAAAATGAAAGCTGATTTTTAGTGTGAATCCTTTCTAAGGTGCCCAGATACTCTATACTATGTTATATAATGTTATATATAATACAGTATATATATATACACATCTTTGATCTTCTCATAAAGTTCCTATTTTCTCCAAGAATTTTTCTGCGAGGCGCACCTATGGCAGTGCAGTGGAGCAGGCCTCCACGAAGCCAGGGCCGAAGCCTGAAAGGCGCTACGGCGTTTGTTGCAGGCATGGGCGGCATGGGATGATAGGGGGATGGTGGGATGGACACAGATGGACCAAGCAATTATATAATTAAAAAGAGGGGAAAAAAACGGGCGCCCACTAGGAGAATCAGTGAGCTTGTCTTAGGTATGCCTTGGAGGAGTGATCTCAATGATAGTTATGATAGCCTTCTGTTGGCCTGTTCCGCATCTGCAGCGGTCAGGCTTCCTGGGGCTCTGAGCTGCCAGGACCTTACAGCATTTGGTTTCAAAAGTCAGAACCTACACGACCTGCGACTGCCAGTGGCTGGCAACATCATTTGGTTTGTGATTCCATGTGATTCCAGTTATGACAAGTATATATTCTTTATATATGATATTATATGATTATATATAGAATTATATAGATATGCGCATAGTATAGGTTGTAATAAGCTACAATATGCAGATGCAGGCAAGTCACATTTTGGAGCCAGTGCTCGACTCATCTGAGTGCAGGTTGCAGCCATCAAACTGCATACAGATTGTCGAAGCCATGAAGCTCATGCTGCAAGCGGGCCTTGTTCCAGATTCTTGGCAAAGCCCAGGTGGAATGTCATGAACGGTGAACAACCTTCAGCAGCACTGACTACTTGCCATGTAAAGACATATTATGGAATCAATGTCACATATATATAATTATATATATATGTATATTAATTGTATATAATAGCATGCGATTACATTGGGTCTCATTCAGAAGCATTCCGCATTAAACTGGCGGGACACGGACTCAATTTGACATCGTTTCATCGCTTTGGCCATCCTTTGGCTCCCAGAGGGTGGGGCAGCCTACATCAACCATCCTCATCACTCCCAAGGATCAACTGGATTCTGCTCCCCCACGTCGCTGGAGTCAGCAACTGCAAGACCAGCTGCACGTTGCGCTTTCCGCCAAGTTGCGGGAGCAAGGATCCAATGGGATTCTTGCAGAGCAACCAGCTGCTTCCTGGGGCTGAAAATCTTGATCTTGAAGTTGTGTAGGGGACACCCGATGGTGATGGAGGTACATTTCATAGTGTCGGAGGCAAAAAGATGATGGTCTTGTTGTGAAGAAGCCATGTTTTGATCAGACATGAGCAGACTTTGATAGACTTTGTAGTCCTTGTTCTTGAACTTTTCATGAAATTCATCGGTACTGCAGCTACTCATTCGATTTGGACTTGTACTTGTACATGGACAGAAACGGATTTCTTGACTACTTTCAAGAGAATTTCAGGATCCTAAAATGGAGGTACTGTACCATATAAGACAATTTTTTTTTTGGGATATTCCCTTTAGGCCTTATATAGGCCTTATATATGGTAATTAGGTACCTCCACTTTAGGTTCCTGAAATGGCCATTGATACTTTGGTTCCTTGTTTTCCAGCCTACTTGGATACCACATTGAGACCACTGCAACCTACAGTATGATGCAATCAGTAGACGCTCACGATTGTCGTCATGGTTTCCTATAATTATGACTCTTGTCCAGGGCGACGACACACTCACACAGTCACAGCATGTCGCAACCCTAGTGCCCACATAGTGGCTGTTGTTGCACGGTGCCAGATGGACCAGTATTGTAGTCGATGATCCATGCTATAGACAGCTATAGCTCTATATTATGCTTTGACTACATTATGCTATGTTTATGTGTGCAGCCAGCGACTCCATTCGGCGACCCGACTTCACTGCACCAAAGTTTAAGTGCGGTATTTCTTGACATTTCTCAGCCTGGATGCGGGCAAAAACTCAGGAGTTTGGCTTCAATGCAGTTCACTAGCAGTTGACACGTGCTGAGCGATAGATATCTGAAACCCTTTTCATCCCTTTTCCATCCATTTTCCTTGTAGATATTTTCGAACGATTTGTGCTTTTTCAATCTTCTTCACTTGTTTTCAATGATTTTCAATCATTGTCACTTAGACTTGTTGTCAAAAATAAAAAATGCTACTGCGGTCGGCATGATCCAGTTGAGCGCCAGAACGCAAGCATCATGGGTGCGGGATTATATATTTGAGAGGTGTTTGGCAGTGCCATTTCCATGCTGCGACTCTGCTTGCCTGTCGCCATTGAATCACAGATAGATAGTGACGGCAACAGGAGATGTTTGACTTACGTCTTACGTGCTTGCATCCCAGCTCTTAGGACATGAACTGTGGGATTCAAGACAGGCCAGCAAGCTTCGAACTCACTCCCAAGCAACTGCCGACCCGTACATGATTTGTCATGACCTCCTTGCTCATTTGCATACTATATACAGAGGTTCCACATTCTCGCCCATGCAACTAAGACTTAAAGACTTAAGAAGCTTCGGAAACTTTGGAAATGGCATAGCCAGCCCGCTACAAAACCATGTTCACAGCAATGTACTGTAGGATTTCAGGGCTATGTGCCCTTCCCCATCCTTCCCCTCCACAATAGCCCTAGTCGTCATACCCTTGCGATGCCATGTCCACCGTCTCTCTTCAAATTGGTGCAAGCCCACCGCGGGTACTCCGATTTGGAAGAGGGGGACGAATACCGGCTGCAAGAAATCCACAAATTCTTTGCAGAGGTAGGCATCCTGTGAATGGTGCATTGGTGCGTGGTGGGCTGAGAAATATGTGAATGGATGCGAATGGTGCATACCGATGCTTCATCATTGGGATGACATGACAGTGTTTATCAGTGCTTATCCTCAAATCTGCTTTGAGACGTTCATGTCACCATTAAGTGTTTTCAAATGCCTTTGCCTAAGTCAAAGCGAAACCTAGTCCCTACTGTAGTGATGTGCATCAAATCATGTTGGTTTCAATATGTCTCAGCTGCACTGCTTGCAGTCTCGGATCTCTTCTCGCACCGGCAGGCAGGTTTGTCAGCTAGGGTGATGTAATATCATGATATACATATACATATCAGTATGTGCATGTAAATTATCGATGCACACACACATGATTACACAATAATATTACACACACACAATCGCACCACGTATGTTAATATATATATATGTATATATATATATTTATTATACACACATACATGCACACAGTATATACATATACATATATATATATATACACATATATATATGCATATGTAAACATACATGTATACAACTATTTCAGCTGATGTTGAGTTACAGATGTTGAAGCAGTATTTTGTCAATATGGTGGATGGTGAGTCGCAAGAAGGTCCGACCGTTGCCATTGACTTGGAACTTGATATTTCATTATATTTCTCTATTCGGACACTTGTTCATAATATTGTGGCATACTCCGTACTCCTGTCACACTCGGGTTTGGGGGGCCCATACATGTCCATACTGAGTAAGCTCACGCCAGCAGAACTAGGACTTGCAACAAGGATCAAGAAGGGGAGCCTGTGGCCTGTGGTTTGGCATTTGATTTGCCATGTGGCAACTAGACATGCCTGTGTCGGACAAAGCCTTAGGCCTTTTGAGGCTATGAATGCCATGAAATTTGAACAACTTTTGGGTGGAAGCTTCTTGTCCTTTATCCCCATGCCACCTTCACGTAGATGAGTGAGTTGCGTAGCCTTCGACTGGTACCGGCTGGGCAAACAAAGGGTAAAGTGCTTGGGTCAATATGCGAGGTAGGTAGTGCCCAGGATGCTTTGTCCATCAGAAACATCGTCACGGCAACTGTCCTCTAGGTGTTTCACAATTCCGTGGAACCGTGACTGGTTTGAAACTGGCGTTAGCGGCCAGACCTGGTGGTGCTTGGGCTGCACAGTTGCGTGGGGGTCAAGCTTTCTTTCCTCAAGTGGGTGTGCCGATGGAATTACAGTAATTACATCTTATATGTTGCCGTTGCCCTCTGCCATTCGGCGCGCAGTTGCACCAACTATGTTGTCGTGCCCGGGGGCACGAGATCCGAATCTGACCTCAGGCGACCTCAAGATCAGCAAGAGCTGCAGAAGCTTTTCTGCTATGTGACCTTTCTTAATCAGGCAGTGGATATCAATGGATCATGTTGAAATCATGTTGAAGCAACTTGGATCAGCTTTGTTTCACAAAGGATGCGGCTGTGAACAATTGGCTTGGCTCGTGCAGGTTGGAATCCCCTCGCTTCTTTGTGAGCCGCAACCTGAGGGCAGTCCACATGAGCCTGTGAGGCCAGTCACCAAAAAAGGTGAACACGTATGCAACCACCTTGGGTCTCAAACCCTTACCCCTTACATCCCCTTACCATATGAGCCCCAAATGTGAATGTTTTGTTTGGGGAACTTGAAAAGCTCCCAACGCTGCTTGCAGTGGGCCGGGAGAGGCCTAAGGGCCCCGCCAGGCCCTTCATCTATGTCAACATGCCCATCAACCTGTCAGCGATCCCGGAGGACCACGAGTACTACCGCATGGAACGAGAGGCTAAGCTGAACATTTGGAGCATTCCAGCACCGCATAGCACCATTTGTATGCATTTGTGACATTTTTCAGTCGGGTTTTGTTCCCCACCGCTGGCCATGTAATTACTTGGTGATAGGTCCCTTGTATATCTTGTATGGACCCTTTAACCAGTGTCCCGCAAATTCTGTGAAGCCGAGGTGGCAAAGGAGATGCGATTGATCCCTGAGGCTTTGAAACGCGACTTCATAAGTCCCATTGTCAAGGCTTTTGTCAGATCATGCATCATGATGATCGAGGGTATGACTTCTTCCTCGAACCTAGTTGCGTCTTGGTTTTCATTCAGCCAAGTTTTATCGTTTTTTGCTTGCCACAACTTGGTTTCTTGCTGGATAATCTGGATACGAAGTTTCTGAAGATGTAGCTGATTGAAAGATGTTTAGGGCACTCCAAGATATTACTAAGATATTTATAGATATTTAACATTTTAACTCAAGACAATATTGAGGTGGTTTTGGATTCATCTGGCTGGAGCCATATGGATTCGGGGTACAAGTGCCTCGGCAGCATTACACAGTGCGTGGGCTTTCTGATGCCATCTATGAGGATTATGAGGTTTTGTTTTTGTTGATTGCTACTTCTGCTACTTCAGCCCGAGGCTGTCCTTCCGCGTGGTGTGTCCAGAAGTGGCAGTGACCCTATCAACTGCCTTCAAAATCAGAGAAAAGGCGCGCAGATTTGGATGAAGAGATATCTCCGGTCCAGCCTTGCAGAAAAAAGCTAGGGTCCTTTTCCTTGGCGCTTTTACTTGCGCTCGTCATCGCAATTTCTCCAACATATCGAAGCGTTAGGCCGTTAGGCATACTTCAACGGACTAAGTGTGGATTTGTGGGACAAACTTTCAGACACAGGACCAAGAATTGGCAGCATGAATTAGTTAATTGGCCAGTTTGGAGAAGACACTCTGACGTATGGTGACCCGTAAAATGCCACACTCAACAGTTGCTCACGGAAGGATACTTCGTTGCATTTCTGATTGTATGCATTTCCCACAACGAAGAAACTGAGTGCCACCATGTGCCAACTCGTCCGGAGGTGGCGTTCTCTTTGCGAGGGGACATGGAGTCAACGCCGTGGCTGGATCATGACAACTTCGATGTCGAGAAGATGATCCCAAAGGACGTGCAACAGCATACACTGGCGCAACGGCTCAACCATTTCGCTCAAAGTTGAAGTGAAATTTCTTCCATACATTCGGCACCTATCTTAGGCTCAAGGGTCTGTGGTCACACGTAATTGGTCTCCCAAGTTTGACTGTGGAATGCTTTTTCATACTCAAGTCATGTGAATAAGTAGTGAAACTTGAGCGCTTTATATGTTGAATCACCCGCTGTCAGCCGCTTCTTTCTTTTTTGCTGACCCGCCGGCCTCAGGAGGCGTTCGCTCCGGATATGCTACACCCGCTACCTGGCAATAAGAAATGCAAACTATTCGTTTGTAGAAAAAGGGCTTGTAGATCAAGCACAAATATCAAAAATCCACACCACCAGGTGCCAACATATGTTTCATTTTGTTGGTTCTGTTTGGATCAATGTACTGGTCATTCAGTCCTTCAGAGATCAAATGCACTCATCTTAGGATGGCTAAGGGGGATGCTTCTTAGTACTTCTGAGGGGCGGTTTTGCCGCAAATCCACTCCATAGCATAGAATAGAAGATCTTGAAAAAACCTTGAAAACCGCAATCCAACCCCAAGGAAGTTCTATGGGATGCTTTGGGGATTTAATTGGGGTTAATGTAGGTTTTCTCTGGAGTGTTTAGCTTGATGGGGAGGTGTATCCGTAAACCTTGGTGGGTATTGGGCTGGCCACAACATTAGACCCGCAAAGAGATGAAACAGCGTGCAGTAGCCACGCCCCCATTGAAGTGGCCAGTGATGAAAGGTTCGGGAGTCGGTGGTGAATTCTGAGCTTTGGTCTTGCGCAGAGTTCTGTTTGAGCACACACTGTTCTAATGGAAATGTGGCTGGGTGCTCTGACCTTTTTAGATATTTTTGAATTCATTTTGTTTGTGTGGGTTTCTGTTGGGATGGCAGTTTCTGTTGGGATGGTTGTTGTTGTTGTTGTAAATATTATTATTCTTCCCTGCTATAGTCCGAAAGTATCCAAACATTGCTTTCTGTTTGTTGTTACATGTTTCTGTTGGATTGGATTTGGATAGGGTATAGATGGCATTTTTTTGCCGGATTTTTTAGGGCAGTTGGCGAAGACCAACACACGATTTCACTGCAACTATCTTTGTTTAAAAGGTTTGGCTTTTAAACAAAGCGATTCGGTTGAAAAATAAGAGCTGGCGTGTAGACATTTGAGAGTGGATGTGTGGAAGTGACATAATCATTTTTTTTTGGGGGGGTGGGTGTTTGTGAATCCTTCCCAATTTCGTTGGGTTTGGATCGGATTTGGATGGGATATGGATAGCCCAAAAGTTGGATTGGGGAGTGCAGCCAGACCCCTGCAGGCGAGGCCCGGGAAAAGGTTGGATCCTTTCGGATTTTTGTTGGATTTCTCGGGTTTCAGGTTTTCTCTGGAGTGTGTTGGCGGTGCCAGGATAATTTTATATGACATTATGACACATCAAATAGAACATATAGAAGGAAGCAATGGAAACAGAAACCAAGTGAACCAGCAGCTGTGAAGTTGAGCACTGATAGTTTTTGTTGATTTTTGTTTTCCCTTTGGGAAATTCCAGGTGGTTATTCATCAGGAAGATCCCAGCGTTTATTAATGGGTATCTAATTTCTTTTTATTATGTGTTTCTTGGACTTTATTGTGAACAATTTTGTCTATTTGCATAATAGCGGGAAACACTCAGTTAGAAACACCCTTGAGAAGAATAGGTGAAATGCTGCCCTATGAAACCACCAGCACATCTCCATGGTGTGATCCGAGGCTCACCTATTGCTACTGGTCAGGGCACTACAAGTTGGAGAGGCGCTGGCTCAGGCCATTTGGCCTGTTGCAAGTACTGCACGCGCACGGAAGATGGGAGATTGACCCCTTGCGCACCTGGGCAGCGGAGTTGAAGAAGGAAGACCCTTGGACGATGTGCGACAATCCTGTGTGGAGCGACTGCCACGCATCTAAGCTATGGAAAACTTAACATACTTAACTGGGTTCCCCGTTTGAGTTTTCAAGATGTTGACCAATGGGATGCAGAATGGCACATGACATAATTAGTTGTTTTTTTTGTGCATACTGGATACGATTGAAGGATAAGATAATATTGAATATATATATATATGATTTTATATGATTTTATATGATGCATGTTATGGTGTTGGCATGTGTTTAGTTTGTACGTGTTTGTGACGTGTTCATTCGGTCGAGCCTGCCGTGCAAGGACTGGATCAAACTAGGCTCTCCATGGCCAAAGACCAGGCAGTGCAGAATAGAACGGCAGGATGTGGTGGAGGACAGATCCACCCGTTGTTTGAAGATGTTTGAAAAACGTCATGAAGTATTTGCCCCAAGCACGCTTGCCACATCAACATTGGGCGGGTTCTCAAATGTTATCAGCGTATATCAGCGTGATTTTATCTCTATCGACTCTATCTCTTGCTTGCATGGAGTTGGCGCGAGTCTCTTCCGCGGGGGATGCACGAAGAAGTTGAGTTTACTCGCGTGAGGAATGCTAGTCCTGCAGTTCATTGCAGCTCCAGCTCATGATCTCCTGGCGCCATGAAAAGGGCAGATGCACATAGTCTTGCTACGTGTGTTACTGGCTTCCGTCCAAGCCAGCTTTTAACTACCAATCTTTCTTGGTTTGTTTGTTCGAGTCTGTTCCATTGACTTTGGACGTCAGAACAGCCATACCCAATTTTCCAAGTATGGGGATTTCTAGATGATCTTTCTCATAACCCGCTCCGAGTGCTCCAGCTGCAGCATTTGAATCCGATGCCCGGGTTCACACTGAGCCTACCCCAACCGACTTGTTTGATGTTGAGACGCTTGCCGATCTGCTGAGATGAAACACTTCTTGGGAAGTTTGGAGTTCTGGCAGCGTCCCTTGGCTGCAAGTCCTCCAAGTGAGGGTACCCAGGGCCTTGGGCTAACATTTAGTGGCACAATGATTCAAGAAGTTCAAAATGAGCAATGCGGAACAAATCACGATAAAAAAACAAGAAAACACGAGAAGCACAACAAAAACAGAACAAATACTTAGATCCCTCTGGACAATTTCGGACATGCAAATCAGGAGAAAGTCATGACAGTGTGGCACATTGTGACACTAATGTGGCACTAATGTGGCACTCCAGGCCGTGGAGGGCGACAACCTGGAGGTGAGGAGAAGCTGATGGAAGCTATCGATAGCTCCAAGGAGACACGGTTTCCGAACGGTTTCCAAGCAAATTTGCGCATGAGATGCATTAGAAGCATTAGATGCATTAGATGTACTAGATGCATTAAAAATATATTATAAATCATCATGAAATGCATTAATTAGATCTGTTCCGAACAATGTAACAAATTGTTCGATGCATTGCCGTAGAATACTGTAATTAGGCCAGCCAGGGCCAGGCCAGCCAGGGCCCATCAAAAGGACAGCAACTTGGCGAAATTTCACCAGGACAAGATTCACAAGGCGATCCTTGACAACTTTGCGACGCCCAAGGTGGTGGAGGCTAGCCCATGCTAGCCCCATGACACGGACATGATCTCCCCACGGAGCTATAGTTGTGGTTTGCCGAATCAGCCGAATCAGCCAGCCCTGGGGTGTACAACTCAGGCAATTGTTTTTGACATGTTTTGACCAGTCCTACATGACAGGTACTGTCCTGTATCTGACTGTATTTGAGATGTTTGTTATTGTCCAGGTGTGACTTGCACGTACATAAATCATACGTGCACAAGTGGCGTATAAGTATATATAATTAATTATATATATACATACTATATGACATATAGGTACATGTAAAAATTGACAATGATGTTGACACATGTTGACATCACTTACGATTGCAAGATATTACCGGATATTGTTAGAAGTCGTATATGAAGTCAATCATCCCTTTCAGTCCCACTGGGATCCACTGGGATCCCAACACATTCCAACGTTGCAACGACGTTACCCTGCGATAGCTGCGATAGGCCATTTCGAAGCTCGTGCTGGAGGCTAAGGCCACCATGGACTCCCCGACAGATTCCTTGGAACCAGTTCTGAAGGCCTGTGATTGGAGTGGTGTTTCTGTAGGAAAATGTAGGAAACAAGCGATAGACACAGATAGTGCTAGATAATGAATGATAATCACATATGCAATTTCAATCAATTGCAATTTATTACCACTTACACCATACAAGATCATACAATCTCATACCACAAGATGTCGCAAGATAGTCAATTACAAGACATGCAACGATCATGGCGAGTTGTTGAAGCTGTTGGAGCTGTTGTTGGCTGTGGATGGGGCTGGGGTACTGACAGGCAGCTCACTTGATCGAGTCTACCATGTCTATGCTCGGCGTCGAAGGCTTGCGCATCACGCGAGAGCCCAAGGACCTGGGTAAAGAAGATCGAATAAGCATGGAGCTATATGAAGTTGCTGTTCAACGAGATTTCAGAGCTACATTTTGGTTCAACTACCTGAGACGGGTCATATATATTCATATATGGTCATATCAGTTCAATGATGTTTAATGCAGTTCCATTCATATCACGCACATCGATTGTAGTTTGTTTATGTTTATATAATTTATTTATGTTTATTTATTGTCCTCGGAGCAGCTTAGAAGCTCGAAAGTGCAGGAAGCTTGGACAGAAGCAGTAGACACTGTGGCAGACCTGCGGCAGCAGGTGAGAGAAGTAGCTAGAGATGCTTGGACTGCAAATCTCATGCAGGAGACCCCTCCGTAATTTGGTTTGCTGCTTGACGTGCAGCTTCCATGTATTTGGCGTGATTTGACATCTACAGATCTCAGGGTCGGATGTAAAAAGATGTCAAGATGCAAAGTCAGGTATAGAACAAAAGATTCAAAAGATGCCACTTTTCACTGAAGCGGCCGCAGATGGCATTCCCAAGTTGTCGAATGTCATCGAAGTTGAACATATTGAACTTGGCTCGCAACTTCCTGAAAGGCCTTGTCATTTGCCCTATCTGCCAAGGAGAAAGATGCCAGCAAACGGCAACAGCTTGGATCCCAGGAAAGACGCTGAAGAGTTGTGACACACCAGCACCATGCCTGTGACACCGCGTGAAAACTGAACATTTCTAACACGCGTATATGGCGTATATATGATCCTGTCCGCCGGCCGCCCCCCCCATCCCCTCCCCACTATCCCCCCCCATCCCCCCCCTCGTACATACCCCCCTACCCACATACATACAAAGTCACATATATGCATCCCTACCTACATACATTCCTACCTACATACATACCTGCCTACCTATATACATGCCTACACATACACATACCTACACTCATTCTTACCAACCTACCTACTTACATACCTACCTTCATGCATACATACACCAATACCTACCTACATGCATGCACAGCTTCGTACATACCTGCCTACCCACACACATACATAAACACACATATGCATACCTACTTACATACATACCTACATACATACATACATACATCCATACATCCATCCATCCATACATACATACCACACCGCATACCTCACCACAGGCCCCACCACAGGGGGGGATGGGGGGAGGGGGGGTTGCCAGGGCTGGTACACACACACATATATATATATATATATACACGTATTATATTAGTATGACATGTATCTAATGTAATGTAATGTAATGCAATGTAATGCAATGCAATGCAATGTAATGTAATGTATTGTATTGTATTGTAATGTAATGTAATGTAATGTATGTATGTATATACACATTTGTATAACATCATACAGCTTGTCATCCATTGTTTTGTCCTTGACTGCAGCATTTGCAGCACTCGAGCCTTCCAAGGCTTGTGAAGGAAGCTGTGGCGAAGGATGTAATCTCAGTGGCCCTGGGGTTCAGAGTACAGAGGACGAACAAAATTGGGATATCGAGGATCCACTCCGGGACTTCTCTCACTGGACCAGAACGGTTTCAAGTTTTTTTTTTGGGGGAATATGTGTTCGTAGGTCCTCCCAGGCTCACAGAAATCCATGACATCTGAGAACCAGTGGCCAGGTAGCAGGCTCTTCTGCCAAAGCGCAGTCGGCAGGCCTGAAGGACAGAGCAGAGAGCTTGGTTTAGGTTTGTGCTCTGTTTGGCTGGGACCCCTTCACCTTTGACACAAGAATGACCAATGTAATGTAATGTATTATGTATTGAAACATATTGAAACTAAAAGCCCGGAGTACGATGTTAGGGGGATGGAGTATGATTCAGCTGGAAGCATCGATTGGACTGTGCCTTTGGCTCTGCAATATCCTGCAATTCTTGTTTGCCTTAGTCAAAACTTAGGCTGTGATTGCTGGTGGTATGCCGCAAGTTCTTCCCTTTGAGCTGCAATGTGGTTGGCTTTTTTAGTGGGTATCCTGTATCGGATTGAAGGACCTTGCCAATGCGATGGATAGTTTCGAGAAGGATCTTGTTGGTGACCTGTCAAGCACTGTAATTAATGAGATATGCGCCACCGCAAAAACTCCCGCAAGAAAACATGTAAGGGACGGACATTGGCTTTCAGAAATTGTGCGAACATGAGGTAAGCGATGGGACCTTCCCAAATAGCGATACCCCCTTTGAAGGTTGTGTCGTACCAGTGCACATACGTCATTTTCCTTTGAGCAATACCCCCGAATTTGCCGTACAACATTTTTTCACAAACGTGTGGGAAGCGAACCGCGAACCTTGAGTTTCCGAGATTGCTCATGTAGGAGTTCTTACAACAAATCCCTCATTTTCACTCCGATTGTGATGATTGGTTCATCTGGTTCGGATTGAATGCGCAGATTTTGGGTGTCGATTGACAGCAAGGTTTAGCAGAGTCCAACAGCAGCATGGGACAACTGCTCGAACGTTGCGACCGTGTGCGTGATGTGGACATGGTTCAGCTCGGGGTTCGACTCGAGGAGACCTGGGCCTGGGCGAGATTTGGTATAGCTTGGCAAGCGTAGGCATCTTTTGATCATTTTTGATCAAACATGTCATCGTTATCAAGACTTATTAAGTTACCAATGTTTCAGACTTGGGACGCCGGTGATTGGACGGATTTGAGCTTGTAAAATATTGTAAATCAATGTGACTGACTAATGAACGAAACAGTCTAGGCAACACGAAGCAGGCCATGGTGGCAGGAAGGCGTAAGAAACAGCAGACTCAGTTTTTTTTTCCCTACCCATCACTCTGAGAGAGAAGGCAGTGGACATTCTACACTTACAGTTACAATTATTACGAAAGCCAGCTAGCTGGCTAGTTGCTGTTTGCGAACGAAGTGAGAATAGGGGGTGTGGGGGGGGGTGGTTGCCGAAAGGGAACGAAATCTCGCCATGCCCCTGTGTTGAGCGCCAGAAAACGGAGCATTTTGCTGGATTATGTACCACTAGGTAATTTGCTGACGGTGGGGTATCGATTCCCCCTAGGTCCGCCTTTTTGGTGGCCGGAGAGACCATGAGGATGTATTGGAAAATACAATGAAACTGCAGGAAAACATGATAACGATCAGAGGAAATCGTACAAAATCCCTTGGAAAACGGACGAAAACGGAGCGAATGCTAGGAACAAACCATGGAAAATCCCTTGGAAAATGGAGGAAACCGGAGCGAATGCTAGGCGCAAACCATGACGATGCAGTAAACATGCTGGAAAAATACAGTGAAAGTGCAGGAAAATGTGATAACAACGAGAGGAAATGGTGCAAAAAGGATCGGAAAATGAAGGAGACAGGTAAAACTCTTGGATTAATATTAATATTGAAAAGGTATGAAAATGCAGGAAACCAGAGGAAATGGTGCAAAAACCTATGGAGGAAAGAGGTGAAAATGATAGGAAACATGTAGTAAAAAAATGCTGGACAAAACATATTGAAAACCCACGAAGAGGATGTATTGGAAAATACAATGAAACTTGAGGAAAACATGATAACGATCAGAGGAAAATGCTAGGAACAAACCATGCAAAATCTGTTGGAACATGGAGGAAACCGGAGTGACTGCTAGGAACAAACTATGACGATGCAGTAAACATGTTGGAAAAAGACAGTGAAAGTGCAGGAAAATGCGATAACAACCAGAGGAAATGGTGCAAAAACGATCGGAAAATGAAGGAGACGGGTAAAACTCTTGGAAAAATAGATTAAAAATGCATGAATAGACTGAAAACCCACGAAGAGGATATAGAAACTGCAGGAAAACATGATAACAATCAGAGGAAATCGTGCAAAATCCACTGGAAAATGCTGGAAAGATACAGTGAAGGAAAATGTGATAACAACCTGGCAGGAAAATGTGATAACAACCAGAATAAAGGGTGCAAAATCTGTTGGAACATGGAGGAAACCGGAGCGACTGCTAGGAACAAACTATGACGATGCAGTAAACATGCTGGAAAAATACAGTGAAAGTGCAGGAAAATGCGATAACAACCAGAGGAAATGGTGCAAAAACGATCGGAAACTGAAGGAGACGGGTAAAACTCTTGGAACAATATATTGAAAATGCATGAAATGCAGGAAACGAGAGGACATGGTACAAAAAGCCATAGAGGAAAGCGGTGAAAATGGTAGGAAACATGTAATAAAAAAAGCTGGACAAAACACAGTGAAAACCTACAAAAGAGAAGAAAGTAACCACAGGAAACGGGAGGAAAAGCAGTGGAAACTGGAAGAAAAGTTGTGACAATATTAGGAAAACGGTGTACAAGCTAGGAAATGCTTGTAACAACTAGAGGAAACGATGTAGAAAACAGTACAGCATGGAGGACACGCGTGAACATGCTAGGAGGCATGTAACATGTTAGAAAAATACAGTGAAAACCTAGGAAAATGTTATAACTAAAAATGCTTTAAAAATACAGTGAAAACCAAGACAATGTCAACGAGCGGAAACGTTGAGCAGGAAATCCGATTTGGTTTCTGTAGATAATGTTAGATGATGAGCAATGTAGTTTGGTGATAGGAAATAGTGGCTGACTCGCGTACAAGACATTGCCATGAAACCTTGGAGCAAGATGCGGATGGTATAGGAAAAAAGATGTATGAGTTGTAAGATTTTAGGAGTTGCATGGGAAAATTGGTTTCATGGTAATCTGTGTGAAGTTAGAAAAGTGTGATTTCGTTCACAGAGTAAGAAAAATAAATACAATCTGCAGATTAGAGTATTTATAATGCTTAAAGCTGTTTGACGTTTTTTGGTGCCTCCCTGATTCTGGTAGTTTTGTGATAAGAACTACAAAAACGATCTACTGGTAAACGGAAGGAATAGTCTTTCCGGTTTAGAACTGAGTCGACTGTCAAGTGATGCATAGGCTCCAGGCCTCTGGTTATTGTCACAAAGCATTGGAATGAAGATTGCGCCCAGGAGCCACCTAGGTTAGGAGACTGCAATATCATTGTAAGAGGCCGTACTGAGAAGGCTGAAACAGAACTAAAAGTGAATCTTGTACTAAAACATCGAGAAAGAATTTGAATCTTCTAATGGCAATGACGGGAATGATATGCATCTGTACGTCCGTGATAGTATGTGTGCCTTTTAAAAGGGATGTTTGGCGAGTGTGATAGCTGAGAAGATTTTCCGGGATGCCAAACAATTATCTCTATCGATGTCAGGGATGATGCTATTCCGCGACATTTCCTGTAAAATACCTATTTTCCAGACCCTTGGGGGGTGGGGGGGGCACCCAGGTCTGTAAATGGCCTAAATATATATATATATATACTTTTGATTTGGACTGCATGTTCGCCACTGTTCTATATTTCCCGTGGGTTTTGCGTTGTTTTCCTCGATTTTCATTCGTTCTTATACCCTTTCTTACGTATGTTATAATATTGTCTTGGGTTTGCACTGCCCATTTTGCGAGTAGAGCTATGTTTTGATTTCTCACCGTACGGCCAAAATGTTGCGGAACTTCGCGGAGAAGCATGGACCACGATTCTGGGGAGAAAACAATTTAGACTTTGAGAGGTCACATGACCACTGTTCACACAAAAAAGCGTTTTTTTTTTTGAATCTACAATAGGTGGGAGCAAACTTGTGCTGTTTTAAGATAAATGAGCAACCAAAGGCGGATTTGCGGAACTTGAGATAGAACTTTTCACAATGCCGCAGTACATTGTAGGAAACATATTTGGATATAGAAGTTACAAAATCGTGGAGTTTACCCTAAAAAGGTCCATTTAATGATTGGAAACTTATGAGCCGATAGCAATTGTTGATGTTGGGGCGCTTCATGTTTGAGCCATGCCATGTGGATGAGGTGGAGTTTCACGCGCCCCCGCGCGAGTCAAAAAGCAAGCGCTGGCTTTCGTTCCACCCCTTCTCAGGTATGATGTTTGCCTGCTAATCAGCTAATCCACAAACATCATATCTGAAACTGTCAAATCTGAAGGCTTGAAAGCTACTGGCATTGTGTTCTTCATAGACTCTCTGTACCTGCAGGACCGAGGAACTGGTGGCTATGCATGAGTCTCAAAGCTCTCAGAGATGGATAAACTATGATAAGCTCACCTTGCTACATGTTCAAATCTCCAGCAGAACATCACGCCATGAAAATTATTTTGATTGGTGCATGTTTTTGATTGATTTGGCTCTTGTTTTTTCCATGTTACGCCCCCAATTTCTGGCAAATATTCACAAGCAACATGGATTTTTCCTGCCCTTGCTTAGTTCAACAATGTTTCTTGCACGTTCTTCCAATAGGAATCTCATGGATCCCCATAGCATGCTCTGTGCTACTAGTATGTTGGCCAGAATATTGAAATGTTCCGGGCTGCGATCTATTAGTCCAGTGTGAAGAAACCAGTTTATAGCCTGCAAAGTTCACCCTGAAGTTGGGTGCCTGAATGCATTTGATTTGGGTTTCTTCTCAAAGTTATGGACGCTTCGCGTGCTAAGATCTGGATGTTTGACGACAGAGAGGCAATGGAGGCGTGTGACGTGCAACTGATCGGCAGTGGCTAGGTGTTGTTCCGACAGACCAGGCTCACCCGATGACCTTACAATGACCTTAGAATGACCTTAGAACGACCTTACAATGACCTGACAGCTGGACAAGTTTCACCTTTCAGTCAGGAAAGGAGAGGAGTTCCAAATGGAGCAAGGGCTGAACGTATTGAGAGAACAGTTGAGTGTGCGGCGTGTGCGGTTCGTGTTCAGGTTGAACAGAAAGAGGCGGAAGAAAAGGCCAAGGCAGCGGAACGTTTGAACACTGAGTCACTGAGTGTGAATTAAGGATAGAGAGAGAGAGAGTGACAAATACATTATGGAGCTACCATTTCTCCGCATTCGTGAAGAGAATATTGAAAGTTTTGTTGTGTGGCTATGTGTGGCTGCTATGCTTTTAATGATGCCAAATACAGCATGCGTGAAGGGATAAATTCAACGATCAAGCCATGCTTCTACCCTCATAGGTAGAATCTTGACCCCACAGGCAGCAGTCCGTCAGAAGGTCCAAAACAAGCTTCCTGACTGCAAAGGAAGGGAGAGAAATCCTCCATGCCAGGGCCAGGATTGTGGGGAATTCAATTGATGCCTAAAGAGCTCTAAAGTTACTGTATATGTGAAAGTCACACGTCACGTTGGTCAACTGGTGTCACAAAGGCGCACATTGTCGAACATATGCATGCGGAACTGCATTTGCTCGCAAAAAGTCTGCCTGAGTAGATACAGCGCTGTCATGAACGATTCTGAGCCCTTTGCAACTGCAGACGGTGCAACATTTCCAGCCATGACCAAGGATAATCCATGATAAGCAAGGCCAGCAGACCAGTGAATCCCTTTGCTGCTCAGGCTAAATCAGAAGGTGAAAGAACTCGAATTGGCGGAGAAAGCCGTCCCTCAACTGAATCTTTCGACTTGATTTTCTTGCACATTTGATATCATTTGATCACATTTGTGTCATTTCATGATGGATTGTTGTTCCCAAGTTTATTTGCCGAGGAGGGGCAGGGCGTAATCTCAATATGAAAGATACTGTACCCTCCCACCCTCCCCTGTGACTCGCCGTGATCAAGACCACTAATGACTGAAGATATGAGGTGTCAATAGGTGTCAGATGATCAGAGCTCTTCTATGCTTTTCATAGGCATTCCATAGGCATACAACGTTTCTTGAATGCTGCATGGCGGCCGAGGCCATCCCTCCGAAAGACCTCTTCCAGAATGGTTCGAACAAAGGCGATTCGATGTAGAATATGTATGAATATGTATGAAGTATCAATGAATTATGTTGATATGTGCAGATCACCTGCTGAAACTCCAGTTGCCCCTGAAGGTGTCTATGGTGAGTTCGATGCGGAGGGTATCCCCACCAAACTCGCAAACTCTGAAGAGCTGAGCGCAAAGAAGCGCAAAGACTTGGTGAAGGACGCCGCTGTTACACTATGTTGCACTGGCTGAGAGAGCGAATCCCACCTTTTATATCCTTTTATAATCTTTTATATTCTTTGATTTTTGGGCTTTACTTGCTGTGAATCCAGAGTTATGAATTCCGTCCTGAATTCATGATCATAGTTTTGCCGCCTTCTCAGTCTCTTCATTCTCTCCCCATCGCTGCCAGCCCTATGAAGCAGGAAATGGCAAAGCAACACAAAGACTTTGAGAAGCTTCAAAAGCAGGCAGGTGATACTGGAATTGCACCTTGGCAGCACCCCTTGACATGGCAATGGCCATGGCAAAATGGGAAAACGAGGGAAAACGATGTTCCAATTCAAATGCCGAGCTTTGGCGCCGACCGGAAGAACGGCAGTATACGTGGCAGAAATCATTTGTAATTTGTAAGATTTTGTAAGTATCGACTTTTCCACCTACTGCATCTATCCTATCAATATCAATTTCTTCATCAATTTCCTTATTTATTCATTATTAATTTGTTCTTGATCCCTATCTATGGCATTATCATATCGAGCTTATATTCATCATTATTTATCTATCAATTACAGGCGCATGCAACTGTGTAGCGTAAATGTGTTTACTCACGTGCTTATCATATACACAAGCAAGAGGGGCCTCCAGGAGCGTTCTGACCTTGAAACAATCGCTTCCTTCCAATTGTTCCAGGAAGCATTTCTGGCAAAGATGCGAAGTGAAGTCGCAGAGCTAGAGAAGCAGCTGCAGTGATCCGCAAATCCATCCAAATCCCTGTCGAGCCGCGCAGACTGCGCAGACTGCACAGACTGCGCAGACTGCGCAGACTGCTTTTATCAAGCCCCTGGCTGCACTGCCGGACCTAACATTGGAACTGGGCTTACAAACATGACATGAAAAGACTCAATTTGCCAAGACCGCAGCCTGTCTGTTGAGTCACTTCAAGATCAAAATAGAACCCACCAATGCCTTGTACAAGCTCCGTGCCAGCCAACAGGGTACCCAGCTTCAGCTGGAACGTGTACAGCCCAGGTCCTGTGACCAAAAAAGAGAGCGTGTTTGAGGGCCATGCTGATCAAACTGTTGAGCCAACCCGTTGCAAAACATTGCAAAGGGAATTGCATCTTGAAGGTTCTTGAAGGTTCTGGTTTGGAGACCTTGGAAAAGGATGGAAAAGGGGAGTTTCCCAGACTTTCCCTACAGCTGTAGCTTCGAGGTCTTTACACCAACAGGTATGCGAGTGGTCTCACAGCAGTCAAATCCTAAAGCATCTATATAATGCCCAAGGTTCGAACGGTATTCTTGGTGCATGTCTGTTTGAAGACATTTCGGAAAACAAGGGGGGACATTTTCTCCAAAAGTTTTTGACAGCACCAGAGAGAGCGAACGGAGGCACTATCACACCGGTGCGGTATTTACCTGCATTGGGCCAGTTGGCTTTTCACATCACTTTCCCTGTTGCCATCAATGCAGGTTGTGCGGCAAATTTGTGCAATGTACACAAGCCAGATGCAGCCCAGTCGCAAGACAGACAAGGGGGATTGGCTCTTGGTGCTTGGGGGCTACCTTGTTACGTTTTGGGCTTGGCTGCCGTAGCCCATGAGCTGTTGCAGGGTGCGATGCCGAAGAGTCAATAAATGGCCACGGTCTTTTGCATGAGCAAAGACCGTTGCCAAACATGGAAGTGATGCATTGGATCATATTGGATCCTTTAGATTCTGGGCATTGGACATCATCAGACTTGGTCAACCTCAAGGGTTTGCAAGGAGACATGGCCGAACACTTGTCCATCAGCCCCCTCCCATTTGCCAATTTTGCCATGCCGTGACTTTTTCCAGGACACAGCTCACTTTCAGGCGACGGTCTGATAGGTGGGAAGGGACGGAGAGACAAAGGGATCGAGAGCTTGATGGAGAGAGATTGAGAGAGAGAGAGAGAGAGAGCTTGAGCGAAAGAGACAGTTGAGGCAATTGTTGGATGCATTTGGCTTGTAGATGTTGTAGTGAGAGATGCGAGCTGCAGTCTTGTACGAAAGCCAGCACAATTGTTGCGATGCTGCTTGATGATATGTCGTGCTGCAGCCGTCCAAAGCAAGCATGCCATTGGAAAAGCAAAATGCATGATAAGGCATCAACAAAGAGTACTGTATCCATCTTGAGATGAATGAAACTACCACAATCCAACTACCATCGTTTCTTGATCCCGATTTATGTTGTGATCCTTTCAAGACTCATCCGTCACAAGGCTTGAAGCCCCTTCAAGGGTCGGGGACCTGCGCCCCAGTGGTTGCTCCTAATCAACGCAAACCAACTCTGTTTGCAAACGCGGGTGTGCTCACGGCTACAATCTATGTTGCCACGTACTGTAAGCCGCCTTTTCAAGCTCCAGGGCATGTGAAAGAGAAAACACGCTGAACCAACAGACCTTGGGCCATGCCATGGAAGCACGGGACGCTGCTCTGGCGGCTGTGCGGGCAGATGGCTTGGAGCTGCGAAAGGTGGGGGAATTCCGAGCAGATAAGGACGGGCAACTTGCTTCATGGAAACAACAAGCGGGCTGGATATTGGTGGATGTCCAACATTGGGCAGGCATTTCAGATTCTGATTGCTGGATTTCGATCATGTTTTCGCTTTGCCAGAGCTCCGTGGAATCGCAGGAAGTTGTGTTGGCTGCCGTGCAGCACACTGGCATGGCGCTGTGCTACGCATCGCACACGCTGCAGGATGATATTGAGGCCCAGCAAACTTGACAGAACATGTGGTTTATGTAGATGGGTGAGTGTGCGTAGACGGCGGTGGGCCACAGGGCACTTTCACACTCATTTGGTGCTATGCTACAGATAGGGCGGGGTGGGGTTGGAGTGGATTGTATGAACGTTCACCGGCATTTGCACCTCATTTGATGCTACGCTACCCGCGAGGTGGGGGTGGGGTGGGCTAAGAATATTCACCTGAAGTTGTGCGCACCTGAGGCTACGCCGCAAATGGATTTGAGCTGAATATGTTTTTAACACTATTTTTTGTATATTTTTGGGGAGTTTCAAGTCCTTGACAGTTCTCGCGCCAATTCACACCATAGTCACTTAAAGAAATTGTGAACAAACTTTGATTGCATGACACTTTCGACCATACTGGGCATACTTGTAGTTCCTGAGTTCGTGAGTGGAACAACTGGGGTTCGCGCACCCACTATGCTTCTGGTAACACTTTAGAGTCTTTAGAGTCTTCACATGCTGTCCGGTTTTTGACCTTAAGATGTGAAACAGGAGGGTATGGTAGTTTTTTGGAAGCCGCGAGCCACACACTTGCTCAGAACAGTCACCCAAGAAACCTTGGCGTAGAGGCGTACAGATTCATGTTTATTTGTTTCTATGACTGAGTCCTTGCCCAATGTGCAGATTAATTTCTCGATGATCCGAAAACCGCCGCCATCTATAAGTCCCAGACCCCGTAATCGCCTGCCACTGCTAGGTGGTCACTGCTGCAGTTCAACAGCATTGGATGGCCTTACAGCAAATCAGCTGCACAGATGCCTTTCTTTCTTTGATGTCCAGGTCTACTGCATATGTACACACACACACATACACGCGTATAAATATGGCGTGCTATCAACTTATCAAATGCACACTGGTCCACAATGGCGCAGAGCCACTGGTACATGTGTACAAATGCATTCACACGCACCGCTATTCATTTTTTTTTGCTGCAGGGTGCAGGGCCCTCAGCAGTGTCATGGCTGAGGTATGCCTCAAATGAACTCAGAGACAACTTGGACATTGGCCTCATCGCTGTGAAGTCCAATGGCTTGGCGCTGGATCAAGCAGGACAGGGGGGCAAGGCTTTTAGGCAGAACAGGTCGTCTGCGTTGCAACTGGTTAGGGTTTGACACATGCACATGACGATAAGAATAATGTCAGATTATGTAAGATACATTTTCTTATTTAATCTATATTTATATTGTGCACGCACATTTGTAGATAATGTATGGCAGTATTCGAAGGTTTCATTCCGTATTTTCGAAGTTTTAGTGGCGGTGTTTGCAGGACCGCTTTGCAAGTGTCTCGGCAACAGCTTCCGTGGTGGAACTGAAAGTTGGTGAGCAAAACGCTAAGCTCGTAGAGCTCCGAGAGCTGAAATGGTGGTGCACAGTGCAAAATAAGATATATAAGACAAGAGTCTGAGATACTGGTAGTCTGAGAGAGCATTTTGCCTCGCTCAATTTGAAAACTCAAAGTTTGACTGTACATGACTGAAGAATATGGAAGGGAAGAAGGCAAGTCCGATATCTCTGCAGATTTGATCCTTGCAGGGACAATGCTACTCTGGTTACGGAAGCGGTAAGCAACGATGGCCGTGCTCTGCAGTATGCATCAGAGAATCTAAGACGAGCAACTTGGCACTATGGATGGCTGCTAGATTTTCTCGAGTTTTTTTTCTACAATTACTCTTGTCCACGGCCTTGTCACAAATGTACAGATGCAGTTGCATGCAACATACAGATACATACAATATGTGCGCGCACTCCAGAACGAAGGACAATTTCATCGTGATGGAGGCATTGAAGTCGGATCCAGAGGCCGCACCAAAGCTTTAACCAGCCGGCCCCTCATATCCTAGGCTGATCTAGGCCATTCCAGGCTGTATCAAGTTATGTATATATATATACCTGGTATACCTTATATATATAGATACGTAACTATCCTGAATTGTGAAATTCATGAAACAAAAGCATCAACAAAAACACTCACATACGTTGCAGATTTTTCAGAACAGAGCGGATCCAAGCACATTATCCATCATTATCCCATGAAATTGACTCAATTGAAATCCTTGAGATCTTTTACGATCTTTCAGAATCTAAATTTGACGATTTTGAGAACTCTGCGAGGCTCTGGAGTTTGCAGATGATGAGCTGAAGGACTCCCTGGAGGTCATCATGCCAGTGTCTGTGACAGCAGGGGGCATGGTGATGCATGCTGTCGAGAAGTGATGTTTATGCTATTTACTAATAATAAGATATAATAGGTTAAAATTGAAACATGCTAAAAATTAACCAAAATGATATATTCTAGAAATATTATGACATATTTAAGAACTCGATATATTATATATATATATATTTTTTTTTCTCATCTTGAATTCACTGCCCAAAGAGCAGAGCTGGATACTTTGGCGCCGAGCCCATTCTATGAAATTCTCAAGCTTGCAAAGCCTCTGAGGCACTTCGGCGTGATGGCGCGACGTTGCGCTTCCTGCCGGAGCACATGAGAGACAGCCGCAAGCTTAGCTTCGATGGTTTTCGGGTCATTTGAACAGATCAACGCGGTAGATTCAGTGATGATCTGAATAGGATCAATGCCATTGATGAATGGCCTCACCCCATTCAGTGCACTGCTACACTAACCTCCCGTTTAATTTTTCCGCTGTGCATGCTGGAAAAGTCTGCGCGGAGAACCCTAGCCATTGCATTTATGTTGCTGTAGTTACGATCAAGGAAGAAAAAATGGTCTGGCTGAGAACAAATCAAGACTTGGTGAACGCGTTTAAAAGGATACATCGCTTTCAAAATCAACTAGCCTGCCTTGACTTTGGCAGTCTGTATGAAGTCGCAGTTACAGTAATTTCTGTATGCTTCCCCTCCTTTGCAAACACCATTGGGAGGGCTGTATGTACTGTATTTGACCAGTTTGGATCAAGGTTCAGATGTTGCCCTGGATGCTGTCCAAACTTGTGGCTTAGCAGTGGCCTTCGCAACGCCAAAGGCGATGCTTTCCAGTATTTTCGAGTCTTGTGAATTGATTTGAATTGGATATGCGCTGCTCCCTACTCCATCCTACACACATATCCTATCCATTCCTATCCCATATTCTTCTGGAAGTTGAGGGCAATAGCTTGTCTTCATCGCATGAGTGGCAGTTGACTACATTGCGGGGGGATGTTCCTTAATGTTCGCCATCTTCGCAAATGCGTCCAGTCGATCCAGCCTTAGTTCTTGCTGGAGGTGCGTGCAGACCGAGAGGTCATCAGAGCTGCAGTCAGCAAGGCGGGCCGATATGGGGGAAGAACATGCCAGTATAGTACGACGTCGATATTTGTCGATATTTGTCGGTATAGTCTTATTGCAGGCGTTGGATAGGCCTGTGCTTGGGAACCCGGATGTGACGATTCTTGCGGCATCTCTTGGCCCACTTCTTGTACCCTTATTTTGGTTTAGTTGTCCAGCTCGCAGACACAACACTTCGCTTGCAAAGATGATAAAGACGCCCAAGTGCGATGGATTGCACTTGTCCTTGTCAGGATGGCCTTGCATTGGCCTATGCCACTCAAGAGTTGCAGGGCGACGAAGACATAGTGGAGGCTGTCCCATTTTACTTTTCCATGGGAGGGAGGTTTCAGAATTTCACACACACACATATACAAATCCAACTTTGATTCTACCATTAGCTTTTTGAGACATCCTTGTCCCGCGAGGATTTGACCGAGGTTTGTTGGAAACGTCGGAAACGTAGTATTTGTTCAGTTAGTTGCAGAGAGTGCTGCACACTGATGTTTGGTTAACAGCAACTCTGCTGACAAATTGCGGAGGAAGGCAGTTTGCAATGGGCAGGCAGCAGTTGCTGAAAACCCGCTGGCGCTTCAGTATGCATCAGACCGATGGCGGTGCGACAAGGTGGGGACATGTTGGCACCTTGTGCAACCAGTGTAATCATGTACATCTCATGACATCTCCATGCCTACACATGAGTCTGGACACATACAAGCGTATATAAACTAACAAATGCCAGAAATGCAGAACAACATTGGCAAGATGACAGATCCGTGAAAGGACTTTGTGAAGGGTGTTGTCGCCAACAATGGCTTGGCATTGGAGTTTGTCTCTGGAGGCTGGTTGGGTTTGATTTTTGATGGCAGTCTTGGTGGAACTCCTGACGAAGTGGCTTACATACTCTACTTTGACAAGCTCGTGACAAGGTACAGCATTCGGACCAACAGACGGCAGAGGGAGAGAGAGAGAGAGAGAGCGAGAGAGAGAGAGAGAGGCTTAGGGTTGCTGCATTGCAAATGTTCACCCCACTCGCTTCCTGCCATCCATCGTTTTCTCATGTGCTTGAGGTGTGGCTTGCACATATACTGTCATATACTACTGTACTGCAATTATTTGCTTCATTTTGTTTTAATTACTTTTTGACTCCGACACCAGGCCTATCCAATGACAAGGATGTTTGCATGGAAGCTGTCAGTGACAGAGGTGAAGCTTTGATCCATTGCTCGGCACAGATGCGTGTCTTGGATTTAGAGCAGTTTAAGTTTATACAAGTTTTATTTGATGACACTTGCCATTGCTGATCCCAAATCACCATAAGGACACCTGCTGTCTTTTGAGGTCAGCGATTTGGCCCGTAGAGCATGTTTATTTCACGGGACGCTGAGTCTTGGTCTCTCTCCGTCAAGTCCACAGGTGATGATGACGAGATTGTCCGCACTGCTGTGAGCAATGATGGTTTGCAACTCTTGTTTCTTGGCATATCCGTGCAAGAGGGCCTGCATGCAGAGCCAACAGAAAAACATGAAATTCCTCGCTGGTCCTTGCCAGAAAGAAAAATATCAGACACATCCACATGTTTCAACGCGGGTGTGCAAAGAGGTAAAACATCCGTTCACGAGCTCCCAAGCTGTCAAGAAAGCCGAAGATGAAAATGACACTGTGCTTGCCGCAGTCGATGCTGAGACCCAACTGACATCAACTGACTACATGCATGTCGTGACAAAAGTGGAGGACAATTCCCAGGTACAGACATAGCTAAGACTACGCGGCTATCCAGCTCTGGATGCCTGCAACCATGAATGAAAGAAGTGCAGCAGACTTGAGATCCTGCACACATTCCGGGTCGAAGCAAACTACTGTACGTTTTGGCAAGTTTGTGAACTTAGGAATGTGTCACCTCGCTTGCGGCAAGATCGGAACTTGGTGATGCTGGCGTTGAGTAACTTGACTGTAATACCAGTAGGCTGACAACATTTTGACCAATCAGTAATAATATTAATTTATATATATATACATGTTTTTGATGCTCTTGGATCTTTCGGACAAGGTGTTGAAGTTTAGAAGAACGCTTCTGCAGTTTCTTCTTGTGTCACAACTGAAGCGCACAGCACAAACTCAAACTGAGTCATACTTATACTTGGACTCGTACTGTATTGGCTGTGCAGCCGGGAATGTTTTTAATTAATTGTTTTGACATGTTCTGACATATGTATATGCATGAAAAAATGCATGAATATATATATATATATATATATATTATATTTATTTATTTCAAGTGTTTTGCTGGTTCCATTTCACGCGCCGCCCGCTTCTCACACGGAAACTTCAGCAATCGGCCCATGACAGAGTGCGATCCAATGCATGCTTGCAATTTTTGGTAGATCTTTGGAATGACACGACACGCAGATGGGATTGCTTTGCCACTGTCAACATGTCTCAGTACCGTTAAAAATTTTGACTTCACCACTCCTTAGCCTTAACAGAGCAACATGCAGCCACATCGTGAACATTATAGCCAGCTCGCCTTCCATCGCAGCTGGACAACATGTCTGGCACCATGAATGATGGATACCCGCTCGCCTCTAACAACGAGGACCGGACAGTTTTTCATGGGCTGGTAATGGGTATGCCTAAACCCTTGGAGTTGAACTATATAATGTTGATCAGTTTGGTGGTCCAGTTGCATTGCATACAATATCCTGCATGCAATCCATATCATTCATTGCTGTTAAGCTCCAAGTTATATACTGAGGGGGAAGGGTCTCAGTGGCATGCTTCAAGCATGAGCTATCCCAGGACCATCAAGGACCATTCTTCACCTGCAACATTCCACTTCCCTGCGCCACACCTGCACAGGAGGCTCCGGATCTTGTAGAGGAGCTTTCGACGCGACTCGGATGTACTCCCCACATCTCCCCACCATGAAGAACGTGAGTCTATCGGAGTCTATCGGAGTCTATCGCATTCATCGAATCATGGCAGTTCATAATGACTCATAATGATTCATATTGATTCAATTTGATTCATAATGATTCATGTTCGCTTACCAAACGGCCTTTTGGAAGGATGTCATAGGCGCCGTCAGAAGCCAGAACTGACCTTTTTTTGGGACTTGCCGACCTGCTAGCAGAAAGAAGAGCAAACATAACTCTTGTATGACCGTTCCTGGTTCCAGTATTGGAAAGAGCACCCGTGCACGACATTGCAAGGGTGACTGGTATGACTCTGACGTTATTGGAAGGGTCACCAGGGTTGATTCCAAAAGGGCTTATGGCGGACGCTGCAGCTTATGAACGCCTTCTAAGGAAACTGAATCGGATTGAGCAGTTGGGCACTCAAGTGTATAAGGGCCTTGCTGAATGGCCAGGGTTATGCGGGTAGGAACACCGTGACGGATTCTCTCAGTTGAACTCAGGTGCTTACCGCTTACATCCGCTTACCCATAAAATGCGCCCATGTTTGTAATGTGTGTGCCTACAATTGTATACAGTCAATCCCATGTACGTTGGAGTGAGGGTATCACAGTATGGTCGCATAGCACCATTCCGGATAACACATTTATATACATTTATAACTATACGGGGAGAGAGATAGATGATTGATACATGAAGTCGCGGCGTTATTATCCCTGACTGCAGCATCTGAAATTCATGGGTGCAGAGGCACCTAAAAACAAGACAAGCAAGCTTGATTCTAGGGCCAAGCCTTTTGCAAGCGGAGGCTTGCATGCAGCTGGCTTTGATAGATGTCAACTCCAACTAAAAAGTGGATGAGGCATGCAATCCTTTTCGCCGACTACTGTAGAGTCACGTGGGACACACATGCCATCACGTTTGAATGTGAGGTCAAGGGAGATTTTCCAGAGCCGATGCAGTTAGAACAACACGCACACGTACATTAATAATATTAAGATAATATAAAGAAGTAATATGACAATGACCAATGTAGGTATAATTCAAGTTTTTAATGTGAAGACTGATAGCAGAAGCATGTGACCATGTGAGACCGCACGTTCTCATATGTATGCGATGAACCCTCTACTGTAATACTACAGCTGCCATGGAGCTTGCTCCGCTTCCGGCCATGCCATGGCGTCCGCCACTCGTTCGACCAGCTCGGAGAGCGAGACCGCAGGTTTGGAGAGCTGACAACTCCTTGGCGCCACTTGGGTCTCTTGGACGCAAAGATTCTACCGGATGGATGGATCGGTATGGCAACCAGTACTGTATGGAAAGGTAGGGTGTAGACTACTAGAGCGTGATCAAGGAGTCAAGGAGTCATGTTGGCACCCCATGTCATCCCATGTCCCCATAACATCCACATGCCTCCGCTGTCTGTGAGGTTGGCAGCCCTACCATGTGTCTCGTTGAGCCGACGACTTCGCCGCTCTCGGCCACTCCGAGCCGTGGTCCCGCGGCTGGAGGACCATGTGGCACAGGGTCAACAAATGAACACTCAATATATTGTCAATATATTGTCAATATGCAATTCCGCGATATTCCGCAACGTTCTGAATTGATCTGAAATGTTCTTCAAACTGACCGGAACCGATTCATACTGATTCACGTTGATTCATCTAATATCGATTCACAATGATTCCGGAGACTGGCCGTCCTGCTGATTTCTTCTGCTAGGTTTTTCTGCTGATTTCTTTCCCAAATTCCACCCATGTAACCTGATGTCAATGGTGCAGCCAATGCTCTGTATAGCTTACAATCCTTTTCTGATCATCAGGTGGCGAATGCAATCGGCGTGCGTTTAGTTTTGCTATGTTTTGCTCCAATCGGCGTGTTTGCTTGTGCTGATTTTGTGCTGCTTTGTTTGCCAGGATACCATGACGGAAATCTTTGCGTCCTATGGCGAATTTGCCACCGGAATTGCTGGAGGTCGCTGGTCCCTAGAGGACTGCCATGCTGAAGTGCTTCGTGGGGGGTTCCACAGATGGGGACACCCTAAAATAGATGGTTAATGATGGTTATATAGTAATAATAATAAGAAGATAAAAATCTTATTAAAATGGATGATTTAGGGGTACCCCTCAGACCTCCATGTGTTTGCTCAGTTGCAATGTCATTCCAAATTCGAGCTCCAAATGATAGTCACCTGTGTGAGGTCAATATGATAAGACACAATCAACTCACTGCAGTGTTGGTGGCTTTGGGGCCTCCATGATTCCCTTTCCTTGGTTTGCCGGGCCATCTCCCCATCATTTCCATCACAGCGATCCACTGTGAGCATTGGCAGGAGGAGGATGACATCGACGGCTCTGTCACCTACAGCCGTTTTCGCGTTGATGACATCCCTGCACGGCAAGGTGGCACCGTGGGGAACACACTGCGGCGCACCTTGCTACGGCAGGACTTTGGTGGGGTTGGACGGTTGGACATTCACTGTTGCCAAAGAGTACTTAATCAGATCTAGTCATGTCGACTCGGTCTATTCTCCTGCGAGGAAGAAAGGAATGAAGAAACCTGTAGACAAGGGATTGCCAAAGTCAAACATCTACATAATAATGTACTGTATAATATGAAATTCCAAGAGAAATGATCTTGGTCCAGAAGGCCTTCCCGTTCACGCGCTGAAGTGTCATAACAAATCATACCTCTCAATGCAGGACTTTTTCCGGAGCTTTGCTCCAGTGGCCTTTCGCCTGCGGCATCGCTCCTTTCAGGTGGACAAGGGGAAGGCCCGCAAGGGCAATCCATGAGAGATGTGTTTCCATGATTTTCCATGCCATGTTGGAAATCTGGCATATTCTAGCATTAAGATGCATTAAGATCATTGAGGCGTGAAAGCCACATCCAAATTTGCAGCTCCCAATTTTAGGAGCATTTACTCACATTGCATAAATGTACGCAAATTTACAGTTTGACTTGAGAGCCTCTTGTTTGAATCCCTCCCACGACAACCCCGCTTCGTTGTAGAGGTATTCGTCTCCCGAGCGAAGCCTGCATTGCATGAATTTGCTTCAGTGCCGGGGGTGCAGGACCCTGCTGATCAAACATAACCGCAAAGCTGGGAACCCATGGGCATCCTGCGAAGATTCAATAATATATCCTTGGCAGGCAGCCTCGACAAAAAATGTTTTTCCTTATTATATATTAATCCTCGTGCCCACTTTCACAGTTCAACTTCTTCTGCTTTTGTACGAGCAAGTTCTCTTCCTGTTGTTTGAGCTCCTGGCTTGGTGAATGCTTGTCATTGTGTTCGAGAAAAGCCACTATCACCACTGTCATTGAAAACTCGAACATGCACAGTCATGCACACAATCATACGGACCATACGCCTCTGTATTGTATGATCTTGTCATGTCTTGTCTGGTTTGTGATGATTTGTGATGGTTTGTAAGGTTTAGAGAACTTGCTTTCGCCAGTGATCATCATGTGATTGACTCGGTGATTTTCTCATTTGACAGGAATCCATGATCGATGTGGTGCGCTTTGTGCAGCACCTCACAGTGGCACCAGGTGTTGCGCCCGAGCTTCCCTTGGCTGCAGCTGCCTCCAACTCCACACAGCCAGACAGTGCCTCTGCCTTCGACGAAATTTGGAGAAGAACTTTCAATGCATTCTTTTAAGGCATCTGTAGACATCTTTAGGCTAATAAACCAGCTGAATGGGTCATGGGTCACAGGTCATCAATCACAAAGGTGGCCAAATTCTACGCAGGTCATTCATGTCAGTTTGCATATCGTGGAGTATTGTTGGTTGTCAGGCACGCAGCGCAGTGCTGAATTTGGACATGAACGTGCCATTTGCACATCCCCTTCTAGCATCTTTTAGTGGAGTAGAATTGAGACTACCAAAAAGCCTATTCGCCACTTCGACTTGCATCGAACTCGCAGTGTTTAGCCCAGGCTAGTAGAACGATGCCTGTATTCAACGGACTGGAGTTGGCCCCTAGGCTCAGTGCTACACCAAATCGGATGAAACTGGTATGAAATCGCCCAAGCATTAATAGATCCCACAACTCCAAGTAGAAACCATTTGCCACATTGCCACAACCTTAGAGCAGAGATTCCAGAGCAGGGCACGCAAAGCAAAGAAAAGAACCATCCTCCGGCTTGCTCGACTTGGATCGCGGAACACTGCGGCACGCTGCGGCATGTGCAATGGTGCGCCAGATCCTGGCAGCTGTGGTTTGTGTCACAGTTTCCACTAGTTTGCGACCCCTTCAATGTCCTTTCGACCGGCAGCTCTTTGCCACTTATGAAAACTTGGAGGATACCTTGGAGCACTTCTTGGGTTTTTATGGTGGCTACAGCCACGGCAGGGCTAAGGTAGTGGCGGAGCACATCCGACTTTTTCAGATCAATTCATTGGCGCAAGACTTCTTGGAGATATTTGAGTCTTTCCGCCTATTTGCTTGCTTGATTTTATGTCCTCAGGCCTGCACCGAACCAGACCTAGAGACGTCATTCTCAACAGTACGACTGGTAGAAAAGTTGAACAACTTGCAGTTGGACCTCGAGCTATTGCTGGACGAGCCATCTGATGATTTCAGGGCTGCTTCTCAAATGTATCTCCGGGAAGCCAAGACTTATGCTGCAAATCTTCAGATGGGAGGTCCGGATCAAGCCCCTGAAGGAATCGATTGGGACGAGGCACACGCTACTTGTGTGGCTCGCGTGGCTTCGAGGATTTTGTTTCCGGCCATGCAGGTGCTGTCCTTGCAGTCCAAGAACAATCAAAGTCATATTATCCTGTCTGGTGTCACCTTCGACACCTCCAATCCTGCAGCTTCTTCGAGCTCATACATTTCTCCACGTCCGCGTGGCGATGTGATGGATGGAGGGGAGCTTTCCTTTACTGTTTTGAGGTCCCTGGCCACGGCTGGTGCTGCCCTGCGGCTATACTCTGGTCCTGGCGGAAAGAGTTCCTCCAGTGGTCAGCTTTGTCAAGGCGTTGCATCCCCCTTCCTGAGCCAAGAAGGTGACCTCTCCACGGAGAGTGGCTGGCCAAGGCGTTGGCGTTTTAGCGCCTGGGGTGAGAAAAACGCGGTGCCGAAAGTCATACAACTGCTGGATGAAATTGAGGCGGCTCACATGGATCTCTCTCACTCTTTCATCGCCTTGCGCCCCACAGGCACAGGTGCATGGGCGCAAAACTTCAGTTGCACTGGAAAAAACGTGCACTATGACCCAAGTTTGTGCCTGGAGGTTTTGGGATTTGGAGGCTATGTTTTCTCAGTGAACATACATCCACCATACATCGGAGAGCTTCGGATGGCTGGACGAAGGTTGGGGGATGTGTCACAAGCGGCTCCCAGCAGCTATTATGATGTGCTGCAAGGATATGGTAGCCACCACTTTGACACTGTCTCCATCGAGCACTTGTTCCACCGCTTGGATGTTGTGTGGCGCCAATCGCCAGAACCTTCACCTGACCTTTTCTTCTTGCATCCGGCAACCCACAACTGCTACGCGATTGAGTACCTCTTTTCTGGAGCTCCTTTGAAGCCTAAAATTCTGGTGGTCCCAATCAACCCCATCATTCCTCCACCGTTTGAAGTCACTCCTCGTTTTGAAGCATGGTGGCATGTGATGCGTCCAGCTTTGCAAAGCACTCCTTTGGCAAAGGGATGGGTCCAGCACAGCTCGGAGCATTTGACCGATGTTACCAGCAACGAATTCATGGATGAGTATTTGACATCAGCAATGTGGCTTGGGCAATGTTCTTTGGCTGCGGTGAGCAGGATGCTAGAACGTATGCAAGTCAAGAAGTTTCGCTACGTCCTGCACCATGTCTCAGGTGCCTACGCCGTGTTCGTCCGGAAAGATATCCAAAAAGGCTTGGCCAGCCGAAACCAACAGGATAGCTTTGCTAGTTGGCTGAGAGGATGGCATTGTTTACCAGCGCACCGTTTTTTCTCCAAGCTGGAGTTGCTGGGAGGTCCTGACATGGGTCGATTGTCAGATCCATCAGTGCACTCAAGAGAGAAGGAGAAAATTCTGTGTCACTTCTTGGATCGCCAAAGCATTGTAGTTCAGCAACGGAACTTTGACTGTGCAAAGCACTTGGCACAGGTGGATGATCCCAAAATGGCCAGTTGCATTCGCCCAGATCATCGAGGCTGGGGCAACGATGCTGCGGCTTCAGAGAGTCTGCAGGATTCTGTTGGAGCTTGTGTGGCACACTGCAACAGCAACAGTTGCAGTTATTGGACCTATGATCCAACGGCGGTCTATGGTCAACCACTTTGTTGGATTTGGGCTGGCCGACCAGCTGAGATCAAATCAGAACGTGGCTGGATCTCTGGGGATGCGGACTGCCAGAGGTCTAGAGCTGCGGCTGCGCAGGCTGCGCAGGCTGCGGGTGAAGATTCCCCAGGAGGCTTTCAGATGGAAGGCGAGGTTGATGCCACGGACCAGGATCTAGACGGTCTAGTTGCAGTTCGTCCTGAGTCGCGGAGTGGGTCTAGAAGCATCTCAAGACAGTGGGCTGTGAAGGAGATTATTGAGATTCCTGGCATGCGATATTTCTTGGAGTCCACAGGTCGAGGCCGCTGTGTGGAGGGTTTCTGCGAATGTTTTCCACCTTTCCGGGGGCCCTTGTGCGAGCAATTGGACCAGAGCCCTCAGGATGCACAGCGCAACTTCACGGCGGTGCTTCATTACCTTACCTCGGATGATGACACTGACATCGAAGATATTCAGCACAGCTTACCTCGTCTCTGGCGTCGTTTCAATCGGCGGTTTGACTACCCAGTGGTGATTTTTCATGACGGGCTTTCAGACGTTCACCGCCAACAGGTGGTGAATGCCTCGAAGAATCGTATTTGGTTTGCATATGTAGATGACTACCTCAAGGCTCGAATTTTTTCAAAGCTTTGCTTGACTCTAGGAATCGTTGGGGGATGTTGGGGGATGTTGGGGGAGTATTCAGAAATATTGGGAACTGTATGGAACTGTATGGAACGGTGATATCATTCACATGCAAAAATAAAGAAATAAACATATATATATATATATACATAATATATATAATACATTGAAATAAATGAGGAAATACTTATTTAATCGTATTTAATCGTATTTACATGTGTGCACATACATAATCATACATACATACATTCATACATTACATTACATCACGTCACGTCACGTCACGTCACGTCACGTGACGCTACGTTACATTACATTACATTGCATGCATGCACACGCACACATACATCAGGAGGAAGAAAGTTTTTTCCCGTTTAGAGTCTTATAAGCATCATGATGCTCAGCCGCGGATCAATTATCTTCATTTCGCATGGCCTGCGGCGGATCGTATTTCAAGTCTGAATAAATTAAGACTCTTTTAAAGCAAACCAGCTGATCCGCGATCCGCCATGTGATTCATATGAAACCTGTCAGGAGTCTAAGGGGAGAGGGTTGCAGCGGCTAGTCAAGAGGAACAAGTTTGTCCTGGTGTTGTACGCGCATACATTACCGCTACATTACACTACATTACATTATTACATTACAATTTACATCTACATTACCATTTGCATTTACATTACGTTGCATACATTACATGCATCCATCCATCCATCCATCCATGCATGCATACATGCATCCATACATGCATACACGCATACATCAAAACGTAATATTTCAATATCTCAGATATGAATATAATTATCGAAGGAACTTTAGAAGTCAAACTTCCGACAATATGGACAGATGAAAACCAGAGGTGGGAAGAATCAGAGAAGAGAAGAAAAGAAGAAAGAAGATCAGGGAAGAGAAAGAGTCAGACGACAGAAGATGCAGTTGCGTGAAAAGGTAGAAAAGTCGCGAAACACTGTGTTTTTCCAATGATTTGTGGCTCCGGAGGGTCGAAAAGTAGGCTCGCTAAAGCAGCGGGTGCGGAGCCATCTGGCCAGATTGGAGATGAAAAGTTGCACGCCGTTCTGGCGCGAAGCACATTTCGAAGTGAAAAAGCTCAAAGCACATCACGTTTGGAGCACTTTTGGTAGTTGCGATAGTTGCGATGTCGAAAAAGTGCACGCCGTTGCGCATGTGGAAGTCAAAATGTACAAAACACCTCAGTGTCGGAGCACTTTTGGAAGTTGCACTGTCGAAAAAGTGCACGCCGTTGTGGCGCGAAGCACATTTCGAAGTCAAAAGTGCAAAAAATTGAGGGGCACGGAACACTTTTGGACGTTTAGGTGCCGTTTTGCGTGGCAGGAGCAGGGGATTGTGATGATTGCGCGCCTTGTCAAAAGTAAGCAAAAACGTGAGGGCTAATGTCCTTTTGGTAAGAATAGATGGGCCGGTTTTGTATACCACCTATCATCATTTACCTTTTGTTAAAGGGGTAAGCAAACCCCTCTAGTAACCAACCAACCAATGGGAAAAGGACATCTATGCGTGAGGGTTTTGTAGCAGTTTCAACTACAACCACCACTACACTGCAGTCCACTACACTACACTACATTACACTACAACTACAACTACAACTACAGCTACAACTTCACTACATCACACTACACTACAATACACTAATTGCATTACACTACGCTACACTCCACTACACTACACTCAATTACCCTACGCTACACTCCACTCCACTACACTACATTACACTGCAACTACAACTACAATCAACTACAGCTACAACTACAAGTGCACGACACTACACTACACTACGCTACACTTTACTAATTACATTACACTACACTACACCCCACTACACTACACTACATTACGTTACACTCAATTACATTACACTACACTACGCTATACTATATTATACTACACTGCGCTACACAAACTACAACTACAACTACAACTACACTACATTACAGTACGCTGCGCCACACCAAGTACACTACACTACACTACACTGCACTGCACTACACTACACTACGCTACACTACCCTACCCTACACTACACTACACTACCCTACGCTACACCACACTACATTACACTACACTACAACTACAACTACAACTGCAACTGCAACTACAACTACAACTACAACTGCATTAACTACACTTCACTACACTACACTAAATTTAGTTACACTTCATTACGCTACAACTACAACTACAACTACAACTACATTACACTACGCTACATTACACTACACTATAATTACTACGTTGCACCACACTCCACTACACTTCACTACACTCAATTATACCACACTACGCGACACGACACAACACGGCACTAACTACAACTACAACTACAGCTGCAACCGCAACTGCAACTACAACTGCATTAGGCTACACTACACGACACTAATTGCAGCACATTACGCTACACTACACCACGCTACACGACACGACACTACACTATACTACACCACACTACACTACACTGCATTACACTACAACTACAACTACAGCTGCGACTGCAACTACGTTATTTTACAATACGCTACACTACACTACAAAACACTCAATTACATTACACTAGACTCATTGCACCACCACAGCTCCAACCATATAGGTTTCCTATTTTTAAAACTTCCGCCGCCGCCCTGTGCGGTACTATTGGTAAAGCGCCCCGTGGACGACTTTGATTTGCCAACTTGTATAACGCAGTTGATGTTTGTCAGGGGCTCTGATGAGCGTTGCTCATTTTTAGGTGCCCGAGTTCATCATGGAGGATCCAAGCCGCAAAGCGGCTTTGGAAGAAATCAAATGGTCCTTGGGATATCGAGGCATGTGTCGTTTTCGGAGTGGAACGATCTTCCTGCAACCCGTCCTGAAGAAGTTTGAATATGCGATGACTTTGGATACGGATGGATATTTCCCAGCAGAAGTGAGCGCCGATCCCATTGCAGCCATGCATGAAGGCAACTACGTCTACACTTGGTCGCATGTGCTTCCCGATTTGCCTGGAGCTGTGCGGCACTTTTGGGATCATTCCTTGATGTACATGAAGATGAAGGGCATTGATCCCAGAGAAACTCCAATCCTGCGCCAATTTGTGCGAGAGGATGATATACAATGGACCTATCAGCTCTATATGAACGACATCGAGATTGTGCAACTTGATTGGTTCCGTTCAGATCCATATCAGGATTACTTCAGATACTTGGATTCCATGGGAGGCTTTTGGCTGCACCGCTGGGGTGACCATGCGGTCCGAACCATAGCAGTAGGGATGTGGCTCCCTGAGGATAAAGTTTTTGAGATGGATGTGCCGTACGGGCACCAGAACTATTGCAGATGTAGTGGGGCGCATCCGCATTTGTCCTGCGTCCGTGAAGAAGATGTAGGCGGTGTGCCTGCCAAATGGTGGATTTGTGCTGGCGAGGATGCGCGGGAAGATGATTGATGCTTATATAAATGGAAACCATTTTGACCGCGGCAACTCGGTGGTGCAAGAGCTCCGCTGCATGTTCAAGCCTGTTGAAAGAGAGCAGCTTGATCAACCCATGCAGAACCAGCCGAGCAAAGGCTATGATAAAGCTTAGGACAAAAAGGAATATTTTTCTGGTGCTGAAGCTCCTGCAGCGATTGTTCATTTGGCAGCCCGCATCTAAACGAATACGCCAGACGCACTTCATGAGAATCGCAGAAGCAGCTGCTTTGCACAGCCATGCAGAATTTGTTTGAATCATCTGAGATCAAGTTTTTGACCCGTGGTACTCTTGAATGTCTCAGCTCTCAAGTCCTGATTGTTGATGATGTTGATGAGTGTATCATCCCATATCATGCCCAAACGCAAGCGTTCAGGTTGGCGTTGGATCAGCCGACGATGTGGGCCTTGTGTTATACAGGCCGGGGACCTTGAGTCTTGGCAAGCAGAAGAAGTGTTCTAGTTAATTTGCCGGGGAAAGGGCCTAACCAGCTCCCTTCGAATTGTAGACTGGGAAACATGATCACGGGAGGCCCATGAAGGGCCAGTGAGCATGGACTGCTGGTTTCGAACTTGCCAAGCCTCCACTTCTGCCTGTAAGGATGTGGTCGACAGCAGTACCTTCTATGAAAGGCCAATGTATTTGCCCCTGAAGGATCAACACCTGCTAACAGTCTCCGCACCGGCAATGGTGGAGTTGGAAATTGAAGCAACTTGTTGCTCCCAGACCGAGACTTGGCTTGCATACAGACAGTCAGAAGTAGACCCAGGACACCCAGGACACCCAGGACTTGATTCTATCAAGCTGATGCACTTGATTCCAGCAAAGCTCTTCTTCGATTACTGTATGCTCAAATCGGTCAGAAATGCTGAATGCTTCCGAGGAATGGGAAACTGCACCAGCCTTCGAAGAATACCGTCAGCGACTTCGGTTTGATCGATGGCTCATGGTGCCCCCACTCTTCTCGCCCGTGACTTGGCACAGTTTGGTGAGAAGGTTCATAGCTTTAGGCAAGTCCATTCTGGGGTTCGTACTGTTCTGCGGTGCTTCGCCCTCTCTAGAACAACAATTACAGGGGAAAGAGGAAAGGAGAGGCCGGTTTGTATCAATTGTCGCTACCAGAAGGTGAAGAAAGTGAACTTCTTGGTCACGGAGGGTGAAGAGGGTCAGGAGCACGGTGATCATTATTTGTTTCTGAAGTCTTTGGGGACGGCATATTTGTTTTCCTTCTTGGTTCTCTAAAGGACGGGCGGAGTGAGGAGCATGAGGTTATGCTGGTAGGAAAGTCTTTGCTAGGCTCGTGCCCCCTTCTCAGGTTGAGCATCATTCAGCATCACTGGTTCGCTTCAATCCTTTGATCAGTTGGAGACCCCTACCCAGCTGGATCCCAGCTGGATCCCAGCTGCATTCCAGCTGATCCCAGCTGTGTAGGAAGTGTTGCAGCTGGAAATCTGGACCACGAAATCTGCGGAGCCCTCCTCAGTGCTGCGGCTGGCTGCAGCCTCGCTGCTGGCGGGCTTGGAAGCGCGCAGCGAGAGACCGCAGTTGAAACCACACGAGTTGCTGCTAGGACCCCGGGACGACATCCAGAGCCCAAATGCCTAGAAGAGGGATTCAAGAGGGAGGATTTCACTGCGGAATATGTATAGTCAATTTCTACCAGATAGAATATTCAAAATTTTGAACTAAACACCAAATCCTCACAGATAGAATTCTGTCATACCTTTAAAGACAGATAGAATATTCCACGGACCCCGGTAAAACAACCAGCCGTACCTATGTAAAGTGCTTCAAAAAAGTGGGTATAGATAGCCATAAATAGCCACAATGCCTATGTAAAGTGCTTCCACTGAGGGTACAAATATGTCATGAATATTGCACCATACCTATGTAAAGTGAGGTTGACAACGTAGCAACTGTAACATCAACAAAAGGATGATTGCTTTCAGTTCCTTTCATTGTCCTTGTGTTTTCCTTTCATGTTCCCAGCCTATGGTTCCAAATGTTTTTCTATTTCCTTGTATCTATGCTCCTTTCATGTACCTTTCACTTCCTTTCATGTTCATTTCATGTGCCTTTGATTTTTATGTCCTGTCAATTTAGAAAAAAAATCAAAACATTTCCGTCAACCATATCTTAAAGGAATGTTAAGGGATTTTAAAGGAAATTGAAAGGAATTATAAGGAAATTCAAGGAATTTAGGGAGTTTTAAGGACTTTGAAGGAATCTTAGAGGAAGTTAAAGGAATTTTAAAGGAATTTGAAGGAAATTGAAAGATTTTCAAGGATTTCGGATGATTCTAAAGGTTGTCAAAGAAATTTTAAGGAATCCTAAAGGAATATAAAGGAATCTTAAGGAATCTTAAAGGAATTTCAAGGAATCTTAAAGGAATTTCAAGGAATCTTAAAGGAATTTCAAGGAATCTTAAAGGAATTTTAAGGAATCTTAAAGGAATTTCAAGGAAGTTTAAGGAAATTTCAAGAATCTTAAAGGAATCTGACGGAATTTGAAAGATTTTTACGGATTTTAATGATTTTAAATGATTTTTAATGAATTTTCATGAGTTTTTTGGAATTTTAAGGAATTTAAAGGATTTTTAAGGAATTTTAAGGAATTGCTACGAAAGAATGCCACCGTATTTTGTTGCTACAGAATGCTATAAACAGAAGAAAACCAGTAAATATTTGAGCACCTTGACTCTAAAATACCTCTATCTAAAAAGAACTTCCTGACCCCTTTTTAAAGAGGCATTTCTGAAGGTCTTCGAATTTGGATGAACTTGGATGCCAATTCGGCGTGAATTTGCTAGAACCGCATTTTATGGCAGAGCCAGTTCTCATTGTTTTTGTGCATTTTAAAGCATGAGGCCCTATGCACAAAAGCTAGACCGCTTTAAAACTGCTGCACATTATCACATTATGAATTGGCACCCCGATGCATAAACGAGCAAGGAAGATCATGAAAAGAACCAAGCACCATGAACATAATTTGAAACGAATATGCGCGGAAATCCGACTTGATTTTTCAAAAATGATAGGACATACAATAATAAGAAAAATGGAATGACTTGAAGGAAAAAGGGAAGGAAACTGAAGTGACAAGAGAGTAAAATGAAAGGGACATGAAAGGAAGATGAGAAGGAAAATGAGACGAACGGAAAGGGAAACCAGAGGAACATCAGAAGGACATGAAAGAACAAAAGGAAAGGAGGGAAATTAAATAAGGTGAACGTAAAACAAAGATATGATTGACGGAAATAAAAGGAACATGGAAGGAAGTGAAAGGAAACTGACAGGAAACTGACAGGAGAATGAAAGGCATGAAAGGAATGTGAACACGAAAGAAAATGCTTTTTTGTATGAGTGTATATTTGTTTTTTTTCAATTTTCACACATATAAATTGTGACCACCATGGTGACCAAGGTCATGCATTCCGAATATTCTATTTGTGAGGATTTGGACATGGCATGCAGGGACAATGAAAGGGTATGGATATGAACAGACAATGGAAGGACATGGAAGTAACGCGCATGAAAGGAACGTGGAAGGAAATGAAATAAACACAAATAAAGTAACGTCAAATGAAAGGAAGATAGCAGAACATCGGAAGAAATAAAGAATTGAAAAGAAGCATAAACATCCCCGTGGCAATTTCCACACTAGAAATGGATGACTTGTGCATAGTCTAAGCGAGATCCGTAATGTATTGGAATTTCAAAATTGGAGTCAGGTTAGTCATTTTATTGTTAAGGGGTTGGTCTGAGCATTTTATTGGCCAGGGAAATCCTGATGATTTTTAACATGTTAAAATTCCATTCAAATTTTATTGCAACAAATTGAGTGTTTGGAGCATTTTATTGCAGAATGGAACCAGTGCTTTTCGAGGATCTCTTGATATCAATTTTATTGGGCATGTCATTTTAGATGTGCGAATTTGAAGGAATTTGAAGGAATCCTAAGGAATTTTAAGGAATGTTGGGGAAATTAAGGAATTTGAAAGGAATTATAAGGAAATTCAAGGAATTTAGGGAGTTTTAAGGACTTTGAAGGAATCTTAGAGGAAGTTGAAGGAATTTTAAAGGAATTTGACGGAATTTGAAAGATTGTCAAAGGATTTCTGGAATGATTCTAAAAGAGGTGTTTCAAAGGATTTAAGATATAAAGGAAATCTTAAGGAATCTTACAGGACTTTAAAGGAATCTTAAAGGAAATTATTCAGGAAGCTAAAGAATTTTCAAGAAATCTTAGAGGAATTTCAAGAAGTTTAAGAAATTTCTAAGAATCTAAAGGAATCGAACTCGGAAAATTTGAAATAAAAGGAATATAGATAAGTTTGGACAAACAAAATAAAGTATGAAACAAATATGTTTCCAAACCTGGTTTTACGTCCTTCGTTTTCATAATTTTCATGATGTTCTTTCATGAATTCTTTTCATGAGTTTTTTGGAATTTTAAGGAATTTAAAGGATTTTTAAGGAATTTTAAGGAATTGCTACGAAAGAATGCCACCGTATTTTGTTGCTACAGAATGCTATAAACAGAAGAAAACCAGTAAATATTTGAGCACCTTAACTCTAAAATACCTCTATCTAAAAAGAACTTCCTGACCCCTTTTTAAAGAGGCATTTCTGAAGGTCTTCGAATTTGGATGAACTTGGATGCCAATTCGGCGTGAATTTGCTGGAACCGCATTTTATAGCAGAACCAGTTCTCATTGTTTTTGTGCATTTTAAAGCATGAGGCCCTATGCACAAAAGCTAGACCGCTTTAAAACTGCTGCACAATATCACATAATGAATTGGCACCCCGATGCATAAACGAGCAAGGAAGATCATGAAAAGAACCAAGGACCATGAACATAATTTGAAACGAATATGCACGGAAATTCGATATGATTTTGAAAAATGACAGGACATACAAGAAAAATGGATTGACTTGAAGGAAAAAGGGAAGGAAACTGAAGTGACAAGAGAGTAAAATGAAAGGGACATGAAAGGAAAATGAGAAGGAACATGAGAAGGAAAATGAGACGAACGGAAAGGGAAACCAGAGGAACATCAGAAGGACATGAAAGAACAAAAGGAAAGGAGGGAAATTAAATAAGGTGAACGTAAAACAAAGATATGATTGACGGAAATAGAAGGAACATGAAAGGAAGTGAAAGGAAACTGACAGGAAACTGACACGAGAATGAAAGGCATGAAAGGAATGTGAACACGAAAGAAAATGCTTTTGTATGAGTGTATATTTGTTTTTTTCAATTTTCACACATATAAATTGTGACCACCATGGCGACCAAGGTCATGCATTCCGAATATTCTATCTGTGAGGATTTGGACATGGCATGCAGGGACAATGAAAGGATATGGATATGAACAGATAATGGAAGGACATGGAAGTAACGCGCATGAAAGGAAAGTGGAAGGAAATGAAATAAACACAAATAAAGTAACGTAAAATGAAAGGAAGATAGCAGAACATCGGAAGAAATAAAGAATTGAAAAGAAGCATAAACATCCCCGTGGCAATTTCCACACTGGAAATGGATGGCTTGTGCATAGTCTAAGCGAGATCCGTAATGTATTGGAATTTCAAAATTGGAGTCAGGTTTGTCATTTTATTGTTAAGGGGTTGGTCTGAGCATTTTATTGGCCAGGGAAATCCTGATGATTTTTAACATGTTAAAATTCCATTCTATTTTTATTGCAACAAATTGAGTGTTTGGAGCATTTTATTCCAGAATGGAACCAGTGCTTTTCGAGGATCTCTTTATATCAATTTTATTGGGCATGTCATTTTAGATCTGCGAATTTTAAGGAATTTGAAGGAATCCTAAGGAATTTTAAGGAATGTTAAGGAAATTTAAAGGAAATTAAAAGGAATTATAAGGAATTATAAGGAATTTCAAGGAATTTAGGGAGTTTTAAGGACTTTGAAGGAAGCTTAAAGGAAATTGAAGGAATTTTAAAGGAATTTGAAGGAATTTGAAAGATTTTCAAGGATTTCGGATGATTCTAAAGGTTGCCAAAGGAATTTTAAGGAATCTTAAAGGAATATAAAGGAATCTTAAGGAATCTTAAAGGAATTTGAAGGAATCCTAAGGAATTTTAAGGAATGTTCAGGAAATTTAAAGGAATTTGAAAGGAATTATAAGGAAATTCAAGGAATTTAGGGAATTTTAAGGACTTTGAAGGAAACTTAAAGGAAATTGAAAGAATTTTAAAGGAATTTGACGGAATTGGAAGGAATTTGAAAGATTGTCAAGGATTTCAAATGATTCTAAAGGATGTTAAAGGAATTTTAAGGTCTTTTTTTGAATTTAAAGGAATCTTAAAGGAATATTCAGGAAGCTTAAAGGAATTTTCAAGAATCTTAGAGGAATTTCAAGGAAATTTAAGGAAATTTCAAGAATCTTAAAGGAATCTGACGGAATTTGAAATATGTTTACGGATTTTAATGATTTTAAATGATGTTATTTCATGAATTTTCATGAGTTTTTTGGAAATTTAAGGAATTCAAAGGATTTTTTTTTTTTTGTTTTTTTTATTTTTTTTTTAGATTTTTTTTCTTTAGACATTTTCTTTTAAAGGAATTTTAAGGAATTG